ATTATGGGAGCCACAGTCTAGCAACCTTTGGAAAGCACGAGATTCTGTATGTGTCTCTATAGAATTATATGCAGTCCTAAACTGGGAATCCCATTCTAAGACCTAAATGAAGTATTTCCAGATCGCAGAAGCTAAACTTTAGCCACAATCCAGTATGCGTCCATGCACACCAAAGAAGTTTTCTTTTGGGCAGGTTTGCGTTACCGTAAAACCCCTTAAAGCAACGCCGCACGTAAGTTTCTGAAGGCGATACTTGCTAGGAAAACATTTGATGCCCTCATATTCCTGCTACCAGTTGAGATCACAGTATCGCTTAAAAAAACCCACACCAGCAGCTGAGTAAAGATATCATTACTAAATAGTAGAGGAAGGTTGGTTTGACATTTAAGGGTAATGATGACCGGATGCACTTCAGAGCTGACTGAACAAGATAGATGTAATTTTTGTGTAAAAGGAGAAGAGGGAGACTTCTAATCCATCTTCAATTTTCATAGTTTTAATACTAAAAAGCTGAGAAACTTTAAAAAAAGAAAAATGAAGTGAGGCTCTGCAGGTGAGGGATACGATCAAAGTGCAATTCCATTAGGTGGGGTAAGATAAAGGGTCCTTGTTCTGTTACCAGGGAGGGGGGCACCATTTTGTGGTTCGCCTCAGGTGGTAAAATGTCTTGGGCTGGCCATTGCCTTTCTATTCAATGTTACCAGGTGTCTGTAGTGTAGAGGAGAGGACATAACTGGGACTTGGGTTTTTTTTCTAGAAAAAAAGATAAACAATTTCAGTGTTTTCCTAAAAAGCTCAGCAACTGGTCCTAGTTTTGAAATATGACAACCCCATGCAATACACAATGTCAAGTTCCAGCCTGAGAATCACATTCCTCTTCTTTCATCTCACTTACTTTGTTCTGTTGAAATTATTCACACTGTTAAGAGGGACTCACATTTGTTACATTATGGTGTAATTTAATGAGTCCTATATGCAAAGATAAGGGACGTGGGTGGCGCTGTGGATTAAATCACAGAGCCTAGGACTTGCTGATCAGAAGGTCGGCGGTTCGAATCCCTGCGACGGGGTGAGCTCCCGTTGCTCGGTCCCTGCTCCTGCCAACCTAGTAGTCTGAAAGCACGTCAAAGTGCAAGTAGATAAATAGGTACTGCTCTGGCGGGAAGGTAAACGGCGTTTCTGTGCGCTGCTCTGGTTCGCCAGAAGCGGCTTAGTCATGCTGGCCACATGACCTGGAAGCTGTACGCCGGCTCCCTCAGCCAATAAAGTGAGATGAGCGCCGCAACCCCAGAGTCAGCCACGACTGGACCTAATGGTCCCTTTACCTTTATATGCAAAGATGAGGATCAGCCCACATTCTAGAGAACTTCCTGCACAAGGGACATTGGAAATTTTCCCCTAGTGCTGAAAGAAAACCAACCTTAGGAAAGAGACTGGAGAACTACAGAAAAAAGCTTAAAAAAAAAACAAAAACACTGAGCTTTGTGATGATGCTACAGTCTTAATCAAGTTTCCTGACATGCATGCTGCCTGTTTCCACAAGAGACTCTTGAAGCATATCAGCTGACAGTGGAGAATTAATTGAAATTATAAAAAATAGTTAAGAGGCGGAGGAAGATAATGGTCTGACCGTGATTAAAGCCTGTGAAGAGCATAATTATTCATTGAATTATGGGAATGAAGAGTTTTGAAGACTATTTCTTGGAATGAGACATAGCCATCAAGAGGAGAGAAAAAATCCTCACAAAGGAATTAATGACTGATTTAATGCACTAACTACAAATTACCTCTAATGTCCCTTCCATTTGAGTGAGAGTTAGCGCAGCAAAGGCAAAGTGGCGTTGGTGCCATCATCATGGTCTTGAGTTAGAGGATTAGAGCATTTTCCACACAAACACACGCAGGTGCGCTGAGGTTATAACTTCATATTGTTAATTGGTGTATGTGTGATGCATTCACATAGTGCATCCCTTAGCAAAAATAGGCAAAACAGAATAGCATAGGATACTGACCATTTCTTTTACTTGTATTCAGCACCCATAGTTTATGCCAGATTGGCGCATCATAGCACATAGCCTCCAACATTTCTCTGATGAAAGTAGGCATGTGCTCTTCCATGATAATGATAATGATAATGATAATAATAATAATACCCCATCCATCTGACTAGGTTGCCCCAGCCATTCTGGACAGCTTCCAGCTTATATAAAAACATAATACAGTGGTACATTGGTTCTCAAACGTCTTGGTTCTCAAACAACTTGGAACCCAAACACTGCAAACCCAGAAGTGTTCCGGTTTGTGAACTTTTTTTGGAAGCCGAAGGTGCTCCATTTTGAGTGCCACGCTTCTGTTTTGAGTGCCACACTTCTGTTTTGAATGTTTTGCTGAGGTCTGTCTGTTTTTTCTATTTATTTTGTGTTTTTGTTTTTGCGGCTCTTTTATTTTGTTTTCGTGACCGTGTGGAACCCAAGCTACTGATTGATTGATTGATTGATTGATAGTGTGACTGCAGTACATTGAATGAATAAACTTTATTACAGTTACAGACCAGCATAAGAAAAACATATGAATAAAATAGCAGTTAGGATTTAAACAGGTAATTGTTAATGCAAATAAGAACAAATGTGTGTGTGTGTGTATTCCCAAAAGGGAAGGGAAAAAGAAAATATACCTTTCTGCATCTTGATTTGCAAATGCTAGCCCTTCCCTTAAAAAATCCTGAGAGGAAGTAGCTATAGTCTTCCTGTTGAACCTTTAAATGTCTCATCATGACAGACACCGGTATAGATTTTTGTTTCTGACCTGACCTGCTGTCTTTTCAATAGAACTTTAGAATAATTCACTGTGTTGCTGTACCCAGAACTACCCAGAAAGGAAATAATAATTGGATTATTAGTCATTGTGCTTGACCATGGCAATTTACCCTTCCAACCTATTAATTTCCTAACAGGCTTGGCAGGAAGCTAAATATATACCAGAGTTTTCAGTGCTTCAGCTGGCTTTTCTAACTCACTTCAGAATGTGTTCAGCATGCCTGTTGGATTTGTAAAAATGCTACCAGCAGTTTGCCACTCAAGCCAATAATAACTCCTGAACAAAACATCATTAATAGTTTAGGGAAAATAAACTAAAATTCATTAGAGTTCCGAAATCAATAGCCTCGTCTTGGCATCAGATGAAAGATTGAGAACAGGTGGCTTTTAAAAAAACAGTAACGATAACCCAGCAAAAGCAGTTGAATGTTATTACATAGACTATTTAGGGTTGCCATACGTTCAGAATTTCCTGAATATATCCAGAATACTGTAGCTAAAGCATCCATGACAGACGGCCATCCAACCTCTGTTTAAAAACCTCCAAGGAAGGAGAGTCCACAACCTCCTGAGGGAGACCGTTCCACTGTCAAACAACCAGTTCTTACTGTCAGAAAGTTGTTCTTATTTAGCCAGAATCTCCTTTCTTGTAACTTGAAGCCATTGGTTTGAGTCCTACCCTCCAGACCAGGAGAAAACAAGCATGTTTCATCTTCTATTTGACAGCCCTTGAGATATTTGAAGATGGCTATCATACCTCCTTTCAGTCTCCTCTTTACCAAGAAGTTTCTCTCTCTCTCTTTTTAGAGGAGGCATATAATAGTATTATTTCAGCCCTTCCTTTCCGTGGCAGAAGAAAAGTTCACAGAAAAACTCGAAAGAAACCATTTTCTCGTTCTAACCTCACCAAGCGGAAGGTGCCATCCCAGACCATTATGATCTAACACTCCAAGGGAGAAAGAATGGCTTTGTGGCTTAATGTGCTAGAGCGGGTATCAAGAACAGCCACATTTATTCTCTTAAAAGCTCTCGCTCTCTCTAATCCAAGAGAAGCCAGAATAAACCCAGGAGGAGCTCAGAACATAAATGCAGTTTCAAAGATGTCATTTGTTGTAGCTAACTAGTTGCAATTTGTGAAAAAGGTGTGCTATCTCTCTCTGGAGAAAGAGAACGTAGAGAGGGTAAAACTATTATGTAGTTTGAAGAGGGGGGAAACAGTTATATATAAAGTTACGGAATAGGTTTCACTCCCCCCCCCCTTTGAAAACTGGTCTGCAGAAGAGCAGTCATCAAAATCTGTCGCCTGAACTGGAGTCCAGACATGTTCCAATCACACTTCTCTTTTTTAAAGTTTTCATTTATGCTTTTTGAATTTATACATTTCATTAATTTTACAATCATTTTAACATTTCAAAGTGTGACTTCCTCCCCCTCTTTCTGCAAATCCTTAAATTTATTTTTAAATATCTTCTGCATATCCAAATTCATTTAATTTGCTCATTTAATACTCTCTTTCTCTCTCTCTCTCTCTCTCTCTTATGAAACTGCAAGTTGTTACTAATCCTGCCAATGTTTTTATCTGTTTGCAATTTATCTGTAAATATTCAATAAACCATTTCCATTCTTTTATAAAAAGTTTGTTATCTCGATTTCTTATTTTTCTGGTGAGTTTTGCAATTTCTGCATATTCCCTAAGTATTTGTATCCAATCTTCCCTTGCTGGGACTTCTGCTTCTTTCCATTTTGGGGCAAGTAACATTTTTGCCACTGTAATAGCGTACATAAATAAGTTTATATACAGTTTAGGTAGTTCTGTCCTTATAATTCCCAAAAGGAAAGATTCTGTCTGGTTTTTTAAAAAACAAACGTTATTTTAAACATATCTTTTCAATTCATTATATATCATTTCCCAGTAAGCTTTAACCTTACTACAAGACCACCACCTAAGAAATCAAGATAACAAACTTTCTTTAAAGAATGGAAATGGTTTATTGAATATTTACAAATAAACTGTAAACAAATAAGAGCATCGGCAGAATTATTGTAATAACCTGCAGTTTTATAAGAGTGTATATTTAAAGTAGATGAATAAATGAGTAAATTAAGTTAATTTGGAATATGCAGAAAATATATATTTAAAAAATTAAGAAACTGCAGAAAGAGGAGGAAGGAAGTCGAGTTTCAGAATGTTAAAATGGTTGTAAAATTATTGAAATGTATAAAATTGAAAATCATAGAAAAGGTTGGTTGCTGTAGAACAGAGCTTTCCAAATTGTGTGTTGCGACACATCAGCGTGCCAGCTGCAATAGGTAGCCTTGCCACCCAAAAGCCCCTGCGTTCCTTAACCTCCAATTTGCTAGTAAACCTGAATCACTGTGTCGCAAAATGACGCATGTCTACAATGTGTGTCACCCACACCAGAAGTCTGGAAAGCTCCATTGTAGAACCAAGCCATATACTGGAAATGTGGAGATCTGATCAGAAATTCCTAACAGCCACACCGAAAATCAATCAATATTTTAAAATTAACAGTAATGTTATCACAAAGGAGTATAATGAGATGTCTTTTAATGATACGTCCGAAATAAAGATTGGCAAGGTTTTGCTGTTTTCTGGTAGCCGTGTTGTGTTTGTGGGGTGGAGTGTAGATTTCTGAAAATGTACCCGGTGCTGAAAAATAGAAGGGCGAAGTGTGAGAGCACCGTGACCCATTTGTACCGAAGCTGAACGGGAAAGTACATTTCAGCCCTTCCAAAATAGCTTCCAAAATAGCTTACATTATTGTTTTCATGTAGCAAAAGGCTATAATACATTAGGAACGAAGCTGGTCAGCACGTTTTTCACTGTGTGTGTGTGTGCATGTGTGAAGAGAGAACATGCTGTACAGACTGGGAAAAAGTTATGAAGGGGTTGTTTATTTCTACACTGTAGTTTTTGGAGCATGGCATTTCAGAATCTATTATTATTATTATCACCAACTTTTGTTACGGGATTTTAACTGGGCAAAGTCAAGGGCATTTTGGCAACTGAGGCATGAAATCCACACGACGGGCTCTCCTCATAGTAAAAAAAAATATTAATTTATTAAGTAATTGACGGCTTGCTGCCCTTTAATGTGCTGCCAGGCTTGCTGCTTTGAGGCAGATGCAAGTCAAATCCTGAATGTTAGGTCTGCATTTGTTGGAGTGGAAAATGGAATCACCTTCTGCATTAAGAACATTAACTAATGACATAAAGAGCAGCTTTGAAGTGTCTCATATGAATGTATGAGCCCTGTTTAGGGAAGCTTTTAATGTTTGATGTATCACAGTATTTTAATATTCTTTTGGAAGCCGCCCAGAGTGGCTGGGGAAACCCAGCCAGATGGGCGGGGTATAAATAATAAATTATTATTATTATTATTATTATTATTATTAATTATATCATAGACAAAGGAAGACTACCCGGCCTGAAAGATTTTGTCAGAATTGCAAATGTATTTCCTCCATTTGTGCTCAAGTAGAATAATTACATATCAGAGATAAAAGTTCAGATGATTGTTATAAAGTTGAAAAACAGCACCCAGCAGTTAAATTGCCCTTAACATCGTACTAAAACCCCCACAAAATGACAAAAAGTTCCATCCAAAATGCCGTTCAAGAACTGGTAATTTCCAAGTGGCAATTTTACATAACACTGCTGCGACTTGACATATAAACCCCCCCAGTTGCTATGCTGTAATCTCTTCTAATTTGCCTGCTGTTAGGTTAGCAAATGTATACCATTATATTTGTATGCACAACTCACTGCTAAATTTGATGGTGTTGGCTGGGACAGAGTTCTTCAACCTTAGGTCTCCTACCACCGTTGGACGACGACCGCAGTTATCTCTGATTGTTGGCTTTGGATGATGGGAGGCGGTAACCCTACAACATTTGGGGACCCAAGGCCAAAGAACACGGGGCCAACGGGTGAGGGATACTTTTAGGTGAAACGTTTTGACTGCCGTTCTTCCAGCAACACAGATTCAACGCCATGAGGATCAAGATTCGGCACAATTTCCTGTGATTCAGATCCGATTTAATATCCGTTTTAATGACAACAAACATTGAGCTCAAAGCAACTCGCAATAATCGCAGTAGCATGAGATAACAACAAGCATTGCAATCACTATGATATCAAACACAGGAGCGTATAAATAAAGTGAACGACAACAGATCCATTTTTTAAAAATGATACAATTCCATAAAGTCGTGAGCACCAGATGAGATCTTCTCCCTGTGAATGGAGAATGCAGCATATGTGAATTGTTTCAGGACTCTTCCTTCTACAAGAACATGAGGCAGAACATGCTTCGACAAGCCCAAGTATTTTCTGCATGAAATTCTTAAATATTATCTACTGATCATCTTCTAGGAGGGTTGCCCATTTCAAAAAGTGAATGCTAGTACATTTTACACAGTTTAAACTGTTGCAGATGGGACGCAGGTGGCGCTGTGGTCTAAACCACTGAGCCTCTTGGGCTTGCTGATCAGAAGGTCGGCGGTTCGAATCCCCACCACGGGGTGAGCTCCTGTTGCTCGGTCCCAGCTCCTGCCAACCTAGCAGTTTGAAAGCACGGCAAAAAGTGCAAGTAGATAAATAGGTACCGCTCTGGCAGGAAGGTAAACACCGTTTCCGTGCACTGCTCTGGTTTTGGTGTTCCATTGCACCAGAAGCGGCTTAGTCATGCTATCCACATGACCCAGAAAAACTGTCTGCAGACAAACACCGGCTCCCTCAGCCTGTAAAGCGAGATGAGTGCTGCAACCCCAAAGTCGTCTGCGACTGGACTTAACTGTCAGAGGTCCTTTACCTTTACCTAATCTGTTGCAGACCGCAGCACAACACAACATTCTTGCTGCTCTCATGGTTTAAACCCCAAAGTTGTGAAGCTTTTTAAAAAACCAAAATGCCACCCCCCGCGAATTTTTGATTGCCTTGCTTAAGATCCAGAATAAAGCACCAACTTTTGGAAATCCCCCCGGATCCTAGTAACTTATTATACTTATTTTTTGTTTTCTGCACATCGTTCTGAGATACTATAATGCACATGCTTTATATATCCTTTTAAAACCAAAACAAAACGAGTTTCTGCTGACCCTATTTATCCAGGGGTTCCTTTTTCCTTTCAAATGCAAGCCTTCAGCAAGAGAAACTTGATGTTTAGATTTATAACCAGTTTAAGTAATACTGTTTGCATTTAGTTCGGGGTGGGGGGAATAAATACCCAGGTTTTCTAAAGTCTTAGGACTAATTTGCTTGTCACCCTTGCAGGTAGTGTGGGATCAAGCAATGTAGAGAAGGTCTGTTTGGATTATTTAGTATTTTCTAAGGTGCTGAGCCTGTGCTGGACAGCAGAAGATATTGCATGGACATTATTGGATGTATCATTTGATGTTCCTGTTTTGTTTCTGAAGAGTTCTGCAAGTAAACTTTGAATAATATTTTTATGGGCCTGGACAATTATTTCTTCCAAAAGGAGTCAGTTCTTATGCTTCCAGTCACTTCAAACTGTGTAATATTATCATCTGCAGTATGACTTTCATATTAAATAGCTTTTTGTATGCTTGGAGGTGGCTGGAGGGAAGCTCCATTCATCCGAGAGCTCAGTCCTGGTTGCACAGTGAGGAAAACTGACCTTTAGAAATATTGTGGGGGTTTTCTTGAGAACAAGCTAAGAAAGCATTTGCTTGCGAGCTGACCGAAACATCTTCATTATTCCAAGTCTTGCCTCATTCGTTTCCTCTAGAAAACATTTCCTCTTGCCGTGTAATTAAACCGGGAGGTATTTAAGGTACTTCTTCAAAGTCGGCCGGTTTCTGGCTCATCTAAGAGAATGCCCAGATACGTATTCCAGACATGGCAAAATCAATAGCAGCGAAGAAGCATCAGGAAACATCACCAGGGGTTCACAAACAGGCAGAATGAAACTCGCTTAAATTATTGAAGCACCAAGGTCTGACTCAAAGCTGCGGCGTGTATAGATTATTAATGCATGATAGATGTTGGCATATCATGCACAGTGCTCCCCGGGGCAAAAAGCAGGACTCAGCCAAGTTAACGTGCAAACTGCTGCGGTGTTTGGTTTTTGTAACACTTGGGAAGGGTGTGATTTGTTTACTTCTGCTTGAACCCCTTCCTCAGCGCCATTGCCCCAGCTCAAACCCGATCAATATTGGCGTGGCCTATCCCCTCCCAATACCGGTTTTCTGCAGCTGCAGCGTGCCTAGGGCCAACCGCTGTGCTGATTTGTAGCCATGGAAAGATGAAAGGGGTTCAATTCTGCACTGCTTTGGCTTGCAAGCCTGCAGCTAAAGACTCCGCCCTCGTATTCTTGGGCTTCTGCTCCCCTGTTCAGTTCTGTGTTTATTGTCTTTCAAGCGAGAATCCAGAACCTGAGGCCTGCACAAGTGAGTAAACAACTTCTTCTTCTTCTTCTTCTTCTTCTTCTTCTTCTTCTTCTTCTTCTTCTTCTTCTTCCACCGCCCAGCCAGTCTGGGCAGCCTGCAGCAAAATATTAAAAATAATAAAATGTCAGACATTCAAAACTTGGAACAGGGCTGCCTTTCTAAAAGTTGTGTAATTCTCTGCCTCCCTGACATCTGATGGGAGGCCTTCCGCAAGGAGGGCCCCACTGCCGAGATAACGCCTGTTATCTGCGAGGTGCTCAAATCACGTGGTTTATTATTTGCGGCAAACTGATCCAGGATTCGAGTGTGCTGAACCTGCAGCATTCAGGAAACAACTGCTGCTGCCGCCCGCCCAAGACCTTTTTCAGTTTCATGTCTTCGTCCAAGAAGTAGGAATTAGGTAATTGCTCAGTAAGTGCAAACATAATCACTTGCGTTGTTGCAACATGCAAGGGAAGATGGCATTAATATTGGCCAAATCTATGTTATCTGGTGCCCAGTGCTGGTCTGTCCCCGTTGCCCCAGGGCTAACTCTCTCTCTCTCTCTCTCTCTCTCTCTTTCTCCTTTTCCCAGCTCCTGGACTGTCTCCTCTAAATCCTGGGTCAGTGGGGAAAATTTACATGTTAGCATGGCTACAGGCAAGCTGACCCAAGGGGCAATATGTGTGTGTGTGTGTGTGTGTGTGTGTGTGTGTATGTGTATTATATATATATATATATACATATATATGTGTATATACATACACATATATATGCAAATTTTACATAATGAATTCCAGTTAAAACATATCAGTCACCTTGCATTTAGGATTCTCTGAATCCCTTGACTTCCCTCCACCCTTTTTTTTGGTTTCCATTTCCCATTCCACTTTGTAATCGACTTACCCTCTTGAGTATGCATATACCATACTTTTCCGTGTATAAGACTTTTCCGTGGTGTTTTTTTTTTACTAAAAAATAATATTAAAGGGGTGCTAGACATATACACGGGGGCAATCTCCCCCCATTTTCTTAAGTTTTCTTAATTTTGAGTCCCCCCAAATAGGGGGCGTCTTATACACGGGGGCGTGTTATAGACGGAAAAATACGGTATATATATGATGCTCCCACCCCAACTTTAAGAAATGATGCCTTAGCTTGCTTCTCCCTCTTGTGTGTCACCATGTCTTTTCGATTGTAAGCCTCAGGGCAAGGTGTGTCCTACAACTAAGAAAAAAGCACACCAAGAACTCTGTCCTGGTTTCTAATCTATAATTGACTTCTGACTTCTGCTCAATGATTGAAACTAAGACCTCCACAACGCATCTGGGCTAACATGAATTCATCTCTACTCATAAACTCTTATCTCTAATTCTGTAATGAATTATTGTGTTATACATATTTTTATGAGTTTGAGTTTGTAATCTCTGTTAGAGTTGGTAACCTCTATTTGAGTTTGCAATCCTTGTCAGAATACATAGTTTTGAATGGATTAGTTTTTGTTACTATTCACTCTTGATTTGCGAGTAGGGACCACTCCCACTATTGAAACTTACATTGGCCTGAGTTCTTGGTGTGCTTTTTTCTTGGTATATTTAATAACAAGAACTCCAACTTATTTAACATGTCCTACAGCTAAGACAGCTCCTTGAAAGGAGTCCAGGCCTGAGAGAAGGATTTTCAGCCGGTTTCCCTGCTGGGAATAGCCTCCAACGTCTCTTTTGAGAATCCCTTGCTGTTTGTGTGCATGCTAGAACAGCCCAGTTTCCCTGCAGCAGTAAGTTTGGGGTGGGGGGTGGGGGGAGAGGACATAGGTCTCTGTGTGTAAGAAATGTCTTTTTTGCCTGCCCCCTAGGATCATCCCCGGACACAGTCCTGGGATCCTTGGAACCTGCAAAAACCTTTTCCAGCTACGCTTGGGCTGCTTCCCCACCCCTGCAGATACCCAAGTGAGAGAACCAGTTTTGTTTTGCTGAAATGCAAGCTCCCCCTTTCCCTCTCTTCTTTAAAAGTTCTTCTCCTGGACCAGTGATAACCTTCTTCAGCCCAGCAAACTGCATTTCCTTGTGTGCAGCCTTCCAGTGAGGTCTTGGTGGCTGCTGCTGTTGCAGCACAGGGGTGGATATGTGGTCCCATGTGGATGGATTTATTAAGGGCAGAGCAATGGATGCAAATCTTCCCCTGTGCACATTAAGCTGCGCAGCCCTGAAAAAGGCAGCGGTATCCCCTCCTCCCCATTTCTCTGTGAAAAGCAAGTAAAAAGCAGGATCACAGTTCAAAACATACGTTTCACTTGGGGTGGGGGGGAGTTGAGCGCAGGGTAGGCCCCAGCGACAGATGTGGCCCTGAGAAGAGGGCAAGGCTTGGGGAGGAAGAAACAGAGGCCTTAACGGTTGCATTACCCACCCACCCCCAACTCCAGTCTGAGGTGACCCACTCTGTCCTGTGTTGTATCTTTCCACATCTCACTGGAGTATTATTTTATTTTATTTTATTTTCTGAAGCCCAAAGGAACTTAGAATTGATGTGGAACATTGATAAGTTATCATTTTCAATTTTTAAAATAATAATAGTTTTTATTACATTTTCAGTTTTATCATAATCACAGTTTCAACACATAATTCAACAAGTTTAAGCATTGCTCTGACAGAGCATCGACCTCCCCCGCCCCTCTTTCACGCTTCCATACATAATTACTTTTTTCTTAGCATTTCTATCACCACTTTTTTACTTTCTCTCTTATTTTTATATTTCCCCTCATTAAATGTAAATCAGTTCCTTATATTCTCAATACGAAACATTTCAACTCAAACCTACAAACATTTTCAGATGTTTACAATGTTCTTTCATATATAATATAAATTTGCTCCAGTCCTTTTGAAACAGTTCGTTGCGCTGATTCTGGATCTTCCCCGTCAGCTTTGCTAACTCTACATATTCCACCATCTTACTCCTCCGTTCTTCCAATGTTGGAAGTTCCTGCAGTTTCCATTTCTGAGCCAGGAGTTTCCCCAGCCACTCTGGGCTGCTCCCAATCGAGTGTTAAAAACAATACAGCATCAAATATTAAAAGCTTCCCTAAACAGGGCTGCCTTCAGATGTCTTTTAAAAATAGGATAGCTACTTATTTCCTTGACATCTGATGGGAGGGCGTTCCACAGGGCGGGCGCCACTACTGAGAAGGCCCTCTGCCTGGTTCCCTGTAACCTCACTTCTTGCAGTGAGGGAACCGCCAGAAGGCCCTCAATGCTGGACCTCAGTGTCCGGGCTGAACGATGGGGGTGGAGACGCTCCTTCAGGTATACAGGACCGAGGCCATTTAGGGCTTTAAAGGGCAGCGCCAAAATATTTTAAGACACAGCACCCATCCTTGTTTTGCCAATCTTTGTTCTAACATGCAAATTCTACCTTTTTTGTTTTTTGCCACAGGAGTATTTTCTCTCTGTCCCCCACCCCCCCAAAAAAAATGAAGTAAGGAATTGCTCCAGAAGCTTTTCTTCCAACACCCTTGCTTCAGAGGAACCCCATTGCTTCTTCATTCTATTCTCTGACCCACCCCATCTTCTTCCTACATTTTCAAGACTTCATATTGGTTTGTGTTCCTTTTTGTCCCATCACTCAGGAGCGCAGTGCCCTTTCACGGGTGAGGTGCAGCCACTGAATTTTGGAGGAAGAACTGAAGAACTGAGGAGGGTTCCAGTCTCTCCCTCCAGCCTTTGTGGCTGATGGTGTGCTCTGCTCAGATCAATGGTGTGTTCTGCTTAGATCCCTGTGGATAGGCAAGTAGAGCCGCTTGCTTAGCAGCCAGCTGAGGCAAAAGCTGCCCTGCCATCTTGGGGCGGTGGGCAGAAACAAAACGATGCAGGGCAGCAGAAGCACGTTGCCAAATTAACAACTCTGAGGGGAACACCTTCCACTGGCGGTCGCTGCGACAGAAGCAGCATTAATTTCCCGAGAGACAATGCTCTCTCGGAAGGCTCATTGCATCTCTGCCGTTCTTTCCCTGAGCGGCTTGGCAGTTCTGCTTGTTCTGGATCACCAGCTTCCCCTTCTCTCTAAACAACGGCGGCAGTCGCAGAAGTCTCGGGAAGCTGATTTCCTTCGGGATCATTGCAGGTCTCTGGCAGAGCAGGACAGAGCATTTATCTGGGGGAAGCATTTCCGCACCTCTTTCGGGAAGTCGTCTTCCTGCAAAGATTACGTCACCAGCAGTCACTACCTCACGAAAACCTTGTCTGCGGAGGAAGCTGGCTTCCCCATAGCATACGCCATCACCATCCACAAAGAATTTGGTACCTTTGAACGAGTCTTCCGAGCCATTTACATGCCCCACAACGTTTACTGCATCCACGTGGATAAGAAGGCACCTGACAGGTACCAGCAAGATGTGAAGAAGCTGGTCGATTGCTTTCCCAACGCCTTCCTCGTGTCCAAAGCAGAGGTGGTCATTTACACGGGGATAACCAGGCTCCAGGCTGACCTGAATTGCATGAAGGACCTCCTGAGGTCCACGGTTCAGTGGAAGTACCTCCTCAACCTCTGCGGCCAAGACTTCCCCTTGAAAACCAACAAGGAAATTGTCCGGAAGCTGAAAAAGTTTAACGGGAAAAACATCACACCTGGCATTCCCCTTGTAGATCCTTATACTGTGAGGACCAAATATTCTTTCAAACCATGTCTTGGAGATCACGAGGGAGAATATCCAATTCAAATGCTAAGCACCACGTATTTGAAATCAGAAGTGCCCCACAATCTGACTCTTTACCGTGGCTCTTCATACGTTGCCCTAACAAGGCCCTTTGTGGAATTTATTTTCTCTGATGAACGGGCCCTCGATTTGCTAGAATGGTCCCAGGACACTTTCAGTCCAGACGAACAATACTGGACGACACTCAGTAGGATACCAGGTACGTAGCAACATCCAACCGGTTCTGATTTTGTTGGCTGGGGTTTGTTGTCGGATCTAAAGTTGCACAGGTTCTCAAGGAGATGAATTGGTTAGAGTGTGGTGCTGGTCATGCCAAGGTTACAGGTTCGATCCCCATATGGGACAGCTGCATATTCCTGCATCCTTTCAAGTGATGCTGTGCTGGTTCCATGGGTTAATCGTGAGGCGGGGTCCGAGTCCAGTCCGAGGTTGAGGGTGCAGTATGGAGGCAGTCCGTCAAAGCTGAAGCTGGGTCCAAGGCAGGGAGTCGGGTGAGGTCAGGAGCTCCGGCAGGACAGGGTGCAGGCAGGAACTGGATACCAACAATGTTGCTCCCGCAACTTGGGACTGGGGCTGGTTGGCTTTTATCTGCCCCGAGGCATAGGGCGGCCCCGGTCCTCTGGTGACTTGCCTCTCCTGGCCTGGAGGTGAGCACTCCTCCTGTGGGAACTTAGTTCCCTCCGTCTCTCTGCCCTGAGCCTCTGCAGCTCAGGAGAGGCTGGAGGGTTACCAGACCCAGAGGCAACCTCAGCTTCCTCTGACGGGGCTGAGAGTGGAGCATCTGCAGGCAATGGGTCCTCCATCAGCTCAGAAGCCAGAGCAGACTCCGCTGGTGCCTGCACCTGAGGATCCAGCACAGGTGAGGACCCTTCAGGCTCAAGCCCCAGCCCTGGCTCAGCTGGTTCTGGAGGCGGGGAATCCTGTGCAGGCTGGGATTCCTCAGGTTCAGCCTCCGAGTCCGAATCCCAGGCCATCACAGATGCCTTGACCACATCCTGGCTCCAGTTGGTCAACGCTCCATGGCTGCCACAAAAAACCTTGTGCCTCCTGCTTTTCTGCCTGTTTTGACCAGCGCTTGCATGCTACACACTCCTGTTGTTCTCCCTTCTGGACAGCTAAGGGAGTGGGAGCCAAGGCCATCCACTTGCTCAGGGGACACCCTCGCTTATTTCTCGTTCTGGCAACCTGGCTCACTCCTTGGGGATGTTGATGAAGACACTTAAGTGGCCAGCTAAGGCCACTATCTTACAAAGAAACTGGTCTGACTATTTCAGTAAACTCCTCTTATATAACAGCAAAGGGGGCCAAGAATTGGAAGGGACGTGGGGCATCATCCCTCAAACCTACATGCACGATGGCCAGAGATGTTATTTCTTTCCGGGTCATTCTCTTACTGAGATGTTCCTGTTCGTTTAACAGCTGGATTCAGAAGTCATTAGGACAAAACAGAAACTGTTTGTACATACCATCCAACATTTCTCCGATGCAAACGGGGACATCCTAACCCATAATAATAATTTTACTATTTGGACACCACCCGGTATATTCTCTACCTACCATACCCACCAACATTTCTTTGATGAAAATAGGAACTTCCTAAGGAAAAGCGGGACATTCTGGGATCAAATCGTAAATCAGGGCAGCTTCTGTAAATCCAGGACCGTCCCTGGAAAATAGGGGCACTTAGAGGGTTTGCTTGTACACCTGGGAATTTAGGAAAATAATTTTTATAATATTTATTAAACAGGTTTGTTTCTCTCTCCCCCCCCCTCGAGATGATGCAGACAAAACGGAAGGATTTCAAATGAAATCCCAATTACCTTGGGAGAAACTGAGATAAATAAGAACTCCCAAAGCATGACGAAATGTCCATGTTTTCAATAGACCATCTGGCACTTTTAAGATTAACTGCTGTGCCCTCACAAGGCTCAACTTTTGGTTTTGCACTCTCTCCAAATAACAGACGTCCCTGGCTCCATGCCAAATGCTACACGAGAGGGCGGCTTGAGAGCTATCAAATGGATCAACGGAACTGTTGGGAAATGTTACGGTAAATGCACAGATTTGGCATTCTGCTGTCTAGCACTGAGAGCGGGCCCTCCTTTTATTCCATGACCTCTGTCTATGCTGGTCCTCTTTTCCCTTCAGTTTAATGAAGGCTTCAAAGAGGTTCGGAAACAAACTTGTGGCATTTCAGGACTTGCAGCACGTAGGCTCAGAAACACCAGCACTGACACGGTCCTGTTTCTTTCCTGGGCAATGCGCAGTTCCAGAAACCATCAGCTGGGTATTATTAATATCTATCTGGAGAATGACCACGCTTCCAGCTGAGGGCCTTCTGGTGGTTCCCTCAGTGTGAGAAGTGAAATTACAGGGAACCAGGCAGAGGGCCTTCTTGGTAGTGGCGCCTGCCCTGTGGAACGTCTTCCCAGCAGATGGCAAGGAAATAAACAACTATCTGACATTTAGAAGACAGCTGAAGGCAGCCCTCTTTAGGGAAGGTTTTAATAACTGGTGCTTTAATGTATTTTTAACCTTCTGTTGGAATCTGCCCAGAGTAGCTAGGGAGACCCAGTCGGATGGGCGGGGTAGAAATAATAAATTATTGTTATTATTAAATGCAGAGAGAAAGCTGAATGGGGCTCCTTTTGCATGATTGTTCAAGGTTATGAACCTGCAGATTACACCAAATTTGCACCCAAATTTGTGCACTAAAGTGCATACAAACAATTCCTGCATGAAAGGGGGAATATATGTACAGTGTTACTCTGCATTCATTTTTTGGCTGCCATACTTCTCTCATTGACTTTCATGGAATAATGTTTCACAGTCGGGGTCTTGAGAATTACAACCTTAGTGGCTTGGAGAACTCACAAGTCAATGTAAATAAAGAAGGTAGTGAGCTGCATCTTATATTATAAAGATAGTAATTAGCCAAGCCTTGTGGTAGAAGTGGTCTGGTGACGTATTTTCATGAAGAAAAATGCTGCTTCTGAAAGGAGTGGTCAAGACCATATTTCAAAAAGTAAAAACCAGGACACCACGAAAGCTGTTGAGATGTTTTTAGGAGGACGCCAACATTTTTAGGAAACCCCTTAAATCACCCCTAATTCACCTACCTGCATCATATATTTAGTCTGCAACAGCAAGTCCGCTGAGTAAAAGTTACCGTATTTTTCGCTCTATAAGACGCATCAGACCATAAGACGCACCTAGTTTTTGGAGGAGGAAAACAAGAAAAAAATATTCTGAATCTCAGAAGCCAGAACAACAAGAGGGATCGCTGCGCAGCGAAAGCAGCGATCCCTCTTGCTGTTCTGGCTTCTGGGATAGCTGCGCAGCCTGCATTCGCTCCGTAAGACGCGCACACATTTTCCCTTACTTTTTATGAGGGAAAAAGTGAGTCTTACAGAGCGAAAATTAAGGTATTTGTTTTTTAAAACTTTAACAGGCAGTGCCTTGTGCAGACAATTCAGGATTGTCTGCAAAACTCGCCTTGAGTTTAATTCCCACATAATATAGGGTTGCCATATTGTAGGGTTATAGGGTTGCCACAACCAGGACTCCCAAAAAGTTTTTTTTTAGGAAGACCCCAAAATTGTTGAGCTTCTTTTAGCCAGACATCAAAATTCCACCTTTAAAAACCCAATGGTATACAAATAATAATAATAATAATAATAATAATAATAATAATAATAATTTATTATTTATACCCCGCCCATCTGGCTGGGCTTCCCCGGCCACTCTGGGCGGCTTCCAAAAGAATATTAAAATACTATAATACATCAAACATTAAAAGCTTCCCGAAACAGGGCTGCCTTCAGATGTCTTCTAAAAGCCTGGTAGTTGTTGTTCTCTTTGACATCTGGTGGGAGGGTGTTCCACAGGGAAGGCGCCACTACCGAGAGGCCCTCTGCCTGGTTCCCTGTAACTTGGCTTCTCGCAGTGAGGGACCGCCAGAAGGCCCTCAGTGCTGGACCTCAGTGTCCGGGTAGAGCGATGGGGGTGGAGGCGGCTCCTTCAGATATACTGGACCAAGGCCGTTTAGGGCTTTAAAGGTCAGCACCAACACTTTGAATTGTGCTCGGAAGCGTACTGGGAGCCAATGTAGGTCTTTCAAGACCGGTGTTATGTGGTCTCTGCGGCCGCTCCCAGTCACCAGTCTAGCTGCCGCGTTCTGGATTAGTTGTAGTTTCCGGGTCACCTTCAAAGGTAGCCCCACGTAGAGCGCATTGCAGTAATCCAAGCGGGAGATAACCAGAGCATGCACCACTCTGGTGAGGCAGTCCGCAGGCAGATAGGGTCTCAGCCTGCGTACCAGATGGAGCTGGTAAACAGCTGCCCTGGACACAGATTTGACCTGTGCCTCCATGGACAGCTGTGAGTCCAAAATGACTCCCAGGCTGCGCACCTGGTCCTTCAGGGCACAGTTACCCCATTCAGGACCAGGGAATCCTCCACACCTGCCCGCCTCCTGTCCCCCAAAAACAGTACTTCTGTCTTGTCAGGATTCAACCTCAATCTGTTGGCCGCCATCCAACCTCCAACCGCCTCCAGGCACTCACGTAGGACCTTCACTGCCTTCACTGGTTCTGATTTGAAGGAGAGATAGAGCTGGGTATCATCTGCATACTGATGAACACCCAGCCCAAATCCCCTGATGATCTCTCCCAGCGGCTTCATGTAGATGTTGAAAAGCATGGGGAGAGGACAGAACCCTGAGGCACCCCACAAGTGAGGGCCCAGGGGTCTGAACACTCATCCCCACCACCACTTTCTGAACACGGCCCAGGAGGAAGGAGCGGAACCACTGTATAACAGTGCCCCCAGCTCCCAGCCCCTCAAGACGGTCCAGAAGGATGTTATGGTCGATGGTATCAAACGCCGCTGAGAGATCCAGCAGAACTAGGAAACAGCTCTCACCTTTGTCCCTAGCCCGCCGGAGATCATCAACCAGTGCGACCAAGGCAGTTTCAGTATGCCAAATCATTTTTATTAGTTTTACAAATTTTTTAATCAACACCAATTTACATCACATTTAATACGATTTCCCCATTAAGTTGACTTTGCACTCTTCATTCTTTTCTCTAATTACTTCTTTATATGACCTTCTTTATTTCCGATGAAAGTACTTTTATCTCTTGACAGGTCACTATAAAAGAGACATTTGTGTCTATGGAACTGGAGACCTTGAGTGGCTGCTATCCGGGCCACAACTGTTTGCTAACAAAGTTGAACTTGAAACATATCCACCTACTGTGGAATGCCTGGAACTGGCCGTTCGGGAGAGGGCACTGAAAGAGAGTGAAATACCTGTGGAGCCAAGTTGGTACCTTTAGGGGAACCGATATGGTTTACTTTAAGACGATGAACAGAGCCAACATCCTGGAAGAGCCAGTTTAGCTTGAAGCCATGCATGTTCCAATCTTGAACATCATAGCACTGTCAAAATTCAGGGCAATCGATATATTGGTTGATATTTTTTGCTATTTGATATACTTGATTATTTTTAGGATTTTGCATCCTGTTTTGGAACAGAGTTACTATCCATTTCTCCCACCCACCAAAGAACTCAGGTATCATTTGTTAATATTTTGGGAAGTCGTTTTGACCAACAGGAAGAAAGACAGTGAATTCATATTTCAAGCTGGTTGAATTAGACTTTGATCATTGTTGCAAGTCAGGTTTCACTAAGTGGTAGTCTAGACGACTGGATTAAAACTGACTACATATCGATACAAGATTTACTAAGGGGCCTTGTTATTTGCTGGAGGACTTGTGTCTGCGCACAAATATTGTACCTGTTTCTGAAGTGAGATTAAGGCCCGATATTCAGATATACGGGCTACCAGGATTCCTCTGTTATCTCCCACGCAAAGAAAAAACTCCATGAGTATCCTCCCCCCTTTTTTTATAATGTACATGAGTATCCCTTTCCCTTTTTTATAATGGGAGCCACACGCGCCCCCACAGATAATGTGGGAGCTCAAAATCGCCGCAAAAGAGCAAAACGTAAACTGCAAAAAAACCCAATATCTCTTGAAAACAAAGAGAAGATCTTCACACATAAGGGTTTTGTTTTTTTTAAAGAGATGGTTTTTCAGGTGCAACTGAACCAGTTTTTTTAGAGGGACTGCTTATGCTGATTAACGGCAAATCATTTCCATATTTCTGTGCACCATCTTAATAATAATAATAATAATTATTATTATTATTTCTGTGCACCATCTAAATCTTCATTCACCTCAGATGGTTTGAAAAGGTGATGGCCATATGTCAGGGGTAGCCAACGAGGTGCCGTTCAGATGTTGTTGCCCTAAAATTTCCATCAACGCTGAACGTTGGACATGCTAGCTAGGGCTGATACGAGCTGCACTGCAGAATAGCTAGTGGGCACCATGTTGACTATCCCTGTAATATTTGCTAAAAGTCCAGAGGAGAAAAATTAAAAAGCAGCATTTTCTTCTTTCCCTGTTTTACCATTTATTTATTTTTTAAATGGAGACTGAAATTTTATACAGAAAGGTTTCATCCGTGCAGAAATGTCCGCCAGTTCTTTCTTGGCATCTACCGTAAGCATGAAAATGGGTCTGCTAAATATGAGCTTGAACTGGTATGTCAATGAATTATGGACATTTAACGCAGCCCTCCGTTTCGTGACTCATTTCCATGTAGGCCCTTGCTGTTAAACATGTTGCCTATGTTTCAGTTTTGGTCTGTTAAGTGTTGTACTTTAAAGTGGAAGAGTATTTTTTCTTAGAAAAACAAACAGATTTGCAGATATTCATTGTAATTCTTTTTGTAACAATTCAATAGTAAATAAATAATTTGTTTTCTTAAAATAAAACTAAAAGAAACTGAATCATTTTCCTTTACTTCAGAATTGCATTGAGGGTATCAGAATTTGTATTAAGGGTACCAGCTTTTCAACCAGATCTGCAGCTGTGCCCTTAACAGCAATCAAGTTTGGATTGGTCTGCCGGAGAAAGACAACTGCAAAGTTAGGTGCAATGCTGAGCTCCTATAAAGGAATAAAACACCGGATGAGTTAGTATCCTTGGTGATGCAAACAATATGTCTATGCCAAAAATAAAAAAAGGTTTGTATTATTTTTCTGATTTTGTAATACGCCATCTTTGTTCATAGGTTTTGCAAGCTTTCTGTACTACAAAATCTACCAATGTTGAGACGCCTCTTTTTCCTTTAAAGAGAAAACAAAAACACAGAATGCAAAGGTCCACTGAACACAAAGCCCAAATTTTATTAAACTCTTGTTGTTTGTTGTTTCATAATCCATCACTGAATAAGCAAGAAAACAACCACTACAAACCTAACCATGAACTCAACAGAAGGTGGAAAAGTTGACTGAATTAAATGAGGCATGTTCCCGCTAATGTTGACATGTGGTTTATTTTCAGCAAAGATATATGGCACTTATCTTTCATTCTTTGGAATAAGTGCAACATGTAAAACCTGAGCAAGCTGGTTTAATGTTATGGTTACCGACTTGTCAATCAGCCTTTCACTTATCACTAGTATGGCCAATGATGATGGGAGTTGTAGCTGAATAGCATCTGTAATGTCAGAGGTTCCCCACCCTTACTTTAACCACAGCTTGGCGTGATGAATAAAAAGGTGGTTATGCTTCTCTCTGGGCTGTAAATATGCTGATTTATGCACATCATGCTACGGTGCAACTCTAGGTGCCTTCCACTCCAACAGCCCAAACAACAAAAGGTTTGCACAACAGAATCCTCTTAGCAGAAATTGGCAACTGAACAGGGGATGTTAGGGAGAAGGGATGAATGTATTTAGAAATGATGGTTGGAAAAAGCTACTTTAGTGAGAGCTGGACCATAAAGAAGGCTGATCGTTGAAGAATTGATGCTTTTGAATTATGGTGCTGGAGGAGACTCTTGAGAGTCCCATGGATCAAACCTATGGATCAAACCTAGATCTTGAGAGTCCCAAGATCAAACCTATCCATTCTGAAGGAAATCAGCCCTGAGTGCTCACTGGAAGGACAGATCCTGAAGCTGAGGCTCCAATGCTTTGGCCACCTCATGAGAAGAGAAGACTCCCTAGAAAAGACCCGGATGTTGGGAAAGATGGAGGGCACAAGGAGAAGAGGACAACAGAGGACGAGATGGTTGGACAGTGTTCTCGAAGCTACCAGTCTCGAAGCTACCAGTTTGACCAAACTGCAGGAGGCAGTGGAAGACAGGAGTGCCTGGCGTGCTCTGGTCCATGAGGTCACCAAGAGTCGGACACGACTAAACAACAACAACAAAAGGAGGGAGGAAAATAGAGGGGGCATCTGGGGTGGGAAGTCAGCTTTTCCATTTGTATTTGAATTTGTATTAATTTCGTGACCATTTGTTAGAAATGATGGGAAATCAAAAATAATTGGCCAGAAAGAAACCTCATGCAGGTAAAATTTGTTTCCTGCAAATGGGACCTGCAAGTTTTGCCAGCTACACGGAGTTTCCCCACAAGGGCAGCCTTTACGCTTTGGGGGTTTACGGCTCTTGGTTGGCCTGGAGCAAAGCAAACGATAAGCCTAGGTTTAGATGACTAGTAAGCCATGAGCAAAGTGCAAACTAGGCCACTGTCTTAGTTCTGTGGTTGGAACAATTTCCCCTTTTCCAATTCTGGAAACCCCCAGATTCTACACATCCATCCAAAGGCGAGAAAATAGCTTTTCCGTCTGAAGGTATGGCAGGGTGCCAGCAGCCAGCATCTTCTTCAAACAATTTTTGTTCATTATTTGTGGATACTGAATGCCTGACAAGGGCTATAGCGAATCGCTGGGCTTAACAGTCTAGCTATTTTAAAAATCACAGAGATTTACCGTTGCTGACAATCTGAGAGGCCCTTTATATGGGGCTGAAAGGTAGTCTATTAACGTTTTAATCAATGCATGTGGGAAATGCTGCAGCTAAAGTCCATTTCCTCTTTACTTTTGATATACATTGCAAACTGTGGCTGCAAAAATAAGATGTTAAGCAATCACTCCCAGAGATTCTGCAAGAAATATGTACTTCTAGGGTTGCCATATTTCAAAAAACCACCAAAAAATCCACAATTTTGCAATTGATTTGGCTAAGATCCAGGACAAAAAAGCACCACCTTTTGGAGATTCCCCCCGGATGTCAATTCCGCCTTTGAAATCCCGGTAAATGGATGCCAAATAATTTTTATTCGTTTCCCAAGTTTTTAACCAACAAATAGCTTCAATGCAAAAGTGAACATGTCATTTGCCAACATTCTAAAAGTTGGATCTCCAAGTAAAACAGATGCACCCTCTCACCCAAGTGCCTGCCAATACAACCTGTTTTTTCCCCACCTCCCCAGAAGAAAAGAAGGCAAGTATATTTAGCAAGCAATCAACAGTCTGCAATGTACAAGTGTGGTGGGCCATGTTCTCCTTGCGCAGCTTGTGTGTTCTAAATGGAGGGAGACGACTGCTCCTTTCATTCGCAGCGTAGTTCTTACAAATCTCTTTTAAATCAGAACATAAGGCAGTTATAATAGTGCTTTCTCAAAGCACCTCATTGCTCCCCAAGAGATGGCGCAAATCGATAACCTGTGTAAAGCACCCCACCTGCTGAACTGATAAAGAATTGCAATTCCATCATTCTGAAATTATAATGCTCGAGGACCATTGCATTTTGTTTGTTTTTTAAAAGAAGAATTTTCCCTCCTGTTTCCAACTAAGCAGGAAGAGGGAGTAGCCTCAGCGCCGTAGGCGAATAATACTTGCGCCTGATTTTCTCTTCTTTTTAACATAGGGGGAAAGTGACCTCAGGACCGACTGATCTCCTGAAACAAGTATTACGGCAACTATTATTTTGTGGGCAAGTCCCTGATGTCTCCAGACTTGCATGCAAAGGAAGGGTTCAGAGGTACAGTATGTGACTTCCACGAGAAATCCTCAAATTCAGCCTCCAGCCAAGGCTGGGAAAGATTCCCATTTGAAACCACGGAGAACCAGAGCCAATCTGGCTCAGGACCGCAAAACCTCAAGGAACACCTCTCCCCTTATGACCCAACCCAAACACTGCAGAGATGATCAGAGGTTCTTTTGAGAAGATTACGTATCCATAGCTTCACCTTGATTACAGATGCCAAAGCATCCGAGTTCTTCCAAGCTTCATGATAAACGCCAAACATCCAGCTTAATGCACCTGCTCTGTCTCTGACAATTGGAGAATCTTTGGACCCAAAGTTCCTAGAAGAGGATGATGTATTTTTCATGTATTTTTTAAATTTTCATGTATGTTTAATCTTTTGCTGGAAGCCGCCCAGAGTGCCTGGGGAAACCCAGCCAGATGGGCGGGATATAAATAATAAATTATTATTATTATCGAATGTTCGGGAGAGAATCACTCTCTCCAAGAAATATAATCGAGCAGTTGCAGAAGCGAGGAACTTCGCCTGGCGCTTAATCTGGAGTCGTTTTGACGTCAAGGAAAGATGCCAACGAGCCTTATCTGCCTGTTAGACTGAGAGAGCAGCAGCTTGGCTTTTTATTTACCCGTTTAAAAAAAATTAAAACTTCAGTGTTATTATTGGGTTCTTTTTTGTAGTTGTAACTTTTTGTTGATACTGTAAGCCATCCAGAGAATATTACTGGGCAGCCTGCCTATAAATGCGGCAAACAAATAAATTAATGACACAGGAGTAGCAACTTCTTTTTTAAAAATATTCTATAATGTAAATAAGAGGCACTTACCCGTTGGCATCTTTTACACTTCTAAAATAGAACCATACGTCTTCGCCACAAATAATAGCAGTTTACTGCCACACTTTGCAACCTGCCCTCAAAATATTTAGGAACAAAGCCTTGCCTCCTAGCATGAATGCTTAGGTAAAGGTAAAGGGACTCCTGACCATTAGGTCCAGTTGTGGCCGACTCTGGGGTTGTGCGCTCATCTCACTCTATAGGCCGAGGGAGCCGGCGTACAGCTTCCGGGTCATGTGGCCAGCATGACTAAGCCGCTTCTGGCGAACCAGAGCAGCGCACGGAAACGCCGTTAACCTTCCCGCTGGAGTGGTACCTATTTATCTACTTGCACTTTGACGTGCTTTCAAACTGCTAGGTTGGCAGGAGCTGGGACCGAGCAACGGGAGCTCACCCCGTCGCGGGGATTCGAACCGCCGACCTTGTGATCGGCAAGTCCCAGGCTCTGTGCTTTAACCCACAGCTCCATCCATGTCCCTAGCATGAATGCTTAGGGTTCCAGAAAACATAGATGCCAAAAAACTTGAATGTGTCAGATGTGAACCAGTGTGGCAAAGAGGATGGGATATTACACTTAAGACATTTGGATTTAAATCCTGTTCAACTGGGTGTCCTCTGACAATATATTATTTCAGCCTAACCTACAGCACAGGGCTGTTGTTCGCAGAGTAAAACAGGACCTCTTCATGAAGGCCAGGCCAAGATCCTTTGAAAAAGCATGGGACAGAAATATGAAACTATGTTAAGTTATTCTAACGGGAACAGAGGCACACAGCCAGGATGGTCACCACTTCCAAACAAATGGCAATTTATCTTGAAGGAGTATTTTCGGTTACAACTGACTGGGGAAATGAATTCAAGTATGTTAAAGCAAAATCTCTTCCTCAAACGCTAGGCTGGCTCAGTCCAGAGAGACTCCTACAGGAATACTGTATAGGAAGAGCAATTTCCCAGTCATTTTTCTTCTAGGCAAACCCAAAAGGCATCAACGCGAGGATCCATAGCAGCAGAAAATTGTGTTGAGAAAAAAACACACCAAAATAAAATGATCTGCATGGAGATTATCACAAGTGCAACCCAATCTCACAAGCAATCCTTTGTCTGCTTCCAACCGGATCCCATGGCGCAGAGAGAGAAACTATTTCGGTTGTTTTTGCTTCAACTGATCATGCTGTTCCAGCGGGACAGGGATTTTCCAAGTACTCTAAATGAACTTCCAGGTTGCCATATGCCAGGCGCAGAACATTCAAGACCTTTTCTTGGATGAGCTGAACTTGTTCTGCGGGGCAGTAGTCATCTAAGCTAGATCTGCAATAAAAAAGGAGGGATTGCATGGCACAATGTTGTCGTTTAATTATCCCATTCTCATCGGTCTCTTTTCCAAGTCAGAATTTCAACGCTCGCACTAACGTTCCTTGCTCCCCAAGGTGACTTGGACCATAACCCCAACACATGGTTTTCTGGGCGTGCACCCCAGTGAATTCTGTGGCCCATACTTCTGGGCACACATGCAGTAAGAATGCACATTTGGGAACCAATGATCATTACAAAAGAATAGGGCCCTGCGGGGCTTGACATCTTTCGGCAGGGCCTGCAAGACAGAGCTGTTCCACCAGGCCTTTGGCCAAGGCACAGTCTGACCCCCCTCCTTCTGTGATCCTCATAGAACTCTAGCCCAATGGTTGCCATTAATTTGATTCTGAATTGATTTGATTCTGAATTGATTTTAGAATGTATTTCAATTAATTGATTGTGATTTTATGTAAACTGTGCTATTTTTACTGTTGTTAGCCGCTCTGAGCCCGGCTTTGGCTGGGGAGGGCGGGCTATAAATAAATTATTATTATTATTATTATTATTATTAGGGGCTGGACTGAGGAGGAATGGTGAGGACTGCCCCCCTTCTCCCAAACCCTCCTGAGGAGGACAGTACAGTGGTACCTCAGGTTAAGTACTTAATTTGTTCCAGAGGTCCGTTCTTAACCTGAAACTGTTCTTAACCTGAAGCACCACTTTAGCTAATGGGGCCTCCTGCTGCCGCTGCGCCGCCGGAGCACAATTTCAGTTCTCATCCGGAAGCAAAGTTCTTAACCCGAGGTACTATTTCTGGGTTAACTGAGTCTCTAACCTGAAGCTTATGTAACCCGAGGTACCACTGTATAGATTTAGAAGAGTGGTTTGCAGAAGGACATAGTTCAGAGGCGGCAGAGGGGAGAAGCTGGGAAATATTGGGAGAGAGGCAGCAAGCAGCAGCAGGGGAGAGACAGTTGAAAAGACTCAGTGTCTTTGGAAAGCATTCCTGACCCCCTCTCCCAGAACCAGGCAGGCGTTGAAGGTGATAGAGCAGAAAGCTCAGAGGCAGAAAACTCAGCTTAGCCGATGCAGGGATGACAAAGAAGAGAAGTTATGGAGGGGCTTTACTCAGAGCAACCACCATTATTCAGGGAAGTCGACCTTCCTTCGTCTCTCTCTGTGAATGCTAACAAATTATGTGGTAGGGACTTTTATTGTTTCTCTGCTTCTTGGCTGCTACCGTGGGAGGGATCAGATTCCCTGAAGCTTGACAATTATGGGACCTGACACAACTCATTCTCTGAAATTGAATTGAAATACTTTATTGTCCCTTGTACAACTTGTATACAGTGAGATTACACAAGCACCCCCCACTCGGCTCTCTTAGTCTTAATTCCCCTCGTTTACTGATGCACACCCACCAAACCTGAAAGTCAGTTGCCCTGTTGTTATCTTTTCCTTCAGCAGCCTAACAGCCCACGGATAGAAGCTGTTCTTTACCCTGTTGGTGCGACTAATCCTGCTTCTATATCTTCTGCCTGAGGGCAGGAGATCAAGAAAGTGCCGGCCAGGGTGTGAATCATCCTTGAGAATTTTCCTCACTCTCTTGAGGCACCGTTCTTCCGCTATTTCATCTAGCGGATCCACAGGACAGCCCATAATATCTTGTGCTGTATTCACCACCCTCTGTAGGCATTTCCTATCAGATGATGTCAAACCAGCATACCACACCATGATGCAGTATGAAAGGACTAATAGCAAACTAAGATTCTAATAGCAAACTACTCCAGTGGGCGAGGGTCAACAGGATTCGGGCCAAAACAGTACCCCCACCGTATCTTACCGGGCTATCGTCACAAGCGTGGGCTTCGGCAAGTTCCTCAAGAGACGTTCGACAGCCTGCACCAGACTCTCAATTTCGTGCTCTGTGCTGACGTGGTGAGGAAGTTCGGAGTAATCGCACGTGAGCCCAGCCTGGTGCACCTGAAAAGTGGATAGCACAAAGGGGCTCAGCGCAGTTCTCTGAGCTGGCCTGTGGCACTAGTTCTGATACCAACGCAAACGGAAGACTTGGTTTGCTAATTCGGGCAAAGGGGCTGCATGCCCAGGCAGTGTGGTATAGTGGTTAGCGTGTCGGACTAGGATCTGGGAGATTAGGGGTGAAATCCCCACTTGGCCACAAAGCTCACTGGGCCAGTCGCTGCCTCTTAGCTTAACCTACCTCGCAGGGTTGGTGTGTGGGGTTAAATAAAGAGGAGAAGAACTGTATATGCCACCTAGAGCTCATTGTGGAGAAAAGGGTGGGGTAAAAATGCAATAAATGAACGAATGAAACACAGTTCAAAGTGTTGGTGCTGACCTTTAAAGCCCTAAATGGCCTCAGTCCAGTATATCTGAAGGAGCATCTCCACCCCAATCGTTCAGCCTGGACACTGAGGTCCAGCACCGAGGGCCTTCTGGCGGTTCCCTCACTGCGAGAAGCCAAGTTACAGGGAACCAAGCAGAGGGCCTTCTCGGTAGTGGCACCTACCCTGTGGAACGCCCTCCCACCAGATGTCAAAGAGAACAACTACTACCAGACTTTTAGAAGGCATCTGAAGGCAGCCCTGTTTAGGGAAGCTTTTAATGTTTGATGCATTACTGTATTTTAATATTTTGTTGGAAGCTGCCCAGAGTGACTGGGGGAGCCCAGCCAGATGGGCGGGATATAAATAACAACAACAACAACAACAACAACAACAACAACAAAAATAATAATATCTTATTATTAACAAAAAAGCTAAGATTTTCAGGTTGGGGCCCCTATCTGGTTCCATAGGCCCAAAGTACAGCCCTGAAATTTGATAAAACAGACTTACCATTTCATAATCGGGCGTTTCCATTCGATTTTTCAAACTATGCACAAGCTGGACTAGAAGTTTCATCCTGTGATAACAAAACACACATGCATCATATTCTGCAAATGTTATGAACGAGACTAAGAATGAGCCATTATACAAATGAAGGTTGTTAGATTTCAGGGGTATTTCCACCCCCAGAATCTGGATAACTATTGCTGAATTCACCCATATATCTGTGTCAAGAACCAGGCAACAGCACACACACACAAATTACTCAAGCACAATAATGTAATTTAAGTGGGTGTAAAATTGTTGTTTAGAATTATGCTGTGCCCGCTGACATCTTGCAGCTGAATATGTGAACTACACCAAAAAAGCACTGCATTCTCCAAGAATGTCAAGTCCAGGTTCAACCCCCTGCAATGCAGGAATCTTTTGCCCAACGTGGGGCTCAAACTCACAACCCCGAGATTAAGAGTCTCCTGCTCTCCTGCCTTCTTCGCGTGCAGTGAAGCTTCCTCTCCCTCTCTAGCCCAACCTCCCGAGGTGCACCTGAAAGATCAGCTCTGGAGGTTTGGGGTTCCCTCTGGAGCAGATTTTGTGGGGTGCGCCATGCTGAAGGTTTTATGATCTCCGGATCATAAATCACTGGGTCCAGCAACACGTTTGCTTGAGCGGTTGCTTTAAAACAGCCCAGAACCAGCAGAGTAACACAGCTCCTTATCTTGGAAGCGAATTAGGGATCGGTGGCACACAAGAGGCAATAAGAACACTCCTGGAAGCGATAAATCTCAGCCAAGTAGTTGTTTAAGCCGGTCATAAAATGCCTAAGTTACAATATATAGCAGGGGTGTCCAACTTCCAAGAGCCTGCAATCTACTCCCACTATAAAATGATCTACTCATTGGATTGACCAGAGTTGAGTTGTTGAGGTTGTTGAGCTTTTTTTAGGGGGAGAGAACAGAGTTGTTGTGCTTCCTCCCCCCCCCTTTGGGGGGGTGTCCGTCGCTCAAGATCACCAGGACCAACCATGGACAGCCTGCGATTGACCGGCAGAACGAAACTGACCAGTTGGACAGGCCTGATACTCCATTCCAAAAGAGTAAAGGGGAGCTTAAAGCCCATGTAAGAGTCTCTGTGTGAGTGCCTGGAGGCGGTTGGAGGATGGATGGCGGCTAACAGATTGAGGTTGAATCCTGACAAGACAGAAGTACTGTTTTGGGGGGACAGGGGGCGGGTGGGTGTGGGGGATTCCCTGGTCCTGAATGGGGTAACTGTGCCCCTGAAGGACCAGGTGCGCAGCCTGGGAGTCATTTTGGACTCACAGCTGTCCATGGAGGCACAGGTCAATTCTGTATCCAGGGCAGCTGTCTACCAACTCCACCGGGTGCGCAGGCCGAGACCCTACCTGCCCGCGGACTGTCTCGCCAGAGTGGTGCATGCTCTGGTTATCTCCCGCTTGGACTACTGCAACGCGCTCCACGTGGGGCTACCTTTGAAGATGACCCAGAAACTGCAATTAATCCAGAATGCGGCAGCTAGACTGGTGACTGGGAGTGGCCGCTGGGACCACATAACACTGGTTCTGAGAGATCTGCATTGGCTCCTAGTACGTTTCTGAGGACAATTCAAAGTGTTGGTGCTGACCTTTAAAGCCCTAGACGGCCTCGGTCCAGTATATCTGAAGGAGTGTCTCCACCCCCATCGTTCAGCCTGGACACCTCTCTGTGTCTCTTGTAGGAACTGTGCACGTCCAAAGATAAGTTCCCCCAGCTAGCGCCCACTATAATAGACTCAACGACCAGCCAAAACTCTTGACTCTTCTTTCCGTTCATGCTGATTCTGGAAACGAATGCCTCTCAGTCATTCTCCCCCAACCTGCCAGCAGAACGCCAACTTGTGCCTACTCAGAGGTAAGCCCCATTGAATTCAATGGGGTTTACTCCCTGTTAAGTGGCGTCGGGCCTTGCTCACTGTGTGAGCCAACTTGCGGGACTGGCTGAAAAGATGGGGTAGAAATGCCTATGTAAGTTGTGTCCTAACATCTTATCCCGCTAGATAGCTATCATGTTTTGTGGACAGACTGCCCTTTGAGCCTTTTTCAGACTGGCAACCCATCTTTTAACTCTGATCTGCGACCGGGGGAGCCCTGGCAGCTTTAAAAAGTTCTTATTTAACCTTCTCCATTCATCTGCCAACCCAAAGAGAAGCGACTCTCTTCGCTCCCTCACCCAGGACTCGAAGCCCATCTCTGCAGGTTCTCCTCCGTGTCATCGTCGCACAGGTCAGCAAAAGCTGCTTCAAGGTCTTCCAGCTGGTGGACGCGATTCTCAACGCAGTCTAGCAAGTCCTCCTTTAAATATAAAAACAGAACAACACTGGGTGACAGAGACTCTTCACTGGCGACTCAACTTCAGCGCCAGTTTGATGGTTCAGAAAAGTGTAATCTTGTTTGGATCTGGTGTAAATTTATGCTGGCTTGTATTTTGCCACCTTCTTATGGGCAGGATTGCTCCCCTAGTTACCAACCACCTGCCAGGGGTGAAGTGATAACTGGCTTCCCTGGTGCGGAAATTGAAAATTAAATCAGAAATTAAATTATTGAGGGGCGGGGCCGCGAGGGGCCTATAAATGCTCCTGAAACGGGAATGCCCTCAAATAAACGACTACCCAATTGAACATAAACCTTACACAAATAAATAAAAATGCCTCAAAATCCAAAGCAATTCGGGAGAGAAATTGCCTTGCGCGTGCGGGAATTAAAAAGGCGCCTCTTTATCTGTTTCCCCTTGGCAAACGGACTTTGGCAGATTAAACTCACAGCCACGGCAAAACTGTGAAAACTGAATAAACATTTTGCGAGGAAAACGTTTCATAGGCCCCGCTTCACAGCCGTCAGCTTGGCATAATCGCAGCCCAAGTTTGCCAAGTAATTTCCCCTCCTGTCTTTCTCAAACACGCAGCTTATAAACTGAGGTAAAACGATACAAACTGCCTTTCACCCCTCCTCCTCCTTGAATGCATTGGATAGAACCATACATAGAATCACAGAATGACAGAACTGGAAGGGAACATGAGGTTCATGTAGTCCAGTGGTTCTCAAGCTGTGGGTTCCCAGATGTTATTGGACTACAACTCCCATCATCCCTGAGCTCTGGCCTTGCTAGCTAGAGGTGATGGGAGTTGTAGTTCAACAACATCTGGGGACCCACAGGTTGAGAAAGGCTGAGTTCAACCGCCTGCAATGTGGGAATCTTGCTCAAATCCACAACCCTGAGATTCAGAGTCTCTACCCACTGAGCTATTGCCGGCCCATACCTCTGACAAATTGCTGTTAGGCTTCTTAAAACTGTACAGTTCTTGTAAGATCTTGTATTCCTCCTATTTAAAAAAGGAAAGGAAAGGGGGAAAAACAAGAGCGGGGGGATTATTCATAGAACCATTCTGCTGTTATTGCTGTAATGTGAAGAGCAGTTTTGCCTTTAGCACCTTCCTTTCACACCTTAAACATTTCTACGTCCCGAAGAGAAAGCACAACCATCAAGCAAGTGAAACTCTTTTGGCTAACGTCTGCTTCCCAGATATGAAGCGAATATTAAGACAGCGTGGCACTAAGGATTTCTTTAAGCGGCTGCTGCTACAAATCTCTACATATGGTATAAACAAGATGAGATCTAGTCTTTCAAACACCATTATCTATTTTCTGCTTGTTTTTCTTCCCGGCTGTATTTCGCCTGGCAGTTCACCCATGCTTTTCCAGGAGCTGTGGTTTAAACCACCGAGCCTCTCAGGCTTGCCAATCAGAAGGTCGGCAGTTCGAATCCTCGCGACGGGGTGAGCTCCCGTCGCTCTGTCCCAGCTCCTGCCAACCTAGCAGTTCAAAAGCATGCTGGTGGAAGTAGATAATTAGGTATTGCTGTGGTGGGAAGGTAAACGGCGTTTCCGTGCACTCTGGTTTCCGTCAAGGTGTCCCATTGTACCAAAAGCAGTTTAGTCATGCTGGCCACATGACCTGGAAAGCTGTCTGCGGACAAACGCCAGCTCCCTCGGCCTGAAAAGTGAGATGAGTGTTGCACCCCATAGTCAAATTTGACTGGACTTAACCGTCCAGGGGTCCTTTACCTTTTCCCAGGAGTCTTATCTGAGCATTCATTGAATCATGAGTTGGAAGCGACCCTGAGGAGGATCTCGTCCAACTCCCTGCAGTGCAGGAATTGTTACAAGACTGTAAACTGTGAGGGAGGGAAGCATCTTTTGGTCTCACCTAGACCATCCCACTGTCCTTAGCTTTAACCCCACCCACTCTAGGTTCTAAATCACCGCATTTTTCACTCTATAAGACGCACCAGACCACAAGACGCACCTAGTTTTTGGAGGAGGAAAACAAGAAAAAAAATATTCTGAATCTCAGAAGCCAGAACAGCAAGAGGGATCGCTGCGCAGTGAAAGCGGCAATCCCTCTTGCTGTTCTGGCTTCTGGGATAGCTGCGCAGCCTGCATTCACCCCATAAGACGCACACACATTTCCCCTTACTTTTTAGGAGGGAAAAAGTGAGTCTTATAGAGCAAAAAATACGGTATATATAGTCATACTTTGATTCTTGAACGCCTTGCGACTCAAACATTTTGGCTCCTGAACGCCGCAAACCTGGAAGCAAGTGCTCTGGTTTGTGAACGTTTTTCGGAAACCAAACGTCCGACGCAGCTTCTGCTTGAGTGCAGGAAGCTCCTGCAGCCAGTCGGAAGCTGCGCCTTGGTTTTTGAACAGCATCAGGAGTCAAACGGACTCCTGGAAAGGATTAAGTTTGAGAACCAAGGTACCACTGTACGAGCAAGGATGGCTGAGGAGAGGAGCCAAGAAGCAAGAGACAAGGGTTGGGTGACGTTTGGCTTTTGAAGTCGCGATGCATCACCAGATGAACCTCGCAATCCGGCAATATAGTACAATGTTGAAGCAAGCTGCCTTGGCCCAACCCATGGGGCATGGGAAACTGCTGCAGCTCTCTCTCCCGACCCCCCCATCACAGTGAGCCCTATGTCTCCATTGAGGGGCAGGCATCTGCGGACCCCTGAACAGATAAGTTTAAAGGAGCCCCCATCCCGCAAGCCAGAAGCGATTGGGCGGCTGTGTTTCACTAGAGGAAGCCCTGCGAACGGAACAGGTCAGGCTCCATCTGCAGGGACCCCTTCATCTTTTTTGGGGGGGGGGGAGCGGGTGAGTGGGATGTCTTTTTCTCCTGGAAGAAAGAGGCAACTCGTCCGCCCCCTGTACTGGCGAAGGCGGAGGAAGCCCTGCAAATAGAGCCCCTCCAAAATACTCTACTGTTGCCCCCCTCGGTGGTCACCCCCGAACACACTTCAGGAGGGTTTTAGGGGGGTTACCTTTTCCCCTCCCCCTTCTGCTGATGTTCAGGACTTCTGCAAACTCAGGCGTCTCCCAGAGTTTGCCAACCCGCCCCTCTTGCGTACTGCTTTGCCCCCACAATTAGTGGTACCTGAGCAGCAAAAATAAGGTAAAGGTTAAGGTTAAGGTAAAGGTAAAGGGGCCCCTGACCATTAGATCCAGTCATGGCCGACTCTGGGGTTGCGGGTTCATCTCGCTTTATTGGCCGAGGGAGCCGGCGTACAGCTTCCAGGTCATGTGGCCAGCATGATTAAGCTGCTTCTGGCCAGCCAGAGCAGCGCACGGAAATGCCGTTTACCTTCCCACCGGAGCGGTACCTATTTATCTACTTGACGTGCTTTCGAACTGCTAGGTTGGCAGGAGCAGGGACCGAACAACGGGAGCTCACCCCGTCGCAGGGATTCGAACCGCCGACCTTCTGATCTGATCGGCAAGTCCTAGGCTCTGTGGTTTAACCCACAGCACCACCCGCGTCCCAGCAAAAATAAGAGGGAACCATAATTGAACACTGGGTGCTTTTAAAGGTATTTCCTCCATCGTTCTAACAAGGTTAATTGACCAAAGGCTGCAGTCTGGTAGTTTTACCTGTGTGTACATTTCTTTGAAAGGGTTCTTGACAGAAAAGAAATCCAAGTCAATATCGAGAACATAAGCAGAGCCCTTCTGTATCGCTTGGAGGATGTCTTCAAGGAGCACTGGCACTGGGTGGCCATTCTTTGGATCCGGGAGGCTGTCTGTTGTCTCCCGCACACGGGTTCTGTTTTTGAATCCTCCAGCCTCTTCGCCTGCGCAGCTGTGGGCGAGGGGAGGAACGTCCTTCGACGAAGAGGCTGCCGAGGCGTTTGCTGCATCGCCCCCACTCAACCTGAGCTTCTTAGCAGAAGGCACAGCTCGGCTTTCCTCCCGGGTGCCGGCAGCTTCCAAAGGATCCACGAGGCAGACGCTGAGCTGCAAAGACTTCTCGCCTTCTAGCTGGCCGGCAGGGACGTACAGACCGTCGGAAAGGAAGTAATCGTCTGGGCAAGTAACCCTGGAATAGCGACGACAGCGATTCTTAGCAAGGATGAGGATGCAAGAATGCGAGAAATACTTTGCTAGAACAGCGGGCCCCATGTACACTAGCATTCCCTTTCCCAAAGTAGCCAAAATACTGTGAAATTGCTTCAAGATGTTTCATAGGAAGCAATTCATAAATGGAATTCAATAAACAAGTGAAATAATAATAATAATAATAAAATAAAAATAAAAAACAGGTCTGGAATGCGCCCGAGAATGAAATTATTTCCATACATAACCCTTCCATACATAACCCAACTCCCATCTCTTGCGGGGGTGCAATTAGTGCCAGCACCGTCTGTTAAGAGTTTGGGTGTAATCTTCGACACCTCCCTTTCCATGGAGGCGCAGATTGCAGCTATAACAAAGGCAGCATTTTTTCATCTCCGCCAAGCTAAGCAGTTGGCTCCTTAGCTCTCTCGCCCTGACCTAGCCACTGTGATCCACGCGACGGTCACCTCCAGACTGGATTATTGTAACTCGCTCTACGTGGGGCTGCCCTTGAGACTGACCCAGAAACTCCAGCGGGTGCAGAATGCCGCAGCGAGACTCCTTACAGGGTCCTCGCTGCGATATCACATTCACCCGGTGCTATACCAGCTGCACTGGCTCCCGGTGGAGTACAGGATCAGGTTTAAGGTGCTGGTTTTAACCTTTAAATCCCTATACGGCCTAGGACCCTCGTACCTACGGGACCGCCTCTCCTGGTATGTCCCACGGAGGAACTTACGATCTTCAAACAAAAAAATCTTGGAGGTCCCAGGCCACAGAGAGGTTAGGCTGGCCTCAACCAGAGCCAGGGCTTTTTCGGCTGTGGCTCTGATCTGGTGGAACACTCCGTCACAAGACACTAGGGCCCTGCAGGACTTGACATCTTTCCACAGGGCCTGCAAGACAGAGCTGTTCCACCAAGCCTTTGGCCAGGGCACAGCCTGACTCCCTCCTTTGGCAATCTTCACAGAACTCCACCTGACTCCCTCCCAATGGTTGCCATCAATTTGATTTGAATTAATTTAGGATTAAATGATTTTAGAATGTTGTATTATTTTATTGTTGTTAGCCACCCTGAGCCCGGCTTTGGCTGGGGAGGGCGGGATATAAATAAAATTTTATTATTATTATTATTATTATTATTATTCCAATGGCGCAGCAATAAACTGTTGGCACATTTACAAAGCTAAGCAGGGTCCGGTATGGCTTCAAATTGGATGGGAGACCGCGTGCAGAGATTCCCACATCCCTGCCAATTCTATAATAATTCTATAATTCCATACCAGCAGTGAAGGCTGATCTGGTGGGGCAAATGGGGCACTGCCCCATCACACTCAGTCGGCCCTCAGCCAGTTCCCAACTCCCTGACTTCCAAACTTCTTGCAACCAAATCAGAGTGCTGATCTGCCTGTCACTGGCTCTAATGCGAGGCCATTAAGATGGAACCACATAACAGCAGCCTCTCTATCTAACACAGCTTTAGAGAGGCACCGGCAATAGTTACCTTATGGTCGTCGTGGAGGTGTCTTTACCTACTAAGAAACGATGGGTGCCTTCTTCAATTTGCTGAGCCCAAGGCGGGTGCAGCCACAGGACGTGCGAAAAGTGCCCAGCATAGACGGCAGGCATAATCCAGTTTTCAATGCTTAGCTCACTGCAAGAGGGGGAGAAAGATGGATTGAGAAAGCTGCTGCTCTTTGAAAAGGTCGCGTACAAATGCCGTTGTAATAAAGGTGAGACACAGCCTGTGTTAAGAAGTGAACATTACTTAGAATGCTTCCTTAAATAATTTTTATTAAGCTTTCAATTTTACCTTTCAAAATAAACATTTTCCAAACTTTAAAATATCCAATGACTTCCCTTCTCCTCCTCTCTCAGCCGCCATGCTCACTGGGTGAGCTTGTTCTCATGTTATATTTCCTGCCCCACCAAGACAAAAGCATCCCAAAGTTCAGGAAGCAGCTGGAGAACACTCCGGCTCCCATGCAAAATGAAAACCGCATCTCCTCAAGGAGATGGATTGTGCGATCCTACCTGAACAGAGATTCTTTATCGAACACTGTATCCGCAGGCATGTTCACGGGTATAAGGAGGTCTGGATGAGAATCCAAATGGACAAAGCAGATGTCACTGGCAGGAAGATGCTTCGAACCGATGGCTCGGTAGATGAAAGGAAGAACCTGGAACAACAGGAATAGAAGCATCTGCAGGAAAGCAAGACTGGGGTGCAGAGTTATTGCAAAACACCCAGACGTTGTCGTTCCACAAGCATGCAGAAAATTCTATTTGGCTTTCTTTTTAAAAAAAGGATAGCTGGAACTTGTGGCTAACTCATTTGCCTTTATCGCAACCACAGAGTTACTCAAAAGGCATTTTCCACAAGTTTAACAGCTCTTATTTCTAGGTAAGGCTGGCACTGCAGTAATAACCACAATTTACATGCCACCCATCTGACTGGGTTGCTCAAGCACCAGACCTCTTAATGGACCTAATGCTTAGGATTGCTATAGGGGCAGAAAGGGCCCTATGGGGATAGACTCTGCAACAGAACCGCTAACACATTTACACAGCTAAGCAGAGTCAGGTATGGTTTCACACTGGATGGGGGCCCGTGTGTTGAGATTTTCTGCATTGAGGCGAGCTGGACTCTATGACCCTCCTGGTCCCTTCCAACTCTACCATCCTGTGATTTTATGGACTCCATAGTGCACCGCATGCAGGATTATTCAATCCCCGGCACGCAGGATTGTCTCCACGTAGAGCTTGCCTGTCAGTACAAATAACTAGATGGACCAAAAATTTATACGCGGGACGGCATAGGTGTAGCCAATGTTTTTGTTGGGGGGCAGTCCTGGGGGGGGGGGGCAGAACCTGTTAGCTTTATATTTTGTTACTGATTTTTCGGAGGCGGGAGCTCCCTTGACTCTCCCCGATTAATTGCGCCTCTTCAGATCGCACCATCAGCAGTGAAAGCTACGCATCGGATTTCCCCTTTCGCCCGCTGACCGCTTACTTCGTGATGATCCTCCACCACCCAGACAGGAAGCGCCGCGTACGCACGGAGGAGTCCGGCGGTCCCGCCGCCGCCGCGCTCCGCAGCCCCGCCGTCGCTGCTCATTGCTTGAGCGGCACCGAACGTTCAGGCGCGCAGGATTCCGAAAGCGAACGCGAAGACTTTCGCAACGTTCGGGCCTCCGAACTCCGGCAGGCGCGACGTTCCAAAGGCCGAACTCCGGCGACCGCGGCGTTCCAAAGCGAGAGGGAGAGCGCGCGCGCGGGGCGGGGGGGACACATCTCGACGTGACACGCGCGAGCATGGCGGGAAAGGGAGGAGGAGCAGAGTCCACCGGCGTCGCAAGCAACCCCGATAGCGAGAGCATTGGCCGGCCGGGAAAAATCTCCGGGATGCTCTCGCCAGTCCGTGCACAGGACCATCCACCGCGTCCCCAACCAGCCGAGTTTCCTCCCCTGGTCGCCAGCAGGCATCCCTGCGAAACTGCCTTTCCGGCTTCGCTTTTGCTCCTCCTCTTAACTTTTCTCTTCCGGTGCGCGTGGTTTCCCACAATTTCCCCCCCACCCGTCTAGATCTGGGCTGCTCAGCCGGTGCCTGAAGTCTTGGAGCGAGGAAGCGACTATTTCCAGGTAAGTCTCACGCTTTTGTTTGCAAAAAAGAGACATGCATATCAGGGGCGGACTCAAACGGGGGGCGGCGGCAGGGCGAGGCAGCTCTCCTAAATCAATAAAAGTCAATAAAAATACATAGCTAACGGAGGTTCTACCCTCCCCGCGCAACAAAAGGCCAGCACCTTCCCCCACCCCCAACAAAAACCCTGGCTGCGCCCCTGATGGATATGCGGTGCTCTCGGATCTCGGCTGCGGTCTAGCTGCTTTCTGCTTGGAAAGAGGCGACCCATGCGTTTCATAGACGGGTTTCTTTTCTTGCTCCCTGGAATGCTTTAGGAATAGAGCCGCTCAGCTCATAGTTAAGGATTTTGGTCCTGCTCATCCCCTCCTCTGCTGCGGATTGAGGCCAGAAGCACATTCAGACGTGCATGGGGGTGACCCGTAAACTACAACTAATCCAGAATGTGGCAGCTAGACTGGTGACTGGGGGCGGCCGCTGAGACCACATAACACCGGTCTTGAAAGACCTACATTGGCTCCCAGTATGCTTCCGAGCACAATTCAAAGTGTTGGTGTTGACCTTTAAAGCCCTACCTGAAGGAGCGTCTCCACCCCCATCGTTCTGCCCGGACGCTGAGGTCCAGCAGCGAGTGCCTTCTGGCGGTTCCCTCACTGCGAGAAGCAAAGCTACAGGGAACCAGGCAGAGGGCCTTCTTGGTAGTGGCGCCCGCCTTGTGGAAAGCCCTCCCATCAGATGTCAAAGAGATAAACAACTACCTGACATTTAGAAGACATCTGAAGGCAGCCCTGTTTAGGGAAGTTTTTAATGTGTGACATTTTAATGTATTCTTAATCTTTGTTGGAAGCCGCCCAGAGTGGCTGGGGAAACCCAGCCAGATGGGCAGGGTACAAATAAATTATTATTATTATTATTATTATTAATTTATCTGAAATAACTGGGAATGAATAGCCCCTCCCTGGGAAGTTGACGCGGAATGATGGCGCCGTGGTGAGAATTCTTTGGGACATCCGTGGTGCACAGTCTTTTAATTTCCCTTTTTGGTTTCTTTTCAGAGATAGACAATGTCTTTCCATTCCGGGCGAGGGGGCTGCCCCCGCAGCCGAGGAGGAGCCGCGGCGCGAACTTCGACTCCGACTTTCCGCCCCCAGAATTTGAGGCAGCTCCACCCTCAGCAGCAGCCTTCAGCTCAGTATCAGTACGACCAGCCGACGGTGACCACGGCGGCTTACGCAAGCCCTCCCACCACAAGCTACATGCCTTCCAGGCCCGATTTTGTCCCGTACCCGCCGCCCATGCCCCCGTCGCCGCAGAGCGCCATCTCCCAGTGTCCCCTGAGGCCGCCTTTCACGGGCCACCAGGTCAAGCAGACCTTCCCTCTCCCTCCTTGCTTTCCGCCGACTCCGCCCCCCGCCCCCAGTCCCGGAAACCCTTCCGTTTCGACCAGTGCGGCGGGACAGAACGCGTTTCCTTACATGATGCCTCCTCCGTCGGTTCCACATCCTCTGCCGCCTCCGATTATGCCTCAGCCGATTAATTACCAGCCCATGTACTCCCCTTCCTACTCACAGCAGTCCTTCCCCCCTCCGAATTTCAACAGCTACCCACACAATGCAAACTCTTACCAGGGTGGCGGTGGCGGCAACAACGCCAACAGTGGCGGCAGCAACAACAACAGTGGCAATTTCCGCAACCCTAGTCAGTATCCGATCGAGAAGTCCCAGCCTGAACGGAGGTCTCCGGAGCGAAGTAAACACTATGAGGAGCATCGCCACCGGGACCACGGGCACGGGGAGAGGCACCGCTCCACCAATCACGGCGATCGGCGGGATCGAGGGAGGAGCCCTGACAGGCGGCGGCAAGAAAGCAGTCGGCACCGGTCGGATTACGTCAGGGGGCGGACGCCCCCCCGTCCCAGAAGTTATGAATGGTACAGGTCAGCCAGTTGGACTCTTGCCAGGAGGCCAGGTTTGGTAGGGTGTGTTCGGCCGTGGAGGCAATTCTTTCGACGGGAAACGGTTGGCCCGTAGTTGCGAACCGAGCTTTGTTGCTTAGCCGAAATTGCGCTCCAGGTTTCCCCGTCAAGTCCCAACATTCACTTCCGGCACACCCCTCTCGTGTGCATATAGAGAAGGGTTCCAAAAATTATTCTCATGAGCAAGAAGAGTTGTCTGTCTATAGCAGGGGTGCCCAACCTTTTTTCAAAGAGGGCCAGATTTGATGAAGTGAATGTGCGTGAGGGCCGACCAAAGTTGTCAAGCTTTTTTCAGAATTGAATTTGTTGAGCTTTTGTTAGGGTTAGGCTGGGAGGCCGAATTAGGCCCCCAGAATGGACTTTGGACATTCCTGATCTATAGGTTTACTCATGGTTTGTATTGTATTACGCAGTCCAGCTGGTGTATTATTCGGTTGGAAATCGGAAGTCAAGAGATTGCCTTCCCTTTAGAAAAATAAGAATAGTCCTGCTTCCAGCCAGTGCTTTTTTCTACAGAAAGAGGTGCGGGAACTCCCCCTTTTTTTTGACAGACAACCCTAAGTTGTTGACCTTTTTTATGGGGGAGCCAAAGTTGTTTTAGGGGGGAAACAACACTTTTTTGGGGGGTGGGACAATGCTTCTCCGCCTGAACAGCATTGGCTGGTACACTACAAAGAGGTCCCGGAACACACCAAAGAGTTAATGGAACTCAGTTTCGGTGAGTTCTGGCTGAAAAAAGGCCCTGCTTCCAGCTACCATGAGTTTGGCTGTTGGATATAAAATGCTTAGCTGGAATTTTGTGCTATATGTAGCATCACTTGACTAGAATTGAGCTACGGCATTCTTTTGGTCTTAATATTTTTATTGAAAAGGTTTCAATTATAAAGAAATAAATGGATGCAAAGAAAAAGATTTAAAAAGTAAAAATAAAAAGGCATAAAAATGTGTAGAAAGAAACAATATACGAGTATTGGCAATAGATGAAAAATACCCTACCTCATACATTCTTCAATAAATTTGATTATATTATCATAATACATATATAAATACAAATAGTCTACTGCATTTTGTATGAACTCATTCCAAATATGGTCAAATGTGTACAAAGTCTTTGTCTGCAAGCAGTCTGTTCATAAGTTGCAAATGCTATCATATTGTTAACCTATTTATTAAAGGGGGTCATATCTTTGTTCTTCCCGTTCATCAATAGAGCACATAGAATCCCATTTTTGTTGTCCAGTTGTTAACTTCCAATACAATAGGTATATAGTTCAGAAGAATATTCTCCGCTGAAAATTTTAGCTTTTTTAGGATGCTCTTAATTGAGAATGAATAGTTCGTTTCACATGTTTGCCTTAAGTCTCCTGCCTTTTTCTGTGGTCTCTTTCAAATGTGAGCATGTTTGAAGGAGCTCCCTTTACCTGTGGGAAATCCTTTGATGATCCCTTGTGACTGGCTTGAGAAATAATACCACTTTTCAGCTTGTTTCATTATAAACATCACTTGTCCAGGGCCAGCCCTACTATTAAACAGACTGAGGAGGCCTCCTCAACTTGCCCTTTGCCTCGGGCAGCAAAATGCCTTGAAGGGGCCTGACCTTGTCTGAGTCAAATGCGTTGATTGTTGCTTCTTGTGAAATTGTTTCATTGATATTTTTTTAAAAAATGATGAGTTGAGAGAAATAATTGAGAACATTGTTTTCTGGAGAAAATGTACCAGAAGAGGAGGACAGGTTGCATAACATTTGCTGATGTACTTTCTATCTCCTGGTCTCCCTATCTCCTGGTATTATTGTTGTTGTTGTTATTGTTATATTTCATTTTCATGGAGAAGAGAAAATAGCCAGAATAAAGAAAGAAGCCACTATTTGTTATTCAACTGATTCTTGGAGAACACCACTAACCAGATACGTCCCAGCGGGCAGTCTGGGGGAAAATCTGTGCTCAGAGATGGGCAGAGTGGCTGAGCCCATACTTGCGTTATGAATGCTGAGACTGAAAACCTAAGCCAGAGTCAGGTTTATAAGAGCAGATGGAACCCTATTGACTAAGCAGGTCACCTGGTTCCTCCTGGCCTGGCAGCGGCAATATTGCCCTCTGATCATGAGCACATGGTAGAGAATATGGCGGCACTTCCGTTCTCTTCCGTAATGACTCTCAGGGCTCTCGGCAGTTTATTCAGCTTTCTGGTTCTGTTGTTTTGGAACTAGAATTTACTCTCGGCCTAAATCTTCTTCAATTCTTTAAAGGGAACGACAACGAGAAAGACACAGGCACCGCGACAGCCGGCGATCGCCATCCACTGAGAGATCTTACAGAAAGGACCACAAGAGGACAGGAAGGTAAGATGAGGGAGTTGATTATCGCTGGGCAGCTGCTGTTAGGCTGGCGTTTCTCAGACTCTGGTTCCCAGCTGCTGTTGGACTACAACTCCCCTCATCCCTAGCTAGCAGGACCAGTGGTCAACGATGATGGGAGCTGTAGTTCAATGACAGCTGGAGACCCAAGTTTAAGAAACCCTGTGTTAAACTGCGCCTTCCGACCTGGGGGATGGTGTAAAGAGAAGGTAAGACAAGGTTGGGTGGTGCTGTGGGTTAAACCACAGAGCCTAGGACTTGCTGATCAGAAGGTTGGCGGTTCGAATCCCTGCGACAGGGGGAGCTCCCGTTGCTCAGTCCCTGCTCCTGCCCACCTAGCAGTTTGAAAGCACGTCAGAGTGCAAGTAGATAAATAGGTACCGCTCTGGCGGGAAGGTAAACGGCGTTTCCGTGCGCTGCTGTGGTTCGCCAGAAGCGGCTTTGTCATGCTGGCCACATGACCTGGAAGCTGTACGCCGGCTCCCTCGGCCAATAAAGCGAGATGAGCGTCGCAACCCCAGAGTTGGTCACGACTGGACCTAATGGTCAGGGGTCCCCTTTACCTTTAAGACAAGGTTTGGCTGGATACGAAGCCAGTTTTCAGCACGACCTCATCATGAGCTGCAGCAAACTTTTGATGAGTATCTCTCCTCCTTGTGCACAATTGAGCCCAGCCTCGCTGCCCAAGATGAATTGTTTATTCCCTTGTCTTCTTGTGCAGTCAGTCTCCCGGGCAAGACCGGAAGAGAACTCGCTGGGAAGACGACCGGGATAGGTGGTCGGAAAACGCCAGCAGGGAGAAGAGCTATACTTCCATCAAAGACAAAGAGCCAGATGAGGCCGTCGTCGAAAAGAACGAGGAAGATGACGAGGACCTGCTGAAGCCTGTGTGGGTCCGCTGCACCCACTCAGAAAGCTACTACTCAAACGACCCCATGGATCAAGTGGTACGTTGAGGAACTGTTTAGAGTTGGAAGGGACCAGAAAGGCCACCTTTTGCCCAAGGTGGGGCTCAAACGCTTGAGATTAAAAGTCTCATGCTCTACCGACTGAGCTATACCAAGATCACTTAATGAAGTCCTCCTCCTCACTCCTTTCGCCTTGTAAGACCCTTCTAGGGGGAAGGGGTTGGTTTCCTGCATCATGTAGTGCCTGGGGAGAATTGCCCCAAATTGCATAGGCTTCTACCCAATTTAAGTTAACTTACCTTGGGACCCAATCTATTTTTTTTCCCCCATCCTAAAACCTCCAGTCAACATTCTGTGGCCAATGTGTATGCTCATTTCTTAGTTAACTGGGTGGGGGTGTTTTTTTGGGGGTGGCATGGGGCATTATCTGTGAATATTTTTGGGTACTTCAAACCTTGTAGTTTCTCTAAAACTGTTGATGCCTCTGGTGTAAGGATGATACTGTTTTGCCTACATAAGCACTGACACTTGAAGAATTATGATTACTGTGTGATCTAGGTTTGTGTGTATTACACACTGTCTCATTTTCTGAATGTCCAGAAGAAACGAAAACTTGTTATATCATCTCTGGTAAATCGTCCCATGTGATCGATGTGTTGCATTTGTGAGTGTGTGCAACACACTCCTAAGGGTCAGCACGACTGCAAATTGACGTTGCAAAATATTTTCAATTCAGAATATGCTTTTAACTTTCTTTTTTAAAAAATAAAATTATTTATTTGGTTTTTCAACTTAAAAAATTACAGAGATATGTCAAACATAAATAATAACAAGATTCCAAGATTCCCTCCTCTTTGTGGGTCCTATTATTGATCATTTCCTCCCACATCTTTTATGATAATCCAAATCCTTTACCTCTTCCATTATGTCTGGAATTCAACCTTAAACTACAATCCTACTAACGATTTTAACTGTTTACAATGGTCTTTAAGCTAAGTTATAATTTCCCCCCATTCCTTGTTAAAATGTTCGTCTTCCTGATTTGGCATCTGAAGAAGTGTGCATGCACACGAAAGCTCATACCAGTAACAAACTTAGTTGGTCTCTGAGGTGCTACTGGAAGGAATTTTTAAATTTTGTTTTGACTATGGCAGACCAACACGGCTACCTACCTGTTCTTGATTTCTGAAATCCTTTTAACTTTTGTTTGGTTGCAATGGCAAGGGCGATTCCACTGTCGTCGGAACGAGCCGGCTCCGAGATTTATATGAGAAGTTTGAGGAAGAGCTGGGCAAGCGGCAAGCCAAAGCCAAAGCTGCCAGGCCCCCCTGGGAGCCCCCCAAGACCAAACTGGACGAGGATGTCGGTAAGGACTGCTCTGACCCACGCGACACACCCCAGAAATAAATGCTTGCCACTTTCTAGGAGGGATCCGCTACTGGAGGCCCAATGGCCAAATCTGGCCCTCAAATATGCCCCGCAGAGGACCTTAAGGTCCATGAATAATCATAGTTTAGAGGTCCCGGGCCCTAAGGAAATCAAATTATCCTCCACCAGGGCCAGGGCCAGGGTCAGGGCCTTCTCAGTGATGGCTCTGACCTGGTGGAATGCTCTGTCCCATAAGACCAGGGCCCTGCAGGATTTAACTTCCTTCCGCAGGGCCTGTAAGACAGAGCTATTCCGCCTGGCTTTCAATTTGAACTTAGCCTGATCTTTTATTTCCCTTCCTTTCCTCCCCTTCCCCTTTTTATGAAGATTACCCCGCTCTGGAATCCCACAGCTAATTCTCCCATGGTCTCCTCGCTGGCCCAAATAGGACTAATTTAGCCAGCTAGCCCTGGTGATCATCTAATGTTTATTGGATGGATTTCCCCCTTAAATTGATTTTTGAATTCTGAATTTATTGTTATTCACGTTTTATACTGTATTTTATGCTATTTTTTGGTTGCATCAATTAAATGTTTTAAATTTGTTGTTAGCCACCTTCAGCCCGCTTTTCTGAACCAGGAAGGGCGGGGTATAAAAAAAATTATTATTATATTTATTATAAATGCCATTTGTCCCTTGAAAGATTCCCTGCCACTATCCTGATCCTATTCATGCACCACTGTCTTCTAAGATGAAGCATAGGCAAAGTGCCCTTTATCTGTTTCCCGTGGCCTAACCTTCCCTTTTTATGTGCCACCACTGTTCTCTTCTCTGTGAAAGCCCCCTCTAAGATGGAACTTGTGTGCCTGAAGAAAAAGCTTGATTTCGGGGAAGCAGCGGGGTTAGTTAGAAAATTATATCTTGCATGCTAGTGAACAGCACTCTTTACTCTTGAGGTGTTGCCAGGAATAAGTAGAGAAACTTTGCTCTTTGCCATGCCCCTGGGGCATTCGCCACTCCAGTCTCAGGAAAGAGGTGAATGCGCAGTTTTGTGGGAGATTGGAGAGGGCAAGTTGGTGTTACGTTTTTTCGGGAACGCAGGGAGTTCCAGCGACTCGGAGTGCGACTCGGATGACGACAGCTGCTCCAGCAGTTCGGATTCGGAGGTGTTTGACGTCATTGCTGAAATTAAGCGGAAGAAGGCTCACCCAGACCGGCTGCACGAGGAGCTGTGGTATAACGACCCCGGACAGGTAGTACATGCCAAAAAAAGCTCAGTCTTAAACATTTGCATCGCGGACATGCAGCTAGTGACTTGAAATCAGGACCGCAATACCTCAAGGACCGCCTCTTTCCATATGAACCTACCCGGATCCTGAGATCATCTTCTGAGGCCCTTCTTCATGTGCCTCCTCCTTGAGAGGTCCAGAGGGTGGCAACCCGAGAACGGGGCCTTCTCTGCAGTGGCTCCCCATCTGTGGAATGCTCTCGCTAGGGAAGTTTGCCCAGCACCTTCATTATACACCTTTAGGTGCCAGGCAAAAACATTCCTTTTTAACCAGGCCTTTGTTTGATTTGATTGACACCCTATGCCCTTTTAAAATGTGGGGGTTTTCTGGGGGGTGTTATTGGGTTGTTGTTTTTATTTTGATTACGCATTTTGTGGTTTTACATTTTGATTTTATTCTGTGAACCGCCCTGAGACCTCTGGTATAGGGCGGTATATAAATTCAATAAATAATAATAATTTGCTATTCTGTATTGAAGATCAAGTCACTTTGCCAAAGCCAGTGACCACCAACCCTGTACTTTACACAAACCAATCTTCTCTCAATCCTGTTCTTGTGGCCATGTACGCGCACACCTGAAATTGCCAAAACACAACTACCAAAATTCAGGAGACGGCTCCAATGCTATGCATATGTACTTTTCCACAAGCCCTATTGAATTTGGTGGGGTTTACATATGAGTAGACACAGAGGGCTGCACTGTACATTTCAAAAAGTCTTGGTGTATGGCTGGTGATAGGCTGGTGAAACCTAGGCAAAAATACTTTCCATGGGTAAAGAATATTTGAATCAGGCAGTATTCAGAGACACTCTTTTGAAGTACTGTGGTCTATTAAGGTACTTCAGTCCACGTGCTTTAATTTTTTTTTTTAAATTGATTCTTAACTTTTGTATGCTAATTTGCTTTTAAATAACCAAACAAACCCCTGTGTTGCAAAGAGAACGTCAGCAATGTCTAAGCAACACAGTGACCATGCACATGCACATACGCAATAGACAATCTTTATAGAATTCCTTCAAACCATAACAAGTACAAAACGAAATCTTTAGTCTCAAAGTCTCTGAAAATCTTTAAATAAAGTCTCTGAAAGTCTTTACATGAAGCGAAGTACCATACTTTGTACGATGAAAGACAAGCTGTGAAGCTTTGTGTATTCAGCAAATATGATGTCCAACACTGAACAGTGATTCCGGATATTGACTACTGTTTCGTAGAATTCTTCGTCAGCATAGTGGGAGGATATAGAATTGCTTCATAAACTGAAAATAATTTTTTTGTGTGTAAAATTTTGTAAGATTGTCTATTGCTTATGTACATGGTCATCGTGTTGCCTAGAATTTGCTTTTAAAGGCATTACCTTTCAGGCACTGAACCAGACTGCCTCTTCCTGTTTTTAAGCATCTCAACTCAGTAGCCTCCTTTAACATTTTTGACAGATGAACGATGGACCTCTGTGCAAATGCAGTGCGAAAGCCAGACGAACGGGAATAAGACATGGAATCTATCCCGGGGAAGAGGTAATATTTCTTTAAAATGCTTTTAGGACGGTTGACGGGATCTCAAAGCATCTTATCAGGTAAAATACAGTATGATGGGGTGGGGGGTGGGAAACCCACTTAATAATAAATAAGCATAGAAAAAAACTATAAAACAATCTGCCCCAAAATATTAAAATCCAATGACAAGCTATGACTAAAACCAGTGTTCAAAGCTTCCATTGTTCCAGGAGCATTTTGTGACAGTATTTCATTGGTGCGAGTGGTTTCTGAGTTCTGGGCCTAAATTTCAGATTAAAACTGTAGAGTGGAAGGAAAGGAGGACCTTTTTCTGCCTCCCCACTTCCAGCTACTCCCCAAAGACGGGAGAAGAGACCCTCTTAAGAATATTAGGGGGGTGGGCAGGGGAAGGACTAGACCAGGGGTCTGCAACCTTTAAGACAAAAAGAGCCACTTGGACCTGTTTCCGAAGAAAAAATACTGGGAGCCGCAAAACTCGTCATTATAAAAATAACTTTTTGGTCATTTTTTTATTATTTCTTTGTTTGACCCCTCAGAATTACTCCTCCTCATAGAAATAAACGTTAAATTAACAAGTTACCTTTTTGTGTGTGTGTGTGTTCTTCACTCCCCTTCAAAACAGTGACCAGCGTACATGCCCCTTACAATGTAGCGGGCGGGAAGGTGATGTCGGGACGGTGCGTGACTAATGCACGCACCGCCCCCATGCGACGTCACAGCCAGTACAGCGCCCGCCACAGTGGGGAGTGTTGGGGCGCACAATGCGCCTCCTCCCCTCGCTAGTATCCACCCCGGAGCCGCGGCAAAGGTGTAAAAGAGCCACATGCGGCTCCGGAGCCGTGGGTTGCAGACCCCTGGACTAGACCATGTGAAAAACGAACATATTTTAGCTGCAGTTCATTTTCAGCTTTGTATAAAAAAGCGCACCGAGATATTCCGTTGTTGTGCCCATAACCTCGGTTTAAGATGCCGTTTAGCTCCTACCTTTCATATCTCGGTTTCTAATGCTGACTAAAACCAGAAGTCCAATAAGCACACTTCAAGGGAACAGCAAGGGAAATAAGAGTTTTCCTAAGGCCTTTAATGAGGAGGGACACCGGCCTTCCCTGGCAGGGTTTGGTCCAAAACATCAGGAAAACATTAGGTTGCTGAGGACTGCTTTCTCTTCTTTTATTAGCATTCACCTTTCCTAATCACCTGCCCCTCTTATTTCCTCTCTCGTTTCTTAAAGCCTATTAAGCCCTGCCGACCCATGACCAACAATGCCGGAAAATTATTCCACTACCGCATTACAGTGTCACCACCTACAAACTTTTTAGTAAGTATAATATGAAGCAGGGGGAGCAGCAGACCTGTCTGTTTTTATTTGAAGCTCTTGTTTTTAAGCCCTTACATAGGTGACATAGGAGCAAGCTGGATATATTTATTTGTGGTTATTATTTATTGATTCAGTTTATATACTGCCCATTACCCCAAGATCTCAGGGTAGTGTACTATATTAAAAATGTGATTTACGTAGCATCATAATAATAAAAGCAATAAAGCGATTGCAGGAAATATAATAACAGTCCCCACGCTTCTAAAAGGCTGTTCAGTAGCCAAAGGCCTGCTTAGAGAGGAGTGTTTTTGTTTGGTATGTAATGAACGCGCCCGGTGAGCCTCTCCAGGGAGAGCATTGCACAGATGGGGAGCCACCTCCAGTTCTCCTGTTGCCATCCTCCAGACCTCTTGTGGAGGAGGAACATGAAGAAGAGTCTCAAATAATGATCGCAGGATCCGGGTCAGTTCACATAGAGGGAGGTGGTCCTTGAGGTAATAGTTACAGTGGTGCCCCGCAAGACGAATGCCTCGCAAGACGAAAAACTCGCTAGACGAAAGGGTTTTTCGGTTTTGCGTTGCTTCGCTAGACGAATTTCCCTATGGGCTTGCTTCGCAAGACAAAAACGTCTTGCGCTTTTTTTTAAAGCCGCTTGAAGAGGCGCAGTTGCGACGGACCGTGCTTCGCAAGACGAAAAACATCGCAAGACGAAAAGACTCGCGGAACGAATTATTTTCGTCTTGCGAGGCACCACTGTATTATTATTATTACAGTGGACGCTCGGGTTGCGCAATTTAACACTTCTGCGCCTACACGACCGCTGAAACTTGGAAGTAACCTGTTCCGGTACTTCCGGGTTTTGGCGTATCCGTAACCCGAAAAAATGCAACCTGAGGCGTCTGTAACCTGAGGTATGACTGTACAGTGGAACCTCGGTTTTCGAATATAATCCATTCCGGAGGACTGTTCGACTTCCAAAACGTTTGAAAACCGAGGATCAATGTGCGGTCAGCAAAATCCATTGAAAAAAATGGGAGAAATGTGGCTTGGAAGCCATTCAACTTCTGAGGCACGTTCGAAAATCGAAGCAATTGCTTCGAGGTTTTTGGCCTTCGGGTTCCGAATCATTTGGCTTCCGAGACATTCGAAAACCGAGGTTCCACTGTATTATTATTGCCCTTCCCAACTGTTTGGGTTTCCCCAGCCACTCTGGGCAACTTCCAATAAACATGAAAATAATAATATTGCGACCCTGAGCCGTTTAAGGCTTTATAGCCAGCTCTTTGAATCGGGCCTGGAAACTAATTGGCAGCCAGAGCAGTTGAGCCAGGATCCGTGTAATATGCTCCGTGTGTCCTGCCCCAGTGAGCAACCTGGCCGTCCAATTTTGCGACACCGATGGATCCAGCAGCTGTATATGCAGAGAGAGTGTGATGCCATAAACAGGGCCTCAGCCTTATTTGGATTGAGTTTCTGTTTATTGGCTTCCAGCCAGTCCATCACCAAGGCCAGACACTGGTCCATACCTTCTCTGCCCCTAGCACGGAAACTATGGGCTACCAGGGGAGGGAAGCCCAGGTGCAGTCACCAAGGTGCTTACCTGACCTCCCAGCTGCGTTTCACCAGCAGCTCAATGCCTCCTCGCACACTCCTCCTCACAACCTCATGGTAAACCATGGTGACCCTTGTGTCAGCAGGTCTGCACCGTCCCACCCTGCTGACAGCTATGGGGCCAGCCCCGTCGTCCAGCATAGAAATGCAGCAAGCTATTGGAGGATGAACAGAAGTTTGGGTTGCTGCTCTGCTAGTCCCTGGAACGCCAGCAAGCATTTCAGCAGGCTATTAACTTCTGTAATAACAATAACAATAAACTAGCTTCTGTAATAATAATAATAATAATTTATTATTTATATCCCGCCCATCTGGCTGGGTTTTCCCAGCCACTCTGGGCGGCTTCCAACAGAATATTAAAATACAATAGTTTATTAAACATTAAAAGCTTCCCTAAAGAGGGCTGCCTTCAGATGTCTTCTAAAAGTCTGGTAGGTGTTTTTCTCTTTGACATCTGGTGGGAGGGTGTTCCACAGGGCGGGTGCCACCACCGAGAAGGCCCTCTGCCTGATTCCCTGTAACTTGGTTTCTCGCAGCCAGGGAACTGCCAGAAGGCCCTCGGCGCTGGACCTCAGTGTCCGGGCTGAACGATGGGGGTGGAGACGTTCCTTCAGGTATACTGGACCGAGGCCGTTTAGGGCTTTAAAGGTCAGTACCAACACTTTGAATTGTGCTCGGAAACGTACTGGGAGCCAGTGTAGGTCTTTCAAGAGCTTAGCCTTATTTGCAAGGCTAGTCTGACCTGCGGCTTTTGCCCTTATCTCTTTAGACAGACAGGCCAACTGTGATCGAGTACGATGACCACGAGTACATCTTCGAAGGCTTTTCCATGTTTGCCCATGCTCCTCTCACCAACGTAAGTCGCCTTTCTTTCCTGGCCCAGCTAGTTTTATGGATGGCTGCTGGGGCCTTTAAAATTTCTGTGTATTCTAGCTTTCTTCTCCGTAGTAAAAATCAAACCTATAGCAGCCCTCCTGTGAAATCTTTGTCCCTTTAAACATTTTTTTTTATCTGTTCTTTGGAGATGAGGTGCCCCTGCCTTTTTAACTTTACTTTAAAAATGTTTCCTAACACAAGGCATAGTTGATCCCGGCTTGTTCAGTCTCTGCATAGTCTTATCTTGACAATAATTGACCTATTCAGATGGTCTGTCCCAGGGTGGATTTGATTTAAATCAAATCAAATTTAAATCACGATTTAAATCACTAGTTAGTAAGACTTGGTTCAAATAATTTTTTTTTTACAGAAAGACTCATTCTTGCTGGTATAATCTTAATATTTACAGCCAGATAAAGGTTTCATTTTTGGAATAATAAATTTTCAGAGTAGTTTTTGCAGTTATACCAAATATTACCGATTTGGTTGTGCTATTAGAAATACATATACCGATAATTATGAAATTATTGTGAGGTTTAATAAGTTAACTGTTTATATTTGGACAACTTTTCTGCTGTTCTTTATTGGAAGGAGAAAAATAATAACCATTTCCTTAATAACAATTTAAACAATTTGTATAACTAAAACAATAACATTATAGCATATGTATCCATTGTTTGTTAACTGATGTGGTTAAACAATTTTTAAAAAACAAACCTTAAGACTGAGTTTTAGCACACATGAAAAACTTAAAACAAATCCTTATTTCCTGATGAATAGCCTTTGGACTATAATGTAAATTACCGTATTTTTCGCTCTATAAGACGCACTAGACCACAAGACGCACCTAGTTTTTGGAGGTGGAAAACAAGAAAAAAAAGATCTGAATCTCAGAAGCCAGAACAGCGAGGGATCGCTACGCAGTGAAAGCAGTGGTCCCTCTTGCTGTTCTGGCTTCTGTGATAGCTGCGCAGCCTGCATTCGCTCCATAAGATGCACACACATTTCCCCTTACTTTTTAGGAGGGAAAAAGTGAGTCTTATAGAGCAAAAAATACGGTAAATAGAAAACTATCTTTAGAAAGATTTTTCCTCCAAAAGCATTTTATTTTAAAAATCCAATTTAAATTTTAAAAAAATCCAATTTAAATTAAAAAAAAAATCCAATTTAAATAAAAAAAATCTGATATTTTTTTTTAAAGAAAACCATTGATTTTTATCCACCCTAGTTTGTCCCAAAGAGGTTTAAGCCTTCCCGATGTAGCCACTGATGCACTACTTTTTGTGAAATCTGTGCTCGGTGCAGTCGGGCCTCCAGCAGATGGCAGTCTCTACCAGCAGATGTCATACGTGCCTTGCTTGTCATGCTATTTCCTAGCTGGCTGTCTCAAGGTTTATGAATTTCAACACCCCTTTTAATTTTGGATCAGAAGAAAGCAAGAGAATGAAGGGAGGGTGCTGCCTGCATCGCTCTTTGAGACTCAACCTCTCTCGTGCATGTGTTCCTTCTCGTCTCTCCAGATTCCTCTGTGCAAAGTCATCCGATTTAACATCGATTATACAATTCATTTCATCGAGGAGATGATACCCGAAGTAAGTTATGGGAACAATGATGCACAACATCTGTTTGCTTTGTGGCGCGTCGAGAAAGTTTAGCTCGTTGGTTCATGCATATTCCGAAGTAGTTCGTACTGTATGGCTGGATGAGCGCTTCTGATTAAAGGTGTACAGTCCTGGAATATCGATATGAAAACATACTAATGAAAGGTGTAAAACAAATTAAGCAAATGTTCCCGTGAAAGTAAACTCTGTTGCCATCTGTCTATTAGCGCCACTAAGTGAATATTGCTGTGGGGGAGAGTAGTATTTTGTTAAAACTGTCCAACAATATTGTTGTTGTCATTGTTGATTAAATTTATATACAGTGGTACCTCGGTTTACGAACTTAAACTGTTCCGGAAGTCCGTTCTTAAACCAAAACCATTTTTAAACCGAGGCACGCTTTCCCTAATGCGGCCTTCCGCCGCCGGTGCCCTTCCACCATTGGGATTCTGTTCTTACACGAGGTAAAGTTCTCAAACCAGGACACTATTTCTGGTTTTGTGGAGTTTGTAAACCAAATCGTTCTTAAACCGAACTGTTCTTAAACTGAAGTACCACTGTACTGCCCTATACCCAGGGGTCTCAGGGCGGTTCACAGAATAATATCAAGATATAAAACCACAAAATACATAATAAATAAAATAAATAAAATAATAATAAAAATAAAAACAATAACCCAATAGCCCCCCCCCAGGTTCTCGCCCCTGCCTCGCATCTTTAAATCATGCGCGTACCCTCTGAGACCACCTCTTCTCCAGACTTTCAGGACGGCAGCCTTTGGATATGTGCGTGTTATCTGTAACCCTCCCTTTGTTCGTATTTTTGCTTCGGAGCGGCACACCCGTCTCATCTAGAGGGGAAAGACGCTGTTTTAATGAAGAACGCTTTATTTCTAGATCGGTGCATGGGTTTTTGCTTTTATTTATTTCCTTCCCCGGCCCGTTCATAAGGACAATAATCCCCAGTTTGTGAAGTGCTGATTAGTGACTGCAGAAACGCCTTGTTACGACGACAGCAGTGATTTATCAGCTTTTTAGCTAGAACGTGGCAGCCTCCGAGAATTATGGGAGAGGTCCTCCTTTCCACATATATCATCTCTTCTGCTTATTCAAGTGAAAGGCTGTTGGCACTCCGTAAGTTATGGCGTAGCCCTGAGCTCGTAATTTTTGCTTCCAGTCTAGATTTAGGCTTTTGATAAGGAACACACCCCAGAATAATAATAATAATAATAATAATAATAATAATTTATTATTTATACCCCGCCCATCTGGCTGGGTTTCCCCAGCCACTCTGGGCGGCTCCCAATCGAATAATAAAAACACAATACAGCATTAAACATTAACATTAACTTCCCTAAACAGGGCTGTCTTCAGATGTCTTTTAAAAGTAGGATAGTTGCTTATTTCCTTGACATCTGATAGGAGGATGTTCCACAGGGCGGGTGCCACTACCGAGAAGGCCCTCTGACTGGTTCCCTGTAACCTCACTTCTCGCAGTGAGGGAACCGCCAGAAGGCCCTCGGCGCTGGATCTCAGTGTCTGGGCTGAATGATGGGGGTAGAGACACTCCTTCAGGTATACACTATATTGGCAGTGGGGGTTTTCTTCCTGGCAAATTTGCCCTTTTGCAGCAGATTCCATTGCCAGCGACTTCAAAATGTACTCGCCTGTCGGTGGCTGGCTGCTGGAAAAACAGGTTGCTGCTGAAAAGCCCTTGGCTGTACTGCTCACCCGCCTACAGCGAGTCATGCTTGAATTGTTCAGTGCTAAAATGGCTTTTCTGCAGTGACGGCTAACACTGGCATACAAACATAACATAGGAAGCAGCCTTACGCCAAGTCAAACTGTTGGTCCGACTCAATATTATCAACACCAGAGACAGCAAGGGGTGGGGGGGCCTCCAGATGATGTCAGCTGCCGCTCCCGTATGACCCAGCTACATTGCCGGTATTCAATGATCATGGGTGTTGTATTCCCAACAGGCAGGGCGGGATTTAGGTTTGATGAGGCCCTAAGCTACTGAAGGTAATGGGGCCCTTTATATGTCCAGCTGTCCTTTGTCAACAACAAATTGTCGGGTTTTTTGTGTTGAATATGCTACATGGTAATTTATGGACCTAAGGTAAAGGTTAAAGGGAACCCTGACTGTTAAGTCCAGTCGCGGACGACTCTGGGGTTGCGGCGCTCATCTCGCTCTAAAGGCCGAGGGAGCCAGCGTTTGTCCACAGACAGCTTCCGCGTCATGTGGCCAGCATGACTAAGCCACTTCTGGTGAACCAGAGCAGCACACGGAAACGCCATTCACCTTCCCGCTGGAGCGGTACCTATTTATCTACTTGCACTTTGACGTGCTTTCAAACTGCTAGGTTGGCAGGAGCAGGGACCGAGCAACGGGAGCTCACCCCGTCGCAGGGGATTCGAACCGCCAACCTTCTGATTGGCAAGCCATAGGCTTTGTGGTTTAACCCACAGCGCCACCCGCGTCCCTCAATTTATGGACCTAATAGGTATTTAAAGCCATTTGCCACTGTTGCTGTATGTAGGTTTTATTTTGTTTGTTTTTTATCTTAAATCTTGGAAATGTACATCCAGTTTTTTTTCCTTTAATTTTTTTGGGGGGCCCCCAAGAGAGTGGGACCCTAAGCTATCGCTTGTTTAGCTTGTACATAAATACGGCACTGCCCACAAGTTATATATATGGGCCAGATGGGTGGGATATACCGTATTTTTTGCTCTATAAGACTCACTTTTTCCCTCCTAAAAAGTAAGGGGAAATGTGTGTGCGTCTTATGGAGCGAATGCAGGCTGCGCAGCTATCCCAGAAGCCAGAACAGCAAGAGGGATTGCTTCTTTCACTGTGCAGTGATCCCTCTTGCTGTTCTGGCTCCTGAGATTCAGAATATTTTTTTTCTTGTTTTCCTCCTCCAAAAACTAGGTGCGTCTTGTGGTCTGGTGCGTCTTATAGAGCGAAAAATACGGTAAATAAATTGAGAAGAAGAAGAAGTTACACATTAAAATCCTGTGGTTTAGATTCTTTCCACCATAATGGGACTTGTGGGTCTTCCCCCCACCCCAGCCCAGGTTTCTTTTTACTAGTGTATGTGCTATAATTTACATATTATAATAATATGTAATAACATCCCGCCATCTGAACACAATGCGTTCCCTCGTCTGTTAGGCAAGCATCAAGCGTAACAAACCAACAATTTCCATTGCTTCCTATGGGGAAATTTCTAATGCATTCTCAACCATGGAATTTGAAGCCCAGAAAGCAATAAAACCTTCTGAAAACCCTCAGCCAACCAGCAAAAGGCAAGCCAGGAAGTAAAAAAAAAAAAAAAAAAAAAAAGCTCTCTGTTACAGATACCTGAATCTGTAGTTTGCATAGCGAGGTTTGGGTACTAATTTGTCGCATTTGGATAAATGTGTTTCTGCATAACGAGTGTTCAGAACGCAGGATCTGCGTGTATTTTATGAACCTGATTGGCATTAACTTCTCAAGTATGCCTAAAGCAGCAACCGTAGGAACTACAGTGGTACCTCGGGTTACATATGCTTCAGGTTACATACGCTTCAGGTTACAGACTCCGCTAACCCAGAAATAGTGCTTCAGGTTAAGAACTTTGCTTCCGGATGAGAACAGAAATCGTGCTCCGACGGCGCGGCAGCAGCAGGAGGCCCCATTAGCTAAAGTGATGCTTCAAGTTAAGAACAGTTTCAGGTTAAGTACGGACCTCCGGAACGAATTAAGTACTTAACCTGAGGTACCACTGTATTGCCAAATTATATCCTGTAATCTCGCCAACCACGCTGTTGGGGTATTGGTATGTTGCTCATACATTGATCATTGACATTAACATTGGCTCCTTTTCCTTTTCCAGAATTTTTGCGTACGAGGACTGGAGCTGTTCTCTTCCTACCTGTTTAAAGATATCCTGGAACTCTACGACTGGAATCTTACCGGTAACTTTTGAGTTTGAGAATGTGTTTGTGGATGAGAGCAGGGGATTAAATGAAAATCCGAAAGGTATTTCAGAGCGTTCTTTCAGTACTTGTCCCAGTGGTCAGAATCTCACACACCATTGGGTGTGACTGAGCGACACACAAATCTCATTGCTCATATTTACCGAAACATACGCCAGGACATTTCTTTGGTGTACGAGAGAATGCTGTACTTAACAAGCTGGGCTTATGAAGTTAAAAAGCAACAATGCTCGCCTATCTTTTGTAAATCATCGTATGTCCTGATAGTGAACTCAAGGGATGAATTAGGATGGCTTTGTTGCCAAATCGGAGCTACCAAGAGACTGCATGGAGGTCCGGGCATGGTTGGTAGATTCTCAAGGCTTGCAGAAGCAGGAAAAAAGACAGGCGTCTCTCCAAAGGAAAAGTCAGCTTAATGGAAACTGGGCATGCTTGTTGTTGTTTAGTCGTTTAGTCGTGTCTGACTCTTCATGACCCCATGGACCAGAGCACGCCAGGCACTCCTGTCTTCCACTGCCTCCTGCAGTTTGGTCAAACTCATGCTGGTAGCTTCGAGAACACTATCCAGCGATCTTGTCCTCCGTCGTCCCCTTCTCCTTGTGCCCTCCATCTTTCCCAACATCTTTCCCTCTCTTCCAGGGAGTCTTCTCTTCTCATGACGTGGCCAAAGTATTGGAGCCTCAGCTTTAGGATCTTGTTGGCTATTTGCAGTTTAGTAGCGCTGCAGAGAGCTTGTTGGGGAGACCATGCATTAAAAAGGGACTCAAAAATAACTTAAACAAGGTTTTAATAACAAAAACTCCTTATACACTAAATCCATCAACAACAAACCAGACCCAACCACCAACCCATCCCCCAGGGTAATGGGAGAGCTAGGTGCTGCTCCTTATATACTATACCCAATTGCTGACACAGCTTGATTAACACAACTCAGCAGCACCTGCTATGTTTCACAGCTGTAAGACTGGGTCTCGTTATTTGCCTTGGCCCTGGCCCTTAAAGACATACACAACTTGTGAAGCAATAATGAACCTTCACGTTTTAAAGTGACCATTCAACAGATCTGTCCTTCCAGTCAGGGCTGATTTCCTTCAGAATGGATAGGTTTGATCTTCTTGCAGTCCATGGGACTCTCAAGAGTCTCCTCCAGCACCATAATGTTTCTTTGGGGTTGGAGTATGAAATGGCGTAACCTGAGAGAAGGCACGGGTTGGCTGGAGCACTGAGCACCGCAACAAATTTATTGTAAATCTCGCTTGTTCTCCGTGACTTTGTTTCTTGGGGGATGCGTGCGTCTGAGATTTTAATTACCGTAAGGTGTGCACAATGAGTTGTGATCGTAGCACCAGACAAAAACGTTGGCACCGTGTAGCTTATCGGAGACAGGAGCATGTGGCTGTGGCGCGATGCAATAAAAATTGTAGCAAACATCGCAGGTGGCAAGCTGTCCTTTTTGGGGGGTTGGAAATCATCCTCGGATTGTGGTGCGGTCAAAATGAAAGCATCCATGCTCTCTCCCCCCCCCCCCCATTGAGCCTTGAGGAAGAATTTGTTTTAAAAAGCCAAGGGCTTCTCAGAAGAATCTTGAGCTGAGATATACAGGCTTCTTGTGGAGTTTGATATGCCCCCGAAGACTCGGTTTAAGGAAATGCAGTCTTTGTAATGTAGAAATCTGATGAGTTTGAGAGTTCTGCTTGTGTGCTTCCCTTGGTTTTCTAAAATACGTTCCCTAGCTCCGAGTGAGAATGAATGATGATGAGATTTATTTCCTTTCTTCTTCTTTTTTACAAATTGGAAAGGCACATTCCGACGGTGCTATCTTGTACGCTCATTATAATAGCGTAAGACAGTGGTACCTCAGGTTACATACGCTTCAGGTTACATACGCGTCAGGTTACATACGCGTCAGGTTACATACGCGTCAGGTTACATACGCGTCAGGTTACATACGCGTCAGGTTACAGACTCTGCTAACCCAGAAATAGTACCTCGGGTTACAAACTTTGCTTCAGGATGAGAACAGAAATCGCGCGGCAGCAGTGGGAGGCCCCATTAGCTAAAGTGGTACCTCAGGTTAAGAACCGTTTCAGGTTAAGAATGGATCTCTGGAACAAATTAAGTACGTAACCATAGGTACCACTGTATCATGAAATGCCACCAGTGGCATCCAATCTGGAGCTGCTGGTGATAATACCTGTATGCCACCTAAACATGGAGGAAGTCTGTGAACAAATAATATTCCTGACTCTAGTCGGTTCCAGCCTTCCCACCAGCGCGTCTTCCTTGCCCCAAGGCTCCTCTGGTGTATTTCAGGTGTTTGGTTGGTGTATCTGTCATTGTGGATCTGCAGTAGAGGATTGTGCCTTACATGTCCTGGCTGGCGGAGGAGGATGGAGATTTTAATGAGAATTATAACATAGGAAGACAGCAGGTATATGCCTTGCGTTGTGTGTACTGCACCAGGCCAGCCAATTGTGCACCGAGAAAAATCCTCCTGACCTGCAGAAATTAAGCAAAGTTGCATGTATAAACTAAATATGGGAAGGAGCCTGCGCCACAGCCTCAGAAAATACCGCTGAGCCATGTGCTGGATTTTAATGCAAACAGGAATCTCACCCACTATTAATCCTATCTTAACCTATGAGGCCTAGAAGTTTGCTTTTTTTTGTTTTTTAATTAACTATCCACCCTAAATACCAAACCGTTGCATTTGCAGCGCAGTCGTGGAATATGCCCAGCTCTGTATAAACTTTTATGTCTTATTAGAATACCAAAGTCTATAAGGATTGGGGAATCTTTAAAGAATATTTAGAAAACTATGGAATAAAAGGAAACATAGTGGCAGAATTAGACTGATCCCTGTATTGTATAAATATAAGTTTGTAGCGAGGTAAAAAGAAGTTATATAAGAAATATGTAACTGTGCGTATAAAGTAATGGAAAGATAAAGTATAGTGAGATTAATACTGTACTTTATCAGTCAGTTAAAGTCAGTTTTAAATTTCTTCTCTATAAGTTTTATAATTGTGATCAGTATCAGAAGTATATATGATGATAATTATATTAATCTTCTTGTATCTTATAGTGTGGTGGCTTGTTTGATTTTTCTGTTATTTGTTTGTTTGATTGTATGTTTGTTTACTTATATGTACATCTGTTTTTTAATAAATGTATTTATTTTAAATTAATAGAGATATATATTTTTAAAACATAGAATACCAAAGATGGAGACTAGTGAAATGTGTTGCTTGTGTTTTGAATTGCTTCTAATTTCTCATTGAAGGTCCTTCGTTAGAAAACAACGATGCTTCCTGCCCCCGGTTTCATTTCATGCCTCGTTTTGTCAGGTTTCTTCCAGGTAAGTTTTTTGTTGTTACTGGTACGGCAGCCAGGTACTGGCCCAGCTCTTGCTGGGATAGTCAGACCTGTGTACCTGGACTGTATCATGTCATCAGATTGCAGGCAGGAAGTTGGCACATTGAATTTTCCTTCATACCAGCAAATAAAAAGGAAATGTCTTCACTTAGGTCCTTTGATTGCTTTGGTACCACCCTTGGTATGACCAGTGTTGCACATTCCCAATACAGTTGTACCTTGGAAGTCAAACGGAATCTGTTCCAGAAGCCCGTTCGACTTCCAAAACGTTCGGAAACCAAAGCGCAGCTTCTGATTGGCTGTAGCTTCCTGCAGCCAATCAGAAGCAGCGGAACCCCATCAGATGTTTAGGTTCCAAAGAACGTTCGCAAACTGGAACACTCACTTCCGGGTTTGCGGCATTCGGGAACCAAAACGTCTGAGTACCAAGGCATTCAGGATCCAAGCTATGACTATAATCAAGTTTTGTTTCCATCCTTAGATGTTGTCTTCAGATATTGGGTAGACTCCCTTTTTTCTTTTTAAACGGAGCTGCCTTTAGTTTGCGTTTTTCTCCCAACATGTGCTCATGCCGTAGTTAGAAAGTACTGTATTTTTTGCTCTATAAGACTCACTTTTTCCTTCCTAAAAAGTAAGGGGAAATGTGTGTGCGTCTTATGGAGCGAATGCAGGCTCCGCAGCTATCACAGAAGCCAGAACAGCAAGAGGGATTGCTGCTTTCACTGCACAGCGATCCCTCTTGCTGTTCTGGCTTCTGAGATTCAAAATAATTTTTTTCTCCTCCAAAAACTAGGTGCGTCTTGTGGTCTGGTGCGTCTTATAGAGCGAAAAATACGGTACTCTTAAAATTGGGCTGATTTAACACAGTAACTCCTTGACCCTTGGTTTTGTGAACTAGTGTGTCAGTGACCTGTCGCAAAGTGATACCCCCAACCTTGAAAGCAGAATTTCAAGCTGGCAGCCGACACATTTCTCTTTGTACTTCCTGCGCATTTTAAATCGAAAGTGGCCATCCGTGCCACGGCCAGCTGAGCAGTGTGAAAGAATTTGCACCAAACTTGTAATAATGCATGGTGGTCAGATTGACAGTCTCACCTAAGGTTCAAACTGTTGGTAGCCCCCACAAAATGGCATTTGGGAGCGTGCAAGGACTCTGGTAAGTTTGTGAGTCTGCTGGGATCTAGAAAAAAAAGTGTCTGTCAGACCAGAGCCTCCAGTTAATTCCCACCAATTTCTGAACGTGCCGGTGGCCTTGTATCCATCTACAGTCTGCAATCCTAACCTCGCCAACCTCAGAATAAATCCCAATGAATAGGACATGTTTGGGATCGCAGCCGTTGCCTTTCGTTAGAGCCATTTGCGACCTTGACTGCTGTTGCTTCTTTTTGACGCCTACTTCTGCTTCCTCTAGAAACAATGTTTGGGATCAGAGCCAGTGTGGTGTAGTGGTTAAGAGCGGTAGATTCGTAATCTGGGGAACCGGGTTCGCTTCCTTGCTCCTCCACATGCAGCTGCTGGGTGACCTTGGGCTAGTCACACTTCTCTGAAGTCTCTCAGCCCCACTCACCTCACAGAGTGTTTGTTGTGGGGGAGGAAGGGAAAGGAGATTGTTAGCCGCTTTGAGACTCATAGAATCATAGAGTTGGAAGAGACCACAAGGGCCATCAAGTCCAACCCCCTGCCAAGCAGGAAACACCATCAGAGCACTCCTGACATATGGTTGTCAAGCCTCTGCTTAAAGACCTTCGGGTAGTGATAAAGCGGGATATAAAATCCAAACTCCTCCTCCTCTTCTTCTTCGTCTTCTTCTTCTTCTTCTCTTCTTCTTTTTTCTTTGAAGATGGAGGGAAAGAAGTGCTGTCCATGCACCAGATACTGCTGTATCTGTTACGCTGCAATAAGCCGCTGGTGCCGGAAGAGGAGATTGCCAATATGCTACAATGGGAGGAGTTGGAGTGGCAGAAATATGCCGAGGAGTGCAAGGGGATGATCGTCACCAGCCCTGGCATGGTAACTGCAAATGTTCTCAGATTGAGTTTTGTTGTGCTGTGCCCAAACCCCAAACCACAATCAGTTCCATCTCTCCCAATCTATTTATTTATTTTGTTTGCGGCCTGGGACAGCTGCCCGAAAGCAGTGCACTGTTTGGCCATCTTAGGGACAACGAAACATTAAGATGCAGTGATGATTGCAGGACAATAAAAGGTAGTAATCTAGGGTTGTAAGGCATCTGTGGGTGCAAATAATAATAATAATATTTATTTATTCCCCCACCCATCTGGCTGGGTTTCCCCAGCCATTCTGTGTGGCTCCCAACAGAATATTAAAAACACGATAAAACATCAAATATTAAAAACTTCCCTAAACAGAGTTGCCTTCAGATGTCTTTTAAAAATAGGATAGGTGCTTATTTCCTTGACATCTGATGGGAGGGCGTTCCACAGGGCAGGCGCCACTACCGAGAAGGCCCTCTGCCTGGTTCCCTGTAACCTCACTTCTCACAGTGAGGGAAAACTGGAACACTCACTTCCAGGTTTCGATCACTCAGGAGCCAATTTGTTCGGGAGCCAAGGCGTTCGGGATCCAAGGTACGACTGTATTATTATTATTATTATTATTAATTGAATTTATATACCGCCCTATACCTGGAGGTTTCAGGGCAGTTCACAGAACAAAATCAAAATATAAAACCACAAAATATATAATCTAAATAAAAACAACAACCCCATATCCCCCCCCAACCCCCACATTTTAGGCATAGGATGTCAATCAAATCAACCAAAGGCCTGGTTATAAAGGAACATTTTTGCCTGGCACCTAAGGTTTTAGTGTCTTGGGTGTCACTAAGGTTGTCCACACTGTCGTCCTCCCCATCTCCTTCTCCAACAACACTGCATAGGGATGCCACAAGTCCTCCAGGAAGCAGATGTACACACAATTCTGCTCACTTTATTCTATGAAGATTGGGCTTGGTGTCCATTGTAACACTGCACAATAGCCGCAACTTTTTTCCTTCTTTCTTTTGGAATGATAGGAATGTCCTGGGTTTTGCCATTGAAAGTTTCGCCATGTGATTGTTGAGCTCAGCAATAAAGCTCTCGTTTGGCACAATAGGGAAAGATCAGGAGAAGCTTATGAGAGAGCTGTTTTATTGGTGTTTTTTGTAGTTACAGCTTTCTTTGTCAGTAATAAGTCGAGGAGGAAGGAGAAGAATGGCCACAGTTTGCTTGTTCCCCCTCTTTCTCGTTCGTTCCGTGACAAGGGCACATTTTAATAAATAGCAAGAGAGATATTTGTGTGTAGGGGGTTTCTGTTTCTTTATATCTGAGCGAAGGCTCAGGAAGGAGAAGGGACATCTTGCAGTACCTAACCTTTTAAATGTTTTTAGAATACCTTTAAATTCTGTGAAGTCCTTCACACACTTCGTACAGTGCTTCTGCACACACCCCTTTCGTTGGCTACCTTGTCGCGCTAGAGTTTGGGTTGGTGGCACGAGGAAAAGCTGACCGGAGTGTGGTATTTTTGTGTGACGGATTTATTTCCTCAGTTATATTCCTCCTTTTAGCAGTAACGAACCCTTAGCAATTCACTCTCGCTTTAAACACTTAGATGTGCAGCGTAAACAGTGGAATCAATCATTGGTAGACAGTTTTCCTGTTGTCTCTCGACTTTGCTTTTAACTCCAGGGAAGTTCTAAGTGGGAAGATCGTCGTCTGTGGTGTGCGTCTTATTGCATCCCATGCAGAGCGAGATAGTCAGAGGAGGCAAGGGAAAACATTGGCGTAATGTGGGGAGGGGCAGAGCGGTGGTTTCCCTGGGCGCAAAATTGTTAGGGGGCGCAAAATTCCAACCCCCGGTGCTGCCTCGATAGAGCTGCGCACTTCTGTCGCTGGGCTCCCTTGAAAACGACTTCTCCCTCAGAACCAGGGAGTGACCTCTCTAGACAACGGAACAACTCTTCTTATCTCTGCGGCTGTGATCTCCCGGGTGACGCAGTCATCATTAGGCGGTTGAATGTGCATGTGTAATCCATTCCCCTCCCTCCCACCACCCCGCTCTGTGCAGCCCTGGGCTCCAGCAACCCACGCTATGTCACTGGAGGAAAGTCCTGTTGCATGCACAGAAATCCTTCAGCTAGCAAGGGGGCTGCATTTCGTACAAGCCTAGGTGTGGTCATTGAACTCTCTCTTCCCCGCTCGTCCATAACAGGTCCGTTCAGTGGTTAACGAATCAGGAGCCAGTCTCTGGTAAATGTGCTCCCTCTTCCCTTAGCCACATCTGGCTTGACTTCTCGTTTTACTAGGATTTGAAACCACGGTTGGCTTTCAGATTCGTTTGCCAAGTGGAGGCGAGACGGTGGAAGCTGCTGTCTTCGGGGCCGGCTCTTCCTCTGCGGAGAGGCCATTTTCGGAAAGTTATATATGCCTGCGATAGAGCCACTGTTACCTAAATTTAATTGTTTGATCTTTTCCCTCCACTTGCTCCAGAAACCCAGCTCGGTTCGCATTGATCAATTGGATCGTGAGCAGTTCAACCCTGATGTGATTACTTTCCCCATTATTGTCCACTTTGGAATACGACCTGCTCAACTCAGTTATGCTGGAGACCCACAGTAAGCAATTATTGTCAAGCCTGGGGCTGAATGCAGTCTTAACAGTCTTGCTCTTGATGGGCAGGTGCCGAAGCAACTGCTTCTGTTAAAGCAGTTACGAACACCCACTGGGATAGTACTCTGGAGAATAGATGGAAAGGGTGGGGGAGCAAAAATCAGTCATTGTTCTGTGCTGCACAGTAAAATTCTGAACTCTGAAATGCTTTCTTTCCCCCCTTAAGTGAAAAGGTTTTCCCTTCTGCATTCCTTTAATTTTGTTTCAAAAGCGTGCATGCCTTTTAAAATGAAATTCTTACATTGTAAACCGTAGACCTGTGGGTTCCCTAAAGACTCAATTCCCTTATGTTTTGTGCATTGCATGGTGGATCATTAACATTGTTTTGTTCCCTGGGGAGTAATCTGCGAAATGTTTGACTGTCAATTCACTCTTATTGTCTTAAGAACCATTTCCTTCTGCTCTCGCATGGGCCAAGCAGTTGCCTTTGGCATGTCCATGACTGGGACATGAGCACTCTCTTTCCATCGTGTTCCCCAGGAACTGGTATACCAAGTAGGGCTGGTCAAGATCTGGTTTTCAACTTTGCGATATATCACCAGCTAAACATCATGGCACACCGATATATCACAATGTCTGAAATAATGATGGAACAACGCTAGAGGTGAACAGTAGGGCTAGACAATATCTGGTTTTCAACTGTGAGATATCACCTCGGGTTAAGTACTTAATTCGTTTCGGAGGTCTGTTCTTAACCTGAAGCTGTTCTTAACCTGAAGCACCACTTTAGCTAATGGGGCCTCCTGCTGCTGCCACACCGCCTTAGCACGTTTTCTGTTCTCATCCTGAAGCAAAGTTCTTAACCTGAGGTAATATTTCTGGGTTAGCGGAGTCTGTAACCTGAAGCGTATGTAACCTGAAGCGTATTTAACCCGAGGTACCACTGTATACCGATATATCACAATGTCTGAAATTGGGTGGTTTTCAGCTTTGTGAGATACCACCAGCTAAACATTGCAGTACAGTGGTACCTTGGGTTACATACGCTTCAGGTTACATACGCTTCAGGTTACAGACTCCGCTAACCCAGAAATAGTGCTTCAGGTTAAGAACTTTGCTTCAGGATAAGAACAGAAATCGTGCTCCGGCGGTGCGGTGGCAGCAGGAGGCCCCATTAGCTAAAGTGGTGCTTCAGGTTAAGAACAGTTTCAGGTTAAGAACGGACCTCCGGAATGAATTAAGTACTTAACCTGAGGTACCACTGTATGCTGATATATCACAATATTTGAAATAAGGAGCTGGTTTTCAACTTCGTGACATATCCCCAGCGAAACATATATATACTGATATATCACAATGTCTAACATAAGGATGGAGCTATGTAGAGGCATTGGCTGGCTTCACCTTTCCCCCCACATTGTGATTTTTGCATAGCGCACACACATCCTGAATCACAATATATTGCCAGGTCAAAAACTATGAAACTGATATCACGATAGGGACTTCAACCTGGTTTGAGGCGATATATCGCCCAGTCCTAATACTGAGGCCATCCTGGTAGCCATTGATAGCCTTATCCTCCGTACATTTTTCTAATGGCTGCCCAGATTTTTACCCATTGCCATTCAAGCTTTTACCCATCACTTCTGCATTTTGTTATAGCAAATCTCCCACCACCTTCCTTGATTCTTCCTGCAACTCCTCGTAGTTCGCCTCACGTAAAGGAAAAAACCTGGTATTGGGAGCATTCCAAAGGCCCGAGTCCATAGGCTGTGGTCCAAGCAACGATGCGCTCTTCCTATTGTAAAGAAACAAGGCCCGTCAGCCTTTGTTTAGCTGGGAAATGTTGGCTATGCTCTCTTTTCAAGATAATGCCAGTTTCCATATAAGGATAGGAAAGGATTTCTTTCCAGTATGAACCTGAGAATTACTAGGCAGCTGTCTTAACTAAAAACAAAAAGGAAACGGATCAAGACTGATTTATCTCCCATTCGACTTTCTTTTTATTTTATTTTTAATTCTCAGGTACCAAAAACTCTGGAAGAGTTATGTGAAATTGCGCCACCTGCTGGCTAACAGCCCCAAAGTGAAACAAGCGGATAAGCAGAAACTTGTGCAAAGAGAAGTATGCTGCTATTTTATTTTATTTTGTTTTATTTTATTTCATACCCGTCCTAATTTCTCTGTGTGTCTATATACCATGGTTTGTTTCTTGTTTCTTTACGTTGCTGTTGCCTTTGCTCAGACTTGAACCCTGAACCTTAGGCTGAAGAGGGTGTTGGAAAATATTGCCACGGTTCTCTGCAAATAGCACAGCGTCAATGCATCATTGCTTTGTTTCCAAAGCAATTTAGACCTTTTAATTTATTCCTTTCTTCTGTCCCATGCTCTCTGCCACAGATTTCCAGATATAGGTTTTCCTTTTTTTCAACAACAACAACAACAACAAGACCCAAGAGACAGAAGACTAGGGCTGGTCGATATCTGGTTTTCGACATTGTGATATATCAGCAGCTTAATAGTGCGATATGCTGATATATCATGATGTCTGAAATGTATCCTGCCTGCATCTTCTTCCCCAGTTTAGGGGAGCAAGAAGCAACCGAAATACATTGCCCAGCCCTACCAAGGCCCGATATTGCTCTGGCTCATGCAAACTGGAGGGGCACCAGGTTTTCATTAAACTGCTCAGTTTTGGGGACGGCCTTCAGCTGAGCGAGCCCCATACTGCTCTGTCTCATGCGAGGAGCATATGGGGCTTCCTCAAAGGTGCAGACAGCGTTTGCAGGCCAGTCCCTGCTCCTGCCAACCTAGCAGTTCGAAAGCACGTCAAAGTGCAAGTAGATAAGTAGGTACCGCTCCGGCGGGAAGGTAAACGGCGTTTCTGTGCGCTGCTCTGGTTCGCCAGAAGCGGTTTTAACATGCTGGCCACATGACCCGGAAGCTGTACGCCGGCTCCCTCGGCCAATAAAGAGAGATGGGCGCCGCAACCCCAGAGTCGGCCATGACTGGACCTAATGGTCAGGGGTTCTTTTACCTTTAATGTATTGCCAGCTCAAATGGCCCGAAACGGGTGTCGCAATCTGAACGCCGATTTATCAATATATCGGCCAGCTCTACAGAAGCCTGAGCTTCTGGACCAACGGTCAATTTCTGGCGGATTGCCCTGGGTCTGACAGAAGCAAAAAGAAGAGGCCTGCCAGATCCGGCCAAATCCTGTCAGATTCAGCGTCCGGTTATCACAATGGCCAAACAGATGCCTCAGATTCTGCAGTTCTTGAAAAGAATGCCGGACTTAGTGAAACTTGATCTGACACACCATGGCGCTTTCTGTGTTGGTATGATCTTAGGCCTTTGAGGAGCTGCTCAGGTGTTGCGTGTGGCTCCTGTCCACACCTCCAGTGTGTTATTTGCACAAACCTGGTAGTCATTTTCCCGGAACGTGCCTTATATCAAGGTGGATCGTCGGTCCATCTTAGCACCATCTACATTGATCAGCAGAAGTTTTCTAGGTTTTCAAGACAGGAAATACTCAGGTTTGATACAAGCCCAGGTTGGGAGTGGAAGAGCAGATTGATATGGTATTATTTAAGTGTGAGAAAGACGTTGGAACTCTAAGGCCAAGCACTAGGGCCCAAAGGCCACTGAACTATCCTAGCGCATAGGGCATGGGTAGGCAAACTAAGGCCCGGAGGCCAGATCCGGCCTAGTTGCCTTCTAAATCTGGCCCGTGGACGGTCTGGGAATCAGCATGTTTTTACATGAGTAGAATGTGTCCTTTTATTTAAAATGCACCTCTGGGTTATTTGTGGAGCCTGCCTGGTGTTTTTACATGAGTATAATGTGTGCTTTTATTTAGAATGGGTTATTTGTGGGGCATAGGAATTCATTCATTATTATTTTTCAAAATATAGTCCAGCCCCCCACAAGGTCTGAGGAACAGTGGACTGGCCCCCCGCTGAAAATGTTTGCTGACCCTTGGCATAGGGGGTGGGGGGTGGCTATTCTCGTCTTCTTATGGCGTGTTTTGCTCCAATGTCCCAAGCAGCGAGTGAGAGAAGCCCCATTGACTGAAGACTCTCTTTTCTGAATGCACGTAGGGGCAGTTTAGGTTGCTCTGCTGAGCTATCCCAGGTCAGGTCCTACAGAGATAACCCCCCCTTTTTGTTTTTTTGCTTTAAAGGAAGCACTTCAGAAGATTAGGCAGAAAAACACCATGCGTCGTGAGGTGACCGTCGAGCTGAGCAGCCAAGGCTTCTGGAAAACGGGCATCCGCTCCGATGTCTGTCAGGTGAGTGGATACCCTTCCGTATCCCTAGCGAACGAAGCATATGCATTTTATTTATGTGTGTAAAATCTGAGGCATGCGGATGAGGCGGCTGGGATAGGGATGGCGAGGGAGGCCCCCCTCCCCGGCGTTGCTGCCATCTTCCAAGCCAAGGGCCTTCAACTCTCTCTCAAGAACCTCTGTTATATTCCCTTAAAACTCCACAGTGCATAAGTTGGCAGTGGGAGGGGGAAGGGACATGCCCTGCTCTTTTAGAAATGGTGGCCATTTTGCATTGCGCCACACCCCTCAGTTGTGTTATAGCCCCCCACCCCTTTTGCCTGCTGAATGGTTGGGCAGGAAAAAACTGCCATTGGCAGCAACCAGGGCATTCTGGGGAGCACTGGTTTGGGCCCTTTGAATTTGAATCCAGCCTTGCTGATGGCATAAGGCTCGAGGGCACAATAATCTGTCTGCCCCCTTCCCTTTCTGAGCTGGCCAGCCTGCTCAGCAGGGCTGGAGTTATGGCTCTAGCCCAGGCATCCCCAACCTTCGGCCCTCCAGATGTTTTGGACTACAATTCCCATCATCCCTGAGCACTGGTCCTGTTAGCTGGGGATCATGGGAGTTGTAGGCCAAAACATCTGGAGGGCCTGCTCTAGCCCCACTCTTAAGCCCCACGGGGGAGCAGCAGATTCCTGGGGTGTGATCAGGGCCAGATTTAGGTTTGATGAGGTCCTAAGCTACTGAAGGTAATGGGGCCCTTTATATGTCCAACTGTCCTTTTTCAACAACAAGTTGTTGCTCTTTTGTGTTGAATATATGCTACATGGTAATTTATGGACTTAATATGTATCGAAAGCCGTTTGCACATGTTGCCATGCAACTAGTCCATGCAGAATGTTGGCACCCTATATATAGAAATGAGCAAACCAGTGATATTTTAGGGAGCAGGCGGGGCCCATTACTTACATCATAGGGGCCCACACAACACAAAACACTGTTGCTGTATGTAGGTTTTATTTTATTTGTTTTTTATCTTATATTTTGGAAATGTACATCCGGGTTTTTTTCCTTTAATATTTTTGGGCCCGCCAAGAGAGTGGGGCCCTAAACTGTAGCTTGTTTAGCTTATACGTAAATCCGGCACTGGGCATGATCCGCGTAAGGGATGGGTACACAGCCTTGTGCATGAAGAATCTCCCTGTTTTCTACTACCCACATGTGTTTGCGAGCGCATGTGTGTCTCCCCCAAATCCTCACCCAACCTTTCTTCTCCATGCTTTCGAGTTAACCATTGCATTTCACACAGTAGGGGTTGACCACTTCCCTGCTATTGTCCAAACAGAAGCATTGTACGGGCAGGACGCTGTGAAGCAATCCTGAACCCAAAAAAGTTCTAATGAATTTGAAAACCTGCTTGGCGCAGTAATAATGCACATGGCCTCAGTGGTCCAGAGTGCCTTCTGTCAGCTTCGACTGGTGGCCCAGCTACGCCCCCAACTGGACAGGGATAGCCTTACTGCTGTTGTCTATGCTCTGGTGACCTCAAGTTTAGATGACTGCAATGCATTATACGTAGGGCTGCCTCTGAAGACGGTTCGGAAACTTCAGCTGGTGCAGAATTCAGTGGCCAGGTTGCTCAAGACGCTTTGAGCATATTACATTGATCCTGGTCCAACTGCACTGACTGCCGATTAGTTTCTGGGCCCAATTCAAGGTACTGGTTTTGACCTGTAAAGCCTTAAATGGCTCAGGACCGCAATACCTCAAGGACTGCCTCTTTCCATATGAATCTACCCAGACCCAGAGATCATCTTCTGAGGCCCTTCTTCATGTGCCTCCTCCTTGAGAGGTCCAGAGGGTGGCAACATGAAAACAGGCTTCTCTGTTGTGGCTCCCCATTTATGGAACACTCTTCCCAAGGAAGTTCGCCTGGCACCTTCATTCTATACCTTTAAGCTCCAGGCAAAAACATTCCTCTTCAACCAGACCTTTGGTTGATTTGATTGACATCCTATGCCCTTTTGAAAATGTAGGGATTTTTTTTTGGGGGGGGGAGGTGTTATTGGGTTGTTGTTTTTATTTTGATTATGCATTTTGTGGTTTTACATTTTGATTTTATTCTGTGAACCGCCCTGAGACCTCTGGTATAGGGTGGTATATAAATTCTAATAATAATAATAATTATAATAATAATAATAATAATAATAATCTGCAGCAGTGTCTCATACCGAATGTAAGCAAGTTGCCAAAAAGACTCCATGAATTGAAAGTGGAGACACTGTATGCACTTTTCTTTGCTTGCTTGTTGCTTGTTTAAATCATCATCATCATCTACATCATCAAAGAATTAGCCGGGCAGATCCAATCTTATTGCATGACCTGCTGCGTAAACCTAAAAATCAATCTACTGTTCTTGTAGACCATTCTTATAGTGGCTCATGTGCAATGTGGGGGATTTGAACCGTGGTCTCCTAGGGACTAGTCCAGCACTTCAACCACTTCTTGAATACTTGAAAAAACATAGGGCTAAAAGTTCCAGGTAAATAAATAATGGCAATTCTTTCTCCTAGCATGCCATGATGCTCCCTGTTCTGACTCATCACATCCGCTACCATCAATGTCTGATGCATCTGGATAAACTGATAGGCTACACTTTTAAAGATCGCTGCTTATTGCAGGTAAGGACATAGACCGAAATGCGCTCCCATGTGTTTGAAGTTGCAATGTGGCTGGGAAAAAAGGAGCAGGGAATAGATGTGCTGGTAAGTTTGCATTAGTTTGTGGGCGGCAGAGCCAGAGAACTGACCAGGCCGACCTGGAGATGGGGGCTGATGGAGACAGCCAATCAGGGAGCCAAAGAATGAGTCGGAAGCACCGGCCATTGGCAGCACATGGTGCGCAGAGAACCTTGTTGGTTCTGGAGCAGAGAGAGGCGCTGGATCTGTACTGATCTGTAAAAACACTTTTTAAAAAAGCAATATAGCTCTCAGTGCCATTTCCCATTGCTCTACAGCGCCCTCTGGTGTCACATGTTTATAACGTATTTTTAGCGTTTTAAATGCCCCATGTAGATGAGTCCAGGGAGTTGGTTGGAGGGGGGTCAATGAAAGAATGGAGAGGGGTGGAATATAAGGAGAAGGACGGGGGAACTGTTTATGTTTATAAGGTGGAGGTAACCCAAGTATTCTAGATCTAGTCTACCTGCATTCCTGTGAATACGAAACAGAGGTGTCAGACAATATGCTATTAAAAAGCAAAGATTTTATCATGCCTTATATTTTTACATGGTTATTGGCTTCAGCAATCAGATCCTCATGTTCAGTTTTCTGTTCCTTTTTTAATTATTGAGAGTTTTTCAAGTGAACAAATAGAGTAAAAATGGAAAGCGTTGAAAAGTATACGCCTTTTCCTTTCCCCCACAATATGCAGTTTCAGTCTGTAATTTTAGAGCTCAGAAACTGCTCGCGCTCATGAAATTCCCTGTCACAAAACGCACCCGGAACAATGGGAGCTTCGAACTCTGCCTCTAACCGTTCTCGTGTTCCTGGACTATAAGTTGTCTTTGGAACTGAGTTGCAACGTTTAGCTATTGGCGCTTACTGACACTGAGGATTTGAACAACCAAAACTTCTGAAGTTGCTTGATCGGTTGTGAAAACTGGGGGTGGTTCTGCGCTGCTGAAATTTCACGGCAGCCGTCCGTTTTAAAGATTTGCAGCGACTGGAATGAGCAGTGCTGGCTTACGGGGCTGTTTTGTCTTTGCTTTGGGATTCTGCCGCCTTTACAGCTGGCCATGACTCACCCAAGTCATCACCTAAACTTCGGGATGAATCCAGACCATGCCAGAAATTCTTTGTCCAACTGCGGCATCCGGCAGCCCAAATATGGAGATAGGAAAGTCCACCATATGCATATGAGGAAAAAAGGTAGGTTTTGCATGCCACAGGGCGGGCACCACTACCAAGAAGGCCCACTGCCTGATTCCCTGATTAGCCTCACTTCTCGCATAAGGTATACTTATGTGTCATTGCCAGGTGGTCGTGCATCCTGGTGCTGACGAGAGCCAGCATGCCTTCTCATAAGACCGTTTCGCATGTTGTGTTCTCTTCGCCCGAGTGTCAATTGCTGTTCTGCAACGAGGTGGCAAAAGTAGGCAGAGGTCTTTTGCTGCTTGCATGTAGAAATCTAGGTTTACAAGCCAAACTTTTTTTGCATAGTTCGGTCCCCATTATTTTACTAGCTGCAGGATGGTTGTGTAAAGTAAATCCCATTGAATTCAATGGGGCATATTCCCAAGTTTGTGGAGTTAAGATGGTCATCCGAGTTGAATGGATAGTTTGCTAAAAAAAAAGGGAGACTTTCCAGACTAAGGTGTGGAGACGATGGGCTTTACACGTGGTGAATGCCCAAAGCCAAAAAGGTTGCAGGTGGATTTTGATTCTACAGAGGTACTTGGCTATTGTGATACAGAGGTAGCTATTGCTATACAAACCTATGTTATAAGCTTTTTCCCCTTCAAATTTTTTTCTTTTCAGGTTTATACATTTCACTAATTTCACAATCATTTTAACAATTCAAAACGACTTCTTCCTCTTTCTGTGGTTCTTTAAATTTATTTTTAATATCTTCTGCGTATCCTAATTAATTTAATTTACTCATTTATTCATCTACTTTAAATATATACTCTTATGAAACTGCAGGTTATTACAATAATCCTGCCGATGCTCTTAACTGTTTACAATTTATCTGCAAATATTCAATAAACCATTTCCATTCTTTTATTAAAAGTTTGTTATCTTGATTTCTTATTCTTCTGGTAAGTTTCAGCATTTCTGCATATTCCATAAGTTTTTGTATCCATTCTTCCTTTGCTGGGACTTATTCTTCTTTCCATTTTTGGGCAAGTAACATTCTTGCCGCTGTGGTCACATAAGTGAATAAGTTTCTATATGGTTTAGGTAGTTCTGTCCCTATCGTTCCCAATAGAAGAGCTGCTGGGTTGTTTTTTTTTAAAACAAACGTTATTTTCAACATCCTTTTCAATTCATTATATATCATTTCCCAATAAGCGCTAGCCTTACTACAAACGTATGTCATAAGCTTAATCATTTACTGTTCAGATAGGGTAAAGGTACCCCTGACCATTAGGTCCAGTCGCGAACGACTCTGGGGTTGCGGCGCTCATCTCGCTTTACTGGCCGAGGGAGCCGGCGTTTGTCCGCAGACATCTTCCGGGTCATGTGGCCAGCATGACTAAGCCGCTTCTGGCAAACCAGAGCAGCGCACGGAAACGCCGTTTACCTTCCTGCCGGAGCAGTACCTATTTATCTACTTGCACTTTGATGTGCTTTCAAACTGCTAGGTGGGCAGGAGCTGGGACCGAGCAACGGGAGTCCCCCCCCACCGTGGGGATTCAAACCGCTGACCTTCTGATCAGCAAGCCCTAGGCCAGGGGTCAGCAAACTTTTTCAGCAGGGGGCCGGTCCACTGTTCCTCAGACCTTGTGGGGGGCTGGACTATATTTTTTGGGGGTGGGGGGAAATGAATGAATTCCTATGCCCAACAAATAACCCAGAGATGCATTTTAAATAAAAGGACACATTCTACTCCTGTAAAAACATGCTGATTCCCGGATCATCCGCGGGCCGGATATAGAAAGTGATTGGGCGAGATCTGGCCCCCGGGCCTTAGTTTGCCTACCCATGCCCTAGGCTCTGTGGTTTAGACCACAGCACCACCCTTTTACTGTTCAGATGACAATACATAATTCAAATTACTGGAAGGTTACTTTTGTGCTGAACCCTTAAAAGAAAACGTGCCTGTTTAAATGGGGTTACCTTCTAAATATCACGTGGTCTGTATTTTTTCCCCCCCAGGCATAAACACCTTGATCAATATCATGTCACGTCTTGGGCAAGATGATCCAACTCCTTCCAGGTACGCAAACAACATAATTTCTGGGTGGTAGTTGTTGCAATTACGAGCTCGCTGGCCCATTGCAGTAAGTGGGATCAGAACAGAACTGTTAATGATAATAATAATAATAATAATAATAATAATAATAATAATAATTGTATTTATACTCCACCCATCTGGCTGGGTTTCCCCAGCTTTCAGTTAGGGGAAACACTGCATTTCCAGCAATAGTTGGAACTGCTCCCAGTAAACCTATTTGTGGCCTTTGCACCTTTCGCCTCTTTGCAGTACCCACCTGGAATTCTGCTGATTGTTAGCGATTTCTTTCTAGCCTTAAAAACACACTCGGGTTACCTGCTTTCCGGCAAATGTCCAAGCGCTCCCGGCAAGCCTCTTTCCGTGCCAGTGCCGAAAGAGCGCGCAGGAAAAGAGCAGGAGGGGTCGCGATGCCGTACCACGCAGAGGATTTTGAACTCCCTGCAAGATGCTTTCTTTTTCTTCTTGCATGGCACCGTGCCAAAAGCCTATAGATGGCCTAGGAGGAGGCTTCTCTTTAAATCATCCAGGGCTATGGCAGGGCACGCGGAAGCTGGTCTCAGCATGCCATTGCACATCATTATCTTTTCCTTTGGTTAATAAGTTGACACAACATTACGATCAGCCTTATTACCTTTCTGGCTGCCTGTGGTTTTTTTGTGCCGCGCAGAAGAAACCCAAATATCCACTGTTGGGCATCGGAGGATTGCACGTTGAAAACCGAAAGCAGTGGGAGCCTAACTCTTTTTTGCTTTATTGCCCCAAGGAATTGGCCGGCTGTTGTTTATCCATTGCTAATTACTCATATGCGTAGGGATCACGTGTAACGATCCCTGCATTTGTCTGTTTGCAGGATCAACCACAACGAGCGCTTGGAATTTTTGGGAGATGCCGTGGTTGAATTTTTAACTAGGTGAGTATTCGGTTCACTCCTAATGCACTTTCTGCTATAAAATCATACCTTACTCATTAAAATAAAACATTTAAAAATATCCTGATTTGTTTCGGGCTATCATGCAGTTGAAAGGGTATTCTGCCAATTAAAACTCCGATGTCATTTATTTATTTTTCTTCCGAAACACCAAAGACCTCTGCTGCTTTAAAAAAAAATCAAAATCAAAAGTAGACATTTATGTGTCGCTTCCAGTGTGCTAAACATGCCGAAATCTGTAATTCTTCCATCTCCCTCTTTTCTTGCAAGCTAAATTGGCGTCATTCCTGCTTTACAGATATGGAAGAGAGGCCCTTAGAGAATCAAGTCTCTTGTTTTCTTTTCTTTTCTTTTCTTTTTAAAAAAAACTAATTTATTAGCTTTGTTGTTGTTCAAATAGGCCACACAAAAGTCTTTTTTAAAAAAGAAAAAGAAACAAGAAGTAATTTAGATAGCGCTTAAAATGCTTCAAGCACGTTCCTGTCTGTATCTCAGTTTGCTTAGGACTAAGCTCAGAATTGGGACGCGGGCGCTGTGGGTTAAACCACAGAGCCTAGGACTTGCAGATCAGAAGGTTGATGGTTCGAATCCCCACGACGGGGTGAGCTCCCGTTGCTTGGTCCCTGCTCCTGCCAACCTAGCCGTTTGAAAGCACGTCAAAGTGCAAGTAGATAAACAGGTACTGCTCCTGCGGGAAGGTAAACGGCATTTCCGTGCTCTGCTCTGGTTTGCCAGAAGCGGCTTAGTCATGCTGGCCACATGACCCGGAAGCTGTACGCCGGCTCCCTTGGCCGGTAAAGCGAGATGAGCACCGCAACCCCAGAGTCGGTCATGGCTGGACCTATTGGTCAGGGGTCCCTTTACCTTTAAGCTCAGAATTGAACCCAGATCCAATTCTAGATATTCTGTCATCAACTGGTACCTTTTGCTCTCTAGTTTGTCAGCAACCCCAAAAGTAGATGCAAAAGGTTTTTGTTCTGCCAAGTCCGTTTCCCCTGCCTCGTGTCTTCATTTGAAGTTTCATTCCAAGCCGAGGGCCTAAAGTGTAATACTCTGAGATGAAAAGCTGATGCCTGTGTCCTGTCAGATGTAATTGAGAGTTGCTCATAACAGCTCTGGAGAATGGCTAGTCTAGGACCAAACGCTTCAAAGTTTATAGCCGGCAAATAAAAGGAATACATCATTTTGGAACGTGTCATCTTCCTGTCACGGAGCTCCTTCATCTTTCCGGCTATAATCTCAAGCAAAAAGTGTGTTTGCAAATAAACTTTGAATCCCACCCCCCACCCCCACCCAATTCTCTCTCCCAAGTGTGGGGTTATTACTCATTAATCCCGACTTCATAATGGCGCACTTGGCGTTTTGCCTTCCGGTAGTTTGCAGTTTCGTGCTCGTGTATTTGGAATAAATCACTAACATATTCCCAGTTAATGGAAGGTGGCTTTCATTTTTCCTGCATAGGCTCTTCTCAGAAAGAAACAAAAAACCCCGACAAAAATAATGTAAAATTGACATTTTATAGCCTAGTGAAAACAGCAGCCATTTCCTTGGTAAGTGTCATTTGTGACAGCAGGCAGCACCCAAAACTCCAGGGTGGGAAATTTGAAGCTCATTTCCAGATCTCAGGTGTGTCCGTTTGTAATGGGAAAAGTGGTCTACTTATGTAGAGAGAGGCTCCAAAAGTGTTAAGATGTTACAGAAGAAGAAAAGGAAAATGCCATCGGTGCCTTCCAACAACTACTTTGAGATGAGCGGCTTTTTGCATTGTTTGGTTTGCATAAAACCGTATGTGGGCTTTTATCTCTGAAAATAGCAGGGGCTGAAGGAGGACAGATTTATTTAATGCTCAAAAACAAGCTCTCTGAGTACTTCTATTTACGTAAACCTCCGCAGTGCATTTTTACACGTAATCTTTCTGAGGCTCGAAAATTGGCACCCTGAGCATAGAACTTTCTTCGTAGGGGCAGTTCTGGCAGCCAAAACGCCTCGGTCTTTGTGCGAGTTTGCACAAAAGAGATAGTCTGCCTCGTTGAAGTCAGTGGGGCCTGTATAGGATTGCACCTTTTGGTTGCAATCCTTTGCACAGTTATCTCGGAGGAAGCCTTGTTGTACTTAGTTGGATTTACTTCTGGGTAAATCTAGGATGAACTCAGCAGAACTTGCTTTCCAGTGAAACTTGCTGCCCTTCTTCCATGGAAGTGCGGCCAAGATAACCAACTTAAAGGATGAACACAAAAAGGAGGCCGTCAACCTAGCTTTGTATTCAACTACACCTTACTCAGAGTAGACCTGTTGAAGTTAGTGAAGCTAAATGAATCATGTCTCTTAATTTCACTGAGTCTGCTCTAAACATGACCAATATGACCAATAACTTGCCGTACTTTTCCATGTATAACATGCCCCCATGTATAACACGCTCAGTATTTTTGGGGAAGAAGAAGAAGAAGAAGAGTTTGGATTTGATATCCCGCCTTTCACTCCCTTTAAGGAGTCTCAAAGCGGCTAACATTCTCCCTTCCCTTCCTCCCCCACAACAAACACTCTGTGAGGTGAGTGGGGCTGAGAGACTTCAAGGAAGTGTGACTGGCCCAAGGTCACCCAGCAGCTGCATGTGGAGGAGCGGAGACGCGAACCCGGTTCCCCAGATTAGGAGACTACCGCTCTTAACCACTACACCACACTGGAAAGAAAATGACCCAGAGTTGTGCAGCTTTTTTAGGGATGCAGTAATTCACCAACCCAACAAATCACCCATCACCCCACCCACTACCCATCTATAAAACGCCCCTAGTTTTTAAACCTTATTTTATAGTAAAAAAACCAACAACAACCCTCGTCTTATACACGGAAAAGTAGGTAAGTATCCCCTACATCAGATGAACTATAAATCCCACATTCCCTGCCTATCACCCTTGCTTGCGGGAGCTGATGGGAGTTGTAGTTCAGTAACAACTGTGCCATATTAAGGACCAAACGCCTAGGTTCATGAAAATGTTTTTGCCTCATGCATAAGAGCAGACAATGATGGTTTCTTGCGGGGAGAGGCAGTTTCTGAAATAACCTGTTAAGTGTCTCTGCCGTTGAGAGATTTACGGGTTTTGATGTGCCTTTTCTCCTTTCTTTCCAGTGTTCATTTATACTACCTGTTTCCAAGTCTAGAGGAAGGGGGCTTAGCCACATACCGCACTGCCATCGTTCAGAACCAACATCTTGCCATGCTGGCCAAGGTAACATAACAAATTTTGTCCCCCACAGTTTGAATTGGCTTTGAATTGCCAAGATAGATTCATTAAGTGAAGGTGGGCGATCCACACTTGTGTTTTTCTTGGGGCCACACTGCAATCTCCTTGTAGGCAGAAGAGTTTTATATCTTATTAGAAACAGGACCCAACTGGGCGTGCCTTGGTGTCAAGATATTTTGAGAAGCAGCCTCCAAATGCAGCCATAATTAGGGTTGGGGGGCAGAAAACACCGCTTTGTGCTTCTGAGGCCTTGCAATGTACTACAAGAATCTGTCTGGGTGGTGACCAATATGCTTTAGATGTTTTCTTTTTAAAGGTACTTAAATTAGGAGTTTAATTAGGAGCTTTCAGTGGGAGACGACTATGCTTCGGAATACACATGGAGCGTTTTCTTTTCAGCACAATTCACTTTACGTATGTCCCCTTTTATACCCAACTTATGAAAGGGGCATTAACAACTAAATTGTTCCGTCTATGTAACATGGTAGAGAAAGTGGACCGGAGCAGATAGACAATGGAGGGCAAAAAAAAGGGGGGGGAGCATTTGGCCCAGGATTATGTGTCTGTTTACTATTTATATAATTAAATAAACATTTTCCCCCTCCGCTCTTCAGCCTAAAAACATGGGCTGACATAGTAATATATTTTAAAATGTAATTTAAATATTGCAAGAGTTCTTGGGGGGGAAATGAACTCACGCAGTTAGTTGGTCTTCCATTGGGAAAATTATTTATTTATACAATATGCCACATATATAGCCACCCAGAGTGGCTGGGGAAACCCAGCCAGATGGGTGGGATATTATTATTATTATTATTATTATGAGCCATAGAACTGCAGGGTTGGAAGGAACCAGTAAGATTGTCTAATCCAACCCCCTGCAATGCTGGAATCTTTTGCCCAACGTGGGGCTCAAACCTACAACCTTGAGATTAAGAGTCTCTTGTGTTCTGCCAACTCAGTTATGTCAAAATGGGATGCGTAACTTGTTCAGGGTTGATAGTTTAAAGAGGCTTGTAATAAAAAATGTAGAAAGTGGGAGAAAGACAAAAATGGTCATTGCACAGTAAAAGGATGTCAATGTGGCTTAAGGTTACAGGTGGGTCCTTGTTCCGAAATAGGCTACCTGCAACCTGCTTTTATCACAGGCTTGTGAAAGTAAACAATGGTTTTAAAGAACCTTGCAAAACAATGCAGTCGTGGCACGTCGGAAGGGAAGACCTGTTCGAAGCAGATCAGGTTGAGAAGGTCAGAACCGTCACAATGGGTTTCGGCAATAGGAAAGTCATCCCTGTTGGTGACAATGACTAATATTTCAGGCTTCAGAGGAAGCATACAAAGAGACTTCTCTTACCAATTAGCTGCCACAAGTTGACTACTTTGCTGGTTTTGCACAGTTTAGTTGGTGGCATAATAATTTAGCCAGTGCTTTCTGTCTTTCTTCCATGCTTATAAATTTTAGATCTTTTTTTCACCTTATGCAATGACGTTGTGTGTCCTCCCCAGCCAGCCAACTCAGATCAGCTTTATCTGGAGTTTAGCAGGGAATTTCCCCCCCATCACCATGTTAGGCAAAGCTCCACTTAACTAAATAAGAGCTCTGCACCCCAGATAGTTTGAGATGTATGCCCCTATTTTTCTTCGTTTATGAATTTAGCTTTGTTTTTGTTTTTTGAAAAATAGAATCCAGACCTCTGTTTGTAACCCTCTCTTTTGTACAGTGGTACCTTGGGTTACAGACGCTTCAGGTTACAGATGCTTCAGGTTACGGACTCTGCTAACCCAGAAATAGTACCTCGGGTTAAGAACTTTGCTTCAGGATAAGAACAGAAATGGTGCTCCGGCGGCGCGGCAGCAGCAGGAGACCCCATTAGCTAAAGTGGTGCTTCAGGTTAAGAACAGTTTCAGGTTAAGAACGGACCTCCGGAACGAATTAAGTGCTTAACCCGAGGTACCACTGTATGCTTAAAAATTGTTCCTCGCCAGCGCTGCTTCTGAACGCAGCCATAAAGCAGAGCCTGCCTCGTATTTAAAACTACTGAAAGATTTACAGGTGTGCTAGATGCTCCTGAAAACATAGCAGTGACTTAGTTATTGCCCCGAGGGCTTCCGATTGATCTTTCAATTTACTTTCCTTTAACCAGTGCCACTTAACGCTCCCAAAGATGCATAGTTCATGGATTCCCCTCCCTTTTATTTCTTGGGGACCTCAAAAGTCCCTCTTCTTCCATTTTAATTGTCCTATTGCTCACACTTTTTTGTTCTTTACCTCAACGATGCCCACCCAAGCTTCACGTCTGGGCCATCATTCTCTGGACGTCTCTGGAGCCATGAATATAAAGCAGGCAGGTTTACATTTCCTCATGGTCTGGTCATCTCTTTTTATCTTTCCCTTTTGGATTTATACCCCTCCAATTCAGCTACAAAAAGCTCTCGAGACAGAAGCGTCCCCCAAATTCAGGATTTGGTCTTGTGGTCCGAAGTAGCACATCTTAATGAATTGCTTTTGCAGTCCAGAGAGTCGTCGTCTTCTTCTTCTTCTTCTTCTTCTTCTTCTTCTTCTTCTCCTCCTCCTCCTTCTCCTTCTCCTTCTCCTTCTCCTTCTCCTCCTCCTCCTCCATCTTCTTAGTTTGCCTCTTGTTTGTTGCTTTAGCCCTGCAGAGAGAATGCACAGATATCTTCCTGGCTTTTTGTAGAATTTGTGGGTCTGTCTTTCTGGCTCGTTTGAAGTACTTTCTCAAAGCCGCTCAATGTTGATTTGGGATGTGGAAAGGGAAAACCTTGTTTGTGAGTTGGACTTGATAACCCAGCTACCATTCCTAGCAATGGTGGCACGGAAAATAATCCCGTTATTTTGCCACTCTGTGCGTGAAGCTTTGGAGAGGAAGGTCCAATATATTACGTGGCCTCTCATGGGCTGTGGGATCGGCAGAAATCTTAAATAAAACATGAAACACACATAATTCTGAACACGGATGATTCCCTGAGATCCTTAGCTTTCGTCTGTAATTAACAAAATAGGCGAATGTATTTATGCTGCACACAGTGTACAGGTGTTTCAACAAATGTCTCCTTCAGGATTTGTTGCTGTTTTTCAAATCTGGGGGGATGGATGGGGAAACAAAGGAGAGATTGGTCAGTAGAAGTCTCCATGGGTAGAGAACGGGTTTTTCTGATGCACCCCGGAAACAAACTAGGGTTTACACAAATCTCCCTTGTCCCTTCTTCTTCAATCTGCCTTGCTTTGAAAATTCCTCAGCGGCTTTCTGCCAAGCAGAATGAATGCATTAAAAGGGGAAGTCTAATAACTCTGGAATGTATTTCCACCCCAGAATTAGCATGCATTACATAACGCCTCTGATTTTAAGACTTGAAGGAGATTAGCAGATGACTTGATGTGAGGACATTCACATGTTGGAAAAGCTAGGTGGAGCTGTGGCGTAAGAAACCAAACGCGGTCTCCCTCTCTCTCTCTCTCTCTCTCTCTCTCTCTCTCGTGCTCAGAGGCATATGCTTGAATTTGCTGCGTGTTGTTAGGGCAGAGGGAAATAAAATCATTAGGGACAATTTACAGATGCAATAGGGCGTTGTTTAGATTTTGCTTATTTCCCTCTTTTCCTTATTCCTCCATTGTGGTGCATATTCTGTTTCTTCTTCTTCAGGAGTTAAAGCAAAACAAAAACCTGCACTCCGGCGACATTATTCTAACTAAGCTTGCTCCTTCCTTCTCCTGTTTAAACGGCAGTTTCCTCTCTTTGCCTCCTTAATCGTCCGGGGCCTTGTGCAGCCACGTCACTGGCTCCCCGCAAACCGTGGTTTTCAAATCTGAACAAGCCTCTCCTCCTTCCTTGCTCCTTTTTCAAGCAAGGTTCCTTCTCATTTCCCAGGACCAAACCACGGTGCGATGAGGCTGAAGGAGACGCTCTGTTTCCCAACATTCCTCGCACCCGCAGTTTAGAATCAGGCCTGGGTCAGTGTTCGAAACTCCCATTGTTCCTGGCGCATTTTGCAACCGGGAATTTCATTAGTGTGAGCGGTTTCCAATCTCTGGGTGCGGTCCTGCACCTAAGATTTCAGATTAAAACCGCAGAGTGGAAGGAAAGGAGGACCTTTTTCTGCCTCCTCACTTTCAGCCACTCTCCGAAGGCTGGAGAAGAGACCCTCTTAAGAATATTAGGGGGGTGGGCAGGGGAAGAACTTAGACCACGTGAAAAAGGAACATAATATTTTAGCTGCAGTTCCTTCATTTTCAGCTTTGTATTCTTGCTGTTAAGGGATGCGGGTAGCGCTGTGGGTTAAACCACAGAGCCTAGGACTTGCCGATCAGAAGGTCAGCGGTTCAAATCCCCGGGACGGGGTGAGCTCCTGTTGTTTGGTCCCTGCTCCTGCCAACCTAGCAGTTTGAAAGCACGTCAAAGTGCAAGTAGATAAATACCTACCGCTCCGGTGGGAGGTAAACGGCGTTTCCGTGTGCTGCTCTGGTTCATCAGAAGTGGCTTAGTCATGCTGGCCACATGACCCGGAAGCTGTACGCCGGCTCCCTTGGCCAATAAAGCGAGATGAGCGCCGCAACCCCAGAGTCGGTCACGACTGGACCCAATGGTCAGGGGTCCCTTTACCTTTACCTTTATTCTTGCTATTAAAAAAGCGTGCCTGGGCATTCCATGGTTGCACCTATAACCTCGCTTTAAAGGTGCCTTTTAGCTCCTAGCTTTCTCGGTTTCTGAAGCTGGCCCAGGTGTACTGAGGGATTGCAGGGCTCAAAGAATAGAGTTGTGGAGAGAGGAGTTAGTAGCCACAGAGACAACACAGAGTGGGGTGGGGTTTGGAAAAGTTGTTAGACTGTTTCTGTATGCCACAACTGCAGCAAGAATTTTGTTAGCCAAAAAGCTGGAAATTACAAGAAATACCAACAGTGGAGGAATGGCAGATGAAGATGATGGACTTTTTGGAGCTGGATGATCTGACTGGAAGAATCCGCGAACAGAAAGAAGAGGGGTACCAAGAAGAATGGAAGAAATCTAAGGACTATTTAGCTAAATACTCTAAGATAATATAAGTAGAACTACTTGTAAGTACCAAATTGGCCTAGGAGCTAAATATGTTAAATTGTATAACATTATGGATAGAAGATAATTTGAAAAGAAAGACAGATGTTAATCGATTAAGTTAATTTTATTTGAAAGTAGTACAGTGGTACCTCGGGTTAAGTACTTAATTCGTTCCGGAGGTCCGTTCTTAACCTGAAACTGTTCTTAACCTGAAGCACCACTTTAGCTAATGGGGCCTCCCGCTGCCGCCGCGCCACCGGAGCACGATTTCTGTTCTCATCTTGAAGCAAAGTTATTAACCTGAAGCACTATTTCTGGGTTAACGCCGTCTGTAACCTGAAGCATATGTAACCCGAGGTACCACTGTATTGGCAAACTGCTACAATGAGCTGTATGGAAACTCAGCTAGGGGGATTCGAGGAAGTCATCTAACAATGATAACAAAATTGGGATTTTAATAGTGAGGATAAATATTTGTTTTTTCTTTTTTATATTGTAATGTTTTCTTTATGTTTGTTATAAATTTGGAAAATTAATAAAAATAATTGGGAAAAAACAAAAACAAAGAATGGGGTGGGACATAGGGCATGACAAAGAAAGATCATGAGGACAGTCTGAGGTTGCAGAGCAGGGAAAACTGACCTGTATGATGAGCTGGGCATTTTAGGTCAAAGAACAGCTCTTGGCCTGCAGAGAACTGAGAAAACCCTGCAGCCCTGCAAAGAATATCACACACGGTTTCACATTACATCCCTATCACCGCAAGCCCTGGCTTCCCCCCAAGGCTGTTTTCTTCATAACCATGGTGTGCAAATTCATTTCATTCCACGGACGCAGTGCTTTTTGTAAGCAGCCAGTCTGTACTAAGCCTGGGCGCCTGGACATGTTTTCTGCTCCTTTTTAATTTTTCATTTACGATTTTCAGTTTTATACAATCCGATAGTCACTTTAACTTTTCAAAACGTGACTTCCTTCCCCCTCTTCCTGTGGTTCCTTAAATTTATTTTTTTATATTTCCTGCCTATTACAAATTAGCTGAACTGAATCATTTATCCATCTCCTTTAAATGTGTACACTTTTATTACAATAACCCTGACAATAACCCTACCAATGTTCTTCTCTGTTTACAGTTTGTTTGTAAATATTCAATAGACCATTTCCATTCCTCTATATAAAAAATGTTGTCTTGATTTTTCCGGGACATTTCGCCATTTCTACATATTCCATAAGTTTCGGTATCCATTCTTCTTTTGTCGGGATTTCTTCTTCTTTCCATTTATGGGCAAATAACTTTCTTGCCACTGTAGTAGCATATATGAATAAATTTCTATACAGTTTGGGTAGTTCTGTGGATACATTTTCTTCAGACTTTTTATATGGATGTACCTCTTGTTGTTTTCTTTCAGTGACTCAGGTCTGAATTGCTGCAGTAAAATTCAGTATAAATGGAACTTTACTGAAAAAATACAGGCTTTTTTATTATTAAAAAAGGGGTGATAGTTTAAACTCAATAACAGTTGAATGCAAATTCTTTCTAGTGCCAAATCGCTATGGAAGCAGTGTGTTGTTTTCTAAATGCGTGACTTGGCACTGAAACAGACCAACATAGATTTGACTGTTCTGAAGTAAAACGTGACCCATCCCAACCGAAATGGCCTGTGAGAGCAAAGCTATAAAAAATAACTTGGGAAAAGATCTTCGCTTTCTTTTCTTTTTCGGATAAGTGAAAGGATTTTGATTTCAAAGCTTTCTAAAGTCCTTTGCAGGCATTCAGTGTTGACAGAGGCCCAGGAAAAAGACTTGTGTCAGCTCAGCTTCAAATATGTGCATGGGTTGTATTTAACTAATCTTCACACAGACTAGACCAACTGATGTTAACAGTCGTGTCCATTAATTTCAGTGAGTCTACACTCAGTAGGACTAATACAGTAAAGGTAAAGGGACCCCTGACTAGTAAGTCCAGTAGCGGATGACTCTGGGGTTGCGGTGCTCATCTCGCTTTATTGGCCGAGGGAGCCGGCGTACAGCTTCCGGGTCACGTGGCCAGCATGATTAAGCTGCTTTTGGCAAACCAGAACAGCACATGGAAACAGCTTTTACCTTCCCGCCGGAGCAGTACCTATTTATCTACTTGCACTTTGACGGCCCTGCTAGGTTGGCAGGAGCAGGGACTGAGCAACGGGAGCTCACCCCGTTGCGGGGATTCAAATTGCCAACCTTCTGATCGGCAAGCCCTAGGTTCTGTGGTTTAACCCACAGTGCCACCCATGATCTTTGCAGTTCTTACCCGTAAAAATTTGTTCTGTGAACTGCCCTGAGACCTCTGGGTATAGGGTGGTATGGAAATTCAAGAAATAATAATAATAATAAATAAATAAACATTGGTGTATGTGCAAATAGTGATGTAGATACTGGGGTCTGGGATACTGGAGTCTATTGTACGTAGCACCCAAAGTATGGGTGTTGGGAAGGTCTGGGAACAGGGTGGGTATGCTGGGAGTGTGATTGAGGCAGAATGGTGTGATCCTGATTCTCTACCCACGTAGAGAATATCTGCATAGGGTTAACATCAGAACCCGGGAGGCAACTTCAAAATACGTTTATATGAAATACATTTTAACTTCCAATTTCTGTATCCTTTTCTAAAGACCAGCGTTTGAAACTCCCATTGTTCCAGGTGCATTTTGCAACAGGGAATTTCATCAATGTGAGCGGTTTCTGAGCTCTGGGCGCAGGACTGCGCCTAAAATTTCAGATTAAAACCGCAGAGTGGAAGGAAAGGAGGACAGGACCTTTTTCTGCCTCCCCACTTCCAGCTACTCTCTGAAGACAGGAGAAGAGACCCTCTTAAGAATATTAGGGGAGTGGGCAGGGTAAGGACTAGACCATGTGAAAAATGAACATAATATTTGAGCTGCAGTTCGTTCATTTTCAGCTTTGTATTCTTGTTATTAAAAAAGCGCGCCTAGACATTTCGTTGTTGTGCTCTTAACCCCTGTTTAAGGCGCCCTTTAGCTCCTAGCTTTCGTATCTCAGTTTCTAACACTGCTAAAGACATTTTAAAAGGCTGGGCTTCATTTTCATTCCTGAGGATACCGTTCTACAGAGTGTGAGTACTGTGGGATTAATGCAACATTTCCATCAACTATAATTTGGCATCTACTACATTCATCAAAATGTCATGCAAATTATAATAATTATGTGCAAGTAAATTGGCCAGTTAGCTTTGCTCTCCACCCCATTGTGTGTTTCCAATTTGACCTTCAGCACTAAACAAGTTGTCCGAAGATGCCCTAACGTTTACATATCCCTAACAGTGTGTCTTCCATGTTTTTCTCCACAGTGTGTTTGGTCTGTAGTTTGGGGCCTCTTTCATTTTACAGAAACTGTCTTGGTCTTTTGTAGAAGCTGGAGCTGGATCGATTTATGCTTTATGCTCACGGGCCCGATCTTTGTCGAGAATCAGATCTGCGTCATGCAATGGCCAACTGCTTTGAAGCGTTGATAGGTGAGATACCTTCGCTGCGGCTTTTGTCATGCTAATTGTGTGCTTTGTCCAGTGTTAATTCCCCGTATCTGTAAGAATTTCTGCTTTGGAAATAAGTCCGCAAATGGCTCTTCGACGTGGTAGCAAAATGAATATCAGTTTCTCAAGACAAACTTAACAGACAGGATGTCATCTTTGTGCTCTGTTTGTGTGGTTACCAGGACCTGCGACTTGCTTCTCTTGGACTCTGAAGTCCGGTTCAAACAAGCCACAGTTTATGAAGCCAGGAATGAGCATTGAGGCGAAGCGCTTCTCACTTCGTGCAACAGAATCAGATCACGTCTTATCAGCCTAGTTTGTTGACTAAGCCAGTTTCCCAGTTTGGACATAACAGGGCCTTAATACATCCCAGGGATGAATAATAATAATATAATAATAATTTATTATTTATACCCCGCCCATATGGCTGGGTTTCCTCAGCCTCTGTGGATGGCTCCCAACAGAATATTGAAAGCACGATAAAACATCAAACATTAAAAACTTCCCTAAACAGGGCTGCCTTCAGATGTCTTCTAAAAAGATTTCCTTGACATCTGATGGGAGGGCATTTCACAGGGCAGGCGCCACTACCGAGAAGGCCCTCTGCCTAGTTCCCTGTAACTTCACTTCTCACAGTGAGGGAACAGCTAGAAGGCCCTCAGAGCTGGACCTCGGTGTCCGGGCTGAACGATGGGGGTGAAGATGCTCCTTCAGGTATACTGGGCTTTTGAGGCCATTTAGGGCTTTAAAGGTCAGCACCAACACTTTGAATTGTGCTCAGAAACATACTGAGAGCCAATGTAGATCTTTCAGGACTGGTGTTCTATGGTCTTGGCAGCCACTCCCAGTCAGAAACGTTGAAGTCAGTGCCCGTCTTGGAAAAGAGAAGGGAGGAGATGAAGGAGGAGCAATCAGTGGTGCTCATTCCCAACCACATAAGTTGTGGTTTATGAAGCCAGGAAAGAAAGTCCAACCTGAGACAGAATATGGACCAGTATGACTGTGCTGTGATCCATCAAGTCAGTTCTCCGGTTCCTACTGTGAGGAATTGCATCTGACTTCTGGCATAAGTACAAATACCAGGTCATCAAAACATTTATGAGCTAAACTGAACAAAATTAAACTAAATTATGCTGGTGGGATTTAAGGTTACAAGCCCAATGCATGTTTATTTGGATTTGGGCTCTGCTGACCTCTGTTTAAGCTCTTGTTATTCTGAGTAGCAGTAATGGAATGGTTTCCAAACTGGTTTTAAAGCTAAGTGCTGTTCGGTATAAGGAATTAAGTAGGCCCTGTCTGCCGGCTTGCAGTCTCTTGGACATTATAGAAGGAGGAACATAATAGGAAGGGAAACTGTGACAGGGGAAGGGATTAACTAATGGATAAAGACCAGAGGTTAGCACGCCTGACTCGAAAAGCTATTTAAAAAATGACATCTGATGGAGATGTTCTAGCAACAAGAGGGATGGCGTTGCAACGATCTGGAATAACGAGAAAAACAGTGTAGGTGAGGAGAAACTGCTGAGATTTTGGGTTTGATGAGGAAAGTGCCTTTAGAACATAAAGAACAAGGAAGAGTATAGAGGAACGAGAAGCAGGAAGATGAGATGGAGCCGTAGCATGGAAACATCCACGAAAAGAAGTTTAAATTGGCTTCCATTTCCCTATAGGCCTTAGGCTAGACCAGGAAGGTGATGAAAACCCTTGGTAAAAAGCAAAGGAGCTGCAGGATGTAAAATAAATGAGAGTGGCCAAAGTTAAGAGAAAGGATGACCAAGTGTTTTCCGGTAAGAGAAGTAGGCAAGGTATTTGTAGTAGCAATGGAAATAAAGGAATGCTGGGAGATGCTTAAATGTTGGGACCGGTGAGAATTAGCTCTAGCAAAAAGACAAGGAAGATCAGTCGAAAAGAAGCCTCCAGTGCATACTTCTTCAGGAGAAATAGAGACAGAACCAATAAAGAGGAAAGATGAGAGCCAGAACTCAAAGGATAAATCAAAAATTCAGTTTTAAATGAATTCAGTTTCAGAAAAGGAGCAGGCATCGTTCATTAAGAAACAGCTGAAAGGCAGGCAGAGATCTTAAACTGGGAAAGAGAAGCTGGGAGTGGGAAAATGCAGTTGTAGGCTACCGGCTTGAAAAAGGAGCACTAAAGGAACGAGTAAGGGAGTCTGACAGAAGTAAGGTAAATACATAGCTGGGAGTTAAGGACAAAATCTTCTGGAACGCCAGCAAAAAGAAAGAAAAAAAGAAAGAAAGAAAGAAAGAAAGAAAGAAAGAAAGAAAACTTTCAGTGGGGAGTGATAGCCATCTTCAAATACAGTGGTACCTCGTGTTAGAGACGCTTAAGGTTACAGACGCTTCAGGTTACAGACTCCGCTAACCCAGAAATAGTGCTTCAGGTTAAGAACTTTGCTTCAGGATGAGAACAGAAATCGTGCTCCGGTGTCGCAGCGGCAGTGGGAGGCCCCATTAGCTAAAGTGGTGCTTCAGGTTAAGAACAGTTTCAGGTTAAGAACGGACCTCCGGAACGAATTAAGTACTTAACCCGAGGTACCACTGTATCTAAAGGGCTGTCACGTGGAGGATGGAGCAAGGTTGATTTAGCCTTCTCCGGAGGGTAGGACTCGAACCAATGGCTTCAAGTTGTAAGAAGTGAGATTCGGACTAAACATCAGGAAGAACTTTCTGATGGCAAGTGTTCAACAGTGGAACAGACTCCTGCGAGAGAGGGGTGGTGGGCTTCCCTTCCTTGGAGTTTTTGAAGCAGGGGTGGGGTAGCGTTTGTCATTATGATCTAGTTGAGATTCCTCCACTGCAGCGGGTTGGGCTAGATGACCCTCAAGATCCCTTCCAATTCCACAATTCTGTGATTCAGCGAGAATCAAAGGTATTGAAGATTAGAGAAAGAGAGTCGGCAGCAGACGAGGAAAAAGAAGCAGGGCATCTAAGTGGAGATTGAAAGGGGGAAAGCCGAATTGTGCCATTGTTTTTTTTAAAACAACAAAAGTACAAGTATAGAAGAAACAGACAAATGGGAGGGGAGAAATAAAAACCCTATCATATCTGCTGCTGGAAACCAATTGGTGAAGCCGAGTGGGGAAATGAAGAAGGAATTGGATGAAGGAACCACAGGAGTAGCATCATCTAATGGGGAAATCCATGTTTCAATAAGAGCAAAACAAGAAAAACGATGAGAGATAGCAAAATCATTAAGTACGACAGCTTTATTAACTGCGGGGCGACGGTTTAATAAAGTGCAAGGAAGGAAAGATGCCACACAAGGAGGGGGAGGGAGATTAGCATTGCAGCGTTGTCGAGAAATGGGAGTACCCTGGTTACCAGCAAAGGGAAAGAGAAACGGAATGGATCCATTACTGCTAAAATAGTGAAAAGTGTGTGTTGGGGGGTGCGGGAAACACCCTGGGATTCCAAAGCAGTCAGAATAATGAAGGGGGTGGGAGTGGGGGTGGAAAAATGCTAATTGATAAATGGTGAATGCTAATTTATATGTATAGTTTTTTAAATTTATTAACGTTCTTATGCTACATCAGTAAACCTTATCCTATTACATCACAAGGCTTATTATAATATAATTTTCAGCATGTATACAAAGTTTATATACCTAAAGAAAAGAAACAAGGAAACAAGGACAATAAACTATTCCAAAATCATATATGTACCAACACTTTGGACTTCCTGTCTATCCCGTTGTATATTCCTTTTTTACAAATGAATGTACTCTTATTATTGTATATTTCGAATGCCAATTGGTAAATGATACTTTGCCTTGCTGCCTTCCTAAAGGGGCTTGTTGTGTCTGATGATGACATCTATGATGGTGTTCTCCAAGGAGGTGTCCGATTTTTAAATTTCATGTTATATTTATTCATTGAGTATATATACCGCCCTATACTCGGAGGTCTCAGGGTGGTTCACAGAATAAAATCAAGATGTAAAACTGCAAAATGCGTAATCACAATAAAAACAACAACCCAATAACGCTCCCCCCCTCAAAAAAGCCACATTGGATGTCAACCAGATCAACCAAAGGCCTGGTTGAAGAGGAACGTTTTTGCCTGGCACCTAAAGGTGTATAATGAAGGCGCTAGGCAAATTTCCTTGGGGAGAGCATTCCACAGGCGGGGAGCCACTGCGGAGAAGGCCCTGTCTCATGTTGCCACCCTCTTCTAGACCTCTCAAGGAGGAGGCACATGAAGAAGGGCCTCAGAAGATGATCTCAGGGTCTGGGTAGGTTCCCATCAGCCCCAACCAAGGTAGCCCAATGGTCAGGTATGATGAGAGTTGTAGCCCAATGACATCCAGAGGCCACCCCATCAGCTACCCCCGCGCCTGCTGCTGTACCTCCACTCTGTCTTGGAAGAGGCTGTCCCCATCACACCTTGCCCTTGCTAGTAATAATGGCAGCGGCAGCTGGATCCACTCGGTCCTTGTCTTCTGGTCTTGGCCTCCTAGTTTGATGCTCTATGGACCTCTTGTTAGTCTAAATCAATCAATCAATCAATCAGTCTTTATTACAGTCCAGAGACCCAACAAATCGTTGCAAAGCAATGCACAATTCAGACAGCCTACCTCCAGGTTAAACAAGCATTTTGTTCAGACTTAAAGATAGGGATGACTGGTTCTTGCAACCACCGATAAAAACTTTGCCGCTGCTAATGTTCTAGCGTTTGTCCGGTCTTCCAATAAGAACCTGACATAGTGAGCCTCTGATTTTCCCGGGAGAGGTACCAGCAAGGGTAATATCAGTCTAAATCCCTTTGTTCCTCAAGGGGACGGGTAGTCATCAGGGAGACGAGATAGAGGGAATTGGAGGAAAAGGGAGACGAGGAGAAAGAGGGGTGGAAAAGAAAAGAAAACTCGCAAGCGATGGGATGACACAGAACAGAACCGCCTGAATCTCATCCTTATGCATTTTGCCTTGCCTTAGAAAATAGATTCTAGCTCTTTGGGTTCTGCCTTGGGCTATATTGCGTTTCGTCAGATCAAGATAAGGGGGTTGTGGGTGGGGGAAGCTGTGCTTTCCAACTCTGCTTCGCTTCTTACACACGCTTTGATGTTCAGCGTTTAAAAAAATAAAGGGGACGGGGGGGGGGAGAGCGGTTTGATTCCAGCACTTTTGGGACTTTTGTCTCTCCTAGGAGCTAGCTGCCATTTATTTGGCAAAGGGAAGCCAGGGCATCTTGTCTGTCTGTGTGTGTGTGTGTGTGTGGTTTTTTAATTTTAATTTTGGTCGTCTGTATGCCTCATGAGCCTAGGACTTGCCGATCAGAAGGTCGGCGGTTTGAATCCCTGTGACGGGGTGAACTCCTGTTGCTCGGTCCCTGCTCCTGCCAACCTAGCAGTTTGAAAGCACATCAAAGTGCAAGTAGATAAATAGGTACCGCTCTGGCGGGAAGGTAAATGGCGTTTCTGTGCGCTGCTCTGGTTTGCCAGAAGCAGCTTAGTCATGCTGGCCACATGACCCGGAAGCTGTATGCCGGCTCCCTCGGCCAGTAAAGCAAGATGAGCGCTGCAACCCCAGAGTTGGCCATGACTGGACCTAATGGTCAGGGGTCCCTTTACCTTTACCTATGCATCATGCTACGTGGGGCTGTGGTGGAGCGTTGGCCCCAAGCATAGCAAAGGGAAGCTTGCGTTTCGTTTGGCATTTGTAGGGGTCGTCGCAAAGCGGCAGACTTTCACAAACCAGGACTGAATAATAAGGAAGTGCCACTCAAGTACAGTGGTACCTCAGGTTACATACGCTTCAGGTTACAGACTCCGCTAACCCAGAAATAGTACCTCGGGTTAAGAACTTTGCTTCAGGATGAGAACAGAAATCGCACGGTGGCAGCGGGAGGCCCCATTAGCTAAAGTGGTGCTTCAGGTTAAGAACAGTTTCAGGTTAAGAACGGACCTCTGCAACGAATTAAGTACTTAACCCGAGGTACCACTGTGCGTTCTTATGTGTGTGTCTGGGTCTAAATCCCTTTGTTTCTTAAGGGGGACGGTTCGTTAGCAGGGAGGTGAGATAGAGGGAACAGCGGATAGGGATGAGATAGAGAGGATCGGCTAAAAATGGTTAGTCCTTGTTTATTTTTTGAGCTGTTTAAATATTCCCTTTGCAGCAGGTATGAAGAACCTTTTTTTCTTTTTCTTTTGAGGGGTAATCCATTGGGGGTAATTCTGTCAGGGTTTGTCTGATGACTGTAGACAAGGCTCAAGCCAGCAGTGGATCCTGCCACAGAGAAAGAAAAAAAAAAATCCACTCTTTATGCCTCTGGGTATAGGGCGGTATATAAATTCAAGAAACAATAATTATAATCTCATTCTGTCCTCCTGCTCTCACCAGAACATCTAGGCATTTTCTTTCTTCCTGGCTCAGGCTCACAGCTTGCATTCCCGGGCAATCTCTTGAATGTTAATGCGCATCTTACGGCAAATTTTGTCACGCAGGGGCGGTTTACTTGGAGGGCAGCCTGGAGGAAGCCAAGCAGCTCTTTGGACGCTTGCTTTTCAACGGCAAGGTATGACTTTATCCATAGCCTCGTTGAGCCTTCCGACACGTCTCTTGCTTACAGAATCAATCTGAGTTATGCTGTGGTTCATTAAAGGGAGTGTTTCAAAGGAAAACAAAAAGGCTTCCTGCTTTTCAGAACATCCTGGCTTTATATAGCAGCAACATTTTTTTTTTATTGTCATTAAGTGTTCTCTGCTGCAAAACAGGGATGCGCGGGGTGGTTTTCAGAAGCAGCACAGGGAGTGTTTGTCCCTTCTCTCCCCCCCCCCATGCGCTGCTTTTATTTTATAATCCCTCTTTCCCCCACTTGACGCAGCAAACACCCATTCAGTCATTCGTTCAATTGGTTAGAGCAGGGTTTCCTGAACTCGGGTCTCCGGCTGCTGTCGGACTACAATTCCCATTATCCTTAGCTCCCAGGGATGGTGGGAGTTGTAGTCCCAAAACAACTGGGAAGCCAAGTTTGGAAAACCCTGAAGAGTATTTAAATGCCACCCTATAATGGAGTTGGGACGCAGGTGGCGCTGTGGGTTAAACCACACAGCCTAAGACTTGCCGATCAGAAGGTTGGTGGTTCGAATCCCCGCAACGGGTGAGCTCCCGTTGTTCAGTCCCTGCTCCTGCCAACCTAGCAGTTTGAAAGCATGTCAAAGTGCAAGTAGATAAATAGGTACTGCTCCGGTGGGAAGGTAAACGGCGTTTCTGTGCGCAGCTCTGGTTCGCCAGAAGCGGCTTAGTCATGCTGGCCACATGACCTGGAAGCTGTACGCTGACTCCCTTGGCCAATAAAGCAAGATGAGCGCCGCAACCCCAGAGTTGGCCACGACTGGACCTAATGGTCAGGGGTCCCTTTACCTTTACTTATAATGGAGTTATCACCCGGGAGGGGGGATCAGAACCAGAAATAAAGCTATTTAATATTCAGCGACAATAAAAAGCAACATAAATACAGTATAGGATCCCGTGTTTCAGAGGCTAAAAACAGGCTAAAGGGCTTGGGAGAATAAAAAGGCCTTTGTGTGGCACCCGATGACACCAAGGCAGGCACAAGGTGAGTGTCTCTGGGGAAGACATTCCACAGCTGGGGAGCCAACACTGAAAAAGGCCCTGCCCTCCCCTAACTCAGTGGGAATGCTCAGAGAAAGGGTTCCAGAGAAGATCTAAAATTCCAAACAGATCTATTCTGGTCCCAAACTGTGAAGGACCTTAAAGGTCATTTGGAGTAGAAAGTGTCTAGGATTGGGGGAAGTCGAGGAGGTGACAGTGATTGTAAGTGAAAAGCAAAAGGCATGGAGAAGGAGATGGATCAGCTGAGGCAAGACCCTTCAGGTAACTGGCCTTCCTGAGCTTCCTCAACACATGCATACAGTTCTTCTCCTTTACCCCAGTGGTGTAGCATGGGTTGCCAGAGCCCAGGGGATCGGAGGGAGGTAAATAGACAGAGCACGCATGCGCCACCCAAGAGATTGCAGGCACAAATATAAGAAAAGAAGAGTTGTTCAGTTGCCTGGAGAGGACACTTCCTGGTTCACATGCAGAAGATGTTTCCAGCAGATCCCAGTGTTGGAAGCGCACAGCTGTATTGAGGCAGCACCGGGTGTTGAAATTTGGTGCCCCCTAACAATTTTGTTCTCAAAATTTGTGTTCTCGAAGCTACTAACATGAGTTTGACCAAACTGCGGGAGGCAGTGGAAGACAGGAGTGCCTGGAGTGCTCTGGTCTTTGGGGTCATGAAGGGTTGGACACGACTAAACAACTAACAAAAATTCACCACTGCTCTACCCTGGCTCTGATCCTGCCAGGGCTCACAGCTTCTGCTGTTCACTGACTCAGCTTCCTGCATCCCAGCCCTGAAACATAAGTGTTAAGATGTAATTGGTTTTGTGCATGCATCTGCCTTCGAGTATAATAGAATCCTACTGTATTATGTGGTCACGTTCTTTGGGTTTGTGTTGAGGTTTCCCCTCCCATTCAGATGTAAGATGTCCCTTTCAGGCTGGGGTTCTTATCCTCTTATCCTTTTTACTAAACTTTTAAGCAAAAAAAAAAAAGGGGGGGGGAGAAGGTAACCTGTTACATAGTTCAAGAATTGTGTGTGTGTTCGTTTTCTCCTTCCACCTAATGGATATGCACTAAATGGATGCGCTACAGGCAGTTTAAGCAGAGAGTGCCCGCTTTCAAAAAAATTAGCTTGCCGGCACTATTGAAATCGCAAAAAAAAAAAAGCAGAGTCAGCATCTGAGCCCATTTCAGTACTTCGCAGAATGACATTTTATTTAGCAATGTGGAATTTGTTAAACGGCTCCCGTGAGCTTTAAAAGCGTCTCTCGATGTTTGCAGGACCTGCGGGAAGTATGGCTTAATTATCCGCTGCACCCTCTTCAAGTAAGTGTCTCCCTTTTCCGTAAGGAATTTCAGAGTGCTTTTCTTCTTCTTCTTTCTCTCCCCCCCCCCCCCCCGTTCCCAAGGATGCCTTTTTAGCAGCATTCAGCTGCGCTGACATCTCTGAACGGCTAGCAGGCACATGGCCTTTGTGAATTTCTTTTGTGGCTAATAACTGTCGAGAGCTCGGGCTTGGGGGGGGCAGGGACTTCAGAGTACCTCAGGCAACAGGCAGGGAGTAATTTGGCAGGTGGGTGGCAGACACAGGACAGGTGAGTGGCAGATTTATAGTCGGGTGGCAAAAGGGGGGGAAATAACCAGACCATCTTCCTTGCTATAAAATCTCCCCAAGTGGAAGAGTTCAACAAAAATGGGAGCTTTTTTTAGCAGCCAGCATCACGTGGTCGGCCTCTTACTTCCTGATTCCTCTCAGCATCAGGACCGTTCTGGGCTGTGTAGTGACTCTCCCAGGTGAACCTGGGATCCAGTTCTCTCCCTGGGCAGCAGCCCTAGTAGTGAATGAACCACAGGGATTCCTAGTTTGAAGTCATCCTTGCTTTTGACAGTAAGCTTCCTGGGAAGAATGCCTATTCATTGAGCATAATGGCAAGGGTGACATCATCTCAAATTCAACAACACCATTAAATAATGCATCTGGTGTTTATATTTTTTATATTTTTTGAATGTCTCCATCCCCTTCACGTACATTATGGAGGTCACCAGGAAATCTGTAAGCACTGGCAGTGGTCTCTCTTCCTCCAACTCCAAATAGTATTAGAAACGAATAGTACTTTCAGTATTTTTGTGAGAATGAGTGGCATGAGCATGTACCATAAGTGATTCATGCTGAAATCCCACCGTTCTAAACTACCTGTGTAGGTGGTCCACATACGACTTTATCAGTCTCGTGAAAGGGCCACAAAGAAGTTGAAATCCTCTACCTTTTCCCGTTGCAAAAACTCAATCTAAATGATGGCTGAAAGAATTCTCTGTACTCGGGATCTGCCCATAGAAAAACTACTTCTCAGCAAATGAGGACAAAACCCTTTTGAAAAATGTTAATTATGCTCCTGCAAAACCCCAAAGTATGAGCATTGTATTATCATTTAGCCAGCGTTCCTGCTAGCTTCTTGCTGAAATAATTTAATTTGAAAATACTAAATTAGAGAAAGAAGGGGGAGGAGTTGATAGTGAAATACTGAAGTTACTTGCTATACACACACACACACAGTCGTACCTTGGAAGTCGAACGGAATCCGTTGCGGAAGTCCATTCGACTTCCTAAACGTTCGGAAACCAAAGGGCGGCTTCTGATTGGCTGCAGGAAGCTCGGATGTTCGGCTTCCAAAAATTGTTTGAAAACCAGAACACTCACTTCTGGGTTTCGATCGTTCGGGAGCCGATTTTTTCGGGAGTCAAGGCATTCAAGATCCAAGGTATGACTGTATATAAAAGAAACATTTGAACCAAGACTTTTTCTTTAAAAAAATTATTATTTATGTTTATCTCCTTCTAATCCTCAGCATACAATTGCTGTCAGGACAGTGGAACAACAGAAAACACGAATAGGGCCAGTTTTTTAAAATAAAAAAAAATCACTAAAATAGCAAAAGGTGTAATCAATCAACTGAGAAAAGCTAATAAAAAATAACATTGTTGAACGTATGCAGTAAAGGCCAGAGAGCTCAAAGGCTCTAGTGACGTTGATCTTTTTGCTTCAGAATTATCTGCTGCCTTTCAGCCTGTTAAAAAATAAAATTGTGGTCCAGGCTTTGTTAAGGTAATGTGCAGTAGCCACTGAAAATCTGCTTTGTTGTGTTTCGGCCCTATGTCTCCTCGGTAATTTGCAAAGTAAAAATCAGTGTTCATTATTTTGTCAGCTCCAGCTTCCTAAATTGGGCCTTAAATCTTTCTTCTAAGTTCACGCTGTTCCTCTGCGTTCATATTTCTTTACAGCTGCAAGAGTCCAATACTGACCGACAGCTGATTGAGACATCTCCTGTGCTCCAGAAATTGACCGAGTTCGAGGAAGCCATCGGAGTAATTTTCACTCACGTGCGGCTTCTGGCCCGGGCTTTCACTTTGAGAACTGTCGGATTTAACCACCTAACCCTGTGAGTTTGTTGGGTGCTCCCCCACCCCCCCGGTAAAGTTTATGATTATTTCATTTTAGACCATACCGTATTTACACGAATCTAATGCGCCATCGAATCTAAGGTGCACCTCTATTTTCAAAACCTTGAAACCCCAAAAAAGTATTGACTGGCGCCATCAAATCTCATGCACGCTCTAATTTCCGAGGCGTAATTTGGCCCCCCAAAGGTGTGCATTGCACCTGAATAAATATGGTGTATGAAACAGAACAGTTACCGCAGCCGACGAAAATTAAAATTTCGGAAAACTAAACTGTAAAATAGGCCTGGAGAATGCATTGAAAAGTTTTAAAACAGATCTCAGGCGTTCTCTTCCGAACAGGCAGCTTTGTCCGGTTTGCCAGCTGTGGATGCTCCTGGATAGGGATTGCCTGACCACGGTAGACCAACCTCGTGACTGGATCACTGTCACACGTTCTTTGACTAGATCACTGTAACACGCTGCCCGGAAGTGCCAGCCGGTGCAGAATGAGGCGGTCAAACTGCCCAGGAAGGAGCTGTGCCAACAAATGGACCATTTCTCCCTCTTCCCTCAAGTCTTCGTCCTTGTCACCCTCTATGAGTTGGGGGTGGCTTCCTGAAGTGGGGAGACTCCAGTTCTTGTGGAGACGGGAAGGTCAGAGATCTAATAAAATGCGAGGGAAACCACCATGAGCCCCTCACAAGTCATGTTGGGCGACAGGAATGATGATCTAAGAGGACAAAAATATTGTAGAAATATTTGAAACCTATTTGAAATGACTCACCTGTTTAGTGCTTTTTTGGGGGACACACACACAGGGGTCTTTTTATAGATAATTATATTATATATTATAATATAATTATACAGCCGTACTTTGGATCCCGAAAGCCTTGAAAGTTGAACGTTTTGGCTCCTGAACCCAGAAGTAAAGATATGGAATATTGGATGTGTGTTTTAGTTTTTTTCTTTGTTTCTTTTTGCTGTATTGTTGTATTGCTTTTTTATGTTTTTTTTCTTTTGTATTGTTGTCTTTTTTCTGTAATTTTTAAACTTTTAATAAATATCATTTAAAAAAAAAAAAAAAAGGTTTGTGGACATTCTTTGGAACCCAAACGTCTGATGCGGCTTCTGTGGCTTCCGATTGGCTGAAGGAGCTTCCTGCAGCCAATTGGAAGTTGCGCCTTGGTTTCCAAACGTTTTGGAAGTCAAACAGACTTCCAGAAGGGATTCCATTTGACTTCCAAGGTACAACTGTGATATTATTCCATTATTCTATTATTATTATTATTATTATTATTATTATTAAATGTAATATAATTATAATAATTATGTATACTTTTATATATTATATATTAAAAATATTTTTATCACATTTTCAAATTTTATATCACAAATTAAACATTTTTTATTTTACCATACATTTATCAACTTCCCTCCCCTTCCAACGTTCATTTCACTTTCCCACCATTCCTGCATATTTTGATATATCCATCTAGTTCTGTTCTCCTATCTTCAATATTTATTATACTGTCAATTTTACTTTAATACTGCCAGCGTTTTCAACTGTACACAATTGCTTCCCATATACTCAACAAAAAATTTCCACTCCTCTTTAAATGCCTTGTGCAGGAGCCATGCTAAATCCTTCGAATTTTAGCTTACGTGCTGCCAAAGCGAGCCCAACGCACATGTAGTTCTATAACGAGGAAAGCTTGTTTTTCTATCGTATCAACTTTATTGATTTCTACCTCTCTCTGTTTCAGGGGCCACAATCAGAGGATGGAATTCTTGGGGGATTCCATAATGCAGCTGGTGGCCACGGAGTATTTATTCATACATTTCCCGGATCATCATGAAGGCCACCTAACGGTGAGATTGCCACCTGTCACTCTTCTCCGAGAGCAGAGTCAGAGGGGGCAGGAGAGACAGAGGGCAGGGGGAAAGAGAGAAGGAATTGTAGAAGCAGCAAGTGACTTATTCTGGGCTTAATGAAAATCCACAACCTCAGTGCCCTGCCTGCTCTTAATAAGGTTCTGTTAATTTGAAGATGTGAATCCAGCTGCAATCAACAAAGTTTTGATTCATGCCACCCAGGCATGATGTCTTATCTTCTTTAAAGCAGGTCAATAGCTTTAATAACCGCTGCGATTAACTTGTTCCACCTCAAAACTACAAGTAGCGCTTGTTTCATTAGCAAGCACTTGGGGTAGACAGATACTATGAACATGAGGTCTGTAGGAATGCTTTGGGGGGGGCGGTTTCAGGGCTAATAGGTAGCTCAAAGCAACAAACAAATCAAGTTTGCCTTTCTTTTGAAGAATAGCTGCTTCGTTTCAGTAACACGCAAGTGTCGGGTGGTCTCTCGACTGTTCAACTAGACATTTATTGCAACTTGCTTACTGTGCCCCATAGAACTTAATGGGAGCCCTTTAGAATCAATCCTTCTACCCTAGCCGAATACCCCCACCATAGAAAGGCTTTCCTACTCATGCTTCTCCCCCCCCCCCTTTATCACACGTGGTCCCAGGGCATGGCACAATAAGCCGCTTAAAACCACGACAAACCAATCTTTGAATAAGTACCATTGTTATTTGTTGTTGTTTAGTCGTTTAGTTGTGTCTGACCCCATGGACCAGAGCACGCCAGGCACTCCTGTCTTCCACTGCCTCCCGCAGTTTGGTCAAACTCATGCTGGTAGCTTCGAGAACACTATCCAACCATCTCGTCCTCTGTCGTCCCCTTCTCCTTGTGCCCTCCATCTTTCCCAACATCAGGGTCTTTTCCAGAGAGTCTTCTCTTCTCATGAGGTGGCCAAAGTATTGGAGCCTCAGCTTCAGGATCTGTCCTTCCAGTGAGCACTCAGGGCTGATTTCCTTCAGAATGGATAGGTTTGATCTTGTTGCAGTCCATGGGACTCTCAAGAGTCTCCTCCAGAACCATAATTCAAAAGCATCAATTCTTCGGCGATCAGCCTTCTTTATGGTCCAGCTCTCACTTCTGTACATCACTGCTGGGAAAACCATAGCTTTTACTATACGGACCTTTGTTCGCAAGGTGATGTCTCTGCTTTTTGAGATGCTGTCTAGGTTTGTCATTGCTTTTCTCCCAAGAAGCAGGCGTCTTTTAATTTCATGGCTGTTGTCACCATCTGCAGTGATCATGGAGCCCAAGAAAGTAAAATCTCTCACTGCCTCCATTTCTTCCCCTTCTGTTTGCCAGGAGGTGATGGGCCCAGTGGCCATGATCATCGTTTTTTTGATGTTGAGCTTCAGACCGTATTTTGCGCTCTCCTCTTTCACCCTCATTAAAAGGTTCTTTAATTCCTCCTCACTTTCTGCCATCAAGGTTGTGTCATCTGCATATCTGAGGTTGTTGATATTTCTTCCGGCAATCTTAATTCAGGCTAGGGATTCATCCAGCCCAGCGAGGGCAAATCAAAGAGATAAGACGAAACACAGCTAACTTCATCTCAGTGCTCAGTCTAGAAATGATATAATCTCATCAGTGCCTGTGCATTGCCAGAAAGAAAAAGGTCAGCCATGGTTGCAGCGTTCGAAATTCGCCAGGCACTTTTTGCACCTGGCTATCGACCACTTGCGAGTAAGCGAAGATGCCCATTGGCCAGGAGGGCACCAGTCACCTCCACCATCTGGAGATGCGTGCCTGGGGATCCTTGGATCTTGAGTGTTTTCACACACCGATACCCCACCCTGTAGAATCCTATCCGTTATATGTTAGCTGCGCAATCAGGATGAATTTAAGGAACCCAAAGGTTGTCTTGGAAAACACGACTTTTGAACTGCTTGGCCCCAGAATGGCAACCAGGCATTTTGTTTGGGCAACTGTAACCCCAGTTTAAGGAATCCTTTGGCGCCAAGCTTATACATCTGAGTTTCTGCATAGTTAGGGCGCCATTTTGCTACACTGACTGGAGTGCGACTACAATCCAGGAAACTCGCTTTTATTGACATATGATGCTATATCAGTCACCTTTGTGCTAGCCAGAAGGAGAAGCCTCTCCTAGAAATTTCTTTCCGAATGCGAATGAATCTTTTTTTTAGGGGTTCTGCAGCACAAAGATCCAGTTTTGACTTTATGCTGTCCATCCCTTCCATTCCCCCCTCTCCTTTGCTCTCTTCTGCATATTTCCACTCGGCCAGTAGCTCCAAGGAAGGCTAACCCCTGATTTCAAAGACCCGAGTGCTCTTTGAACTTGCTGCTGAAGTGGCAGGGCATTTTAATGTTTAACCAAAGTTACGTTTTAAGCAGCGAGCGCGTTTTCCCTCCACACCGCTTTCTCCCTCGGTCCCCTTCCTCTGCCTTCTGCCCGAGACCTTCTCTTAAGCATAATTTGAGCCTGTCTCCCTTCTGTCTTCTGATGAATAAATATGACATGTTAAATTTCCTTATCAGCGGGCCTGCCCCCTCTCCCGAGCTCCCTTTCATCTGATCAGACTGAAATAAGCTTTCAAAACTTGCTTTTATGTTTCGGGCGCGCGTTAACGTTTCGTTTCGCCCCGCTCTCGTGCTTTGCCAGCCCCTGCCCGTATCGTTCCATCTTTCACAGAAATTTCACCTCTGCTGTTCACCCAGCCTTCGCATCCTATGCAAATTGCAGTGTGCCATTAGGTTCTGCTTTCCGAGCCGCTGGTTCGCTGCGGACGTTGCCCCAACAATAAGTTGCGTGCTTGTTCTTTTGGAAAGTGGCTGCTGTTAATTAAAGCGCTGGGCTCCTCTCTTCCTGTCAACCGGCTCTCGATTCTCATAGTACTTAATTCTTCGTCGCCACAGGTGGCTGCATTTTTTGACAATTAACACTGCAGTCCTCCTGCGACGGACACATTGGGGACCAGCTCGCTTTGCCCGGTGTGAGAGGATTATATGTTGCCAAGTCTATTTACGTTAAATTGGCTGAAGCCGTAGTAATATTCACGGATCCAGGATGAGAGCGATAAATCGACCGCCTGTTGCCGCGGCTCTTGCAACATCCTTTAGACAATTGGAGAGGATTATATGTAAGCAGTACCTTAGGCACCTCCATCATTAGCGAGTTACACAGAAGCTCTCTCTGCTTTGTATGCACAGTGGAAGCAAGAGCACACTTCTGTCGGCAAGAGAAATTGAGCTTGGCATATTTTCTGCCCATTAGCTTGCTTCAACAGGAAGCTGGACACGAGTCGGGTGCTTCTGACCTAAGACAAATTGTAGTATAATCTTAGGATAAGCGCAAACCGTGGTTTGCCAGTTTGCAGCAAATGATAAACTACAGATTGCCTCAAGCTAGGAAAGGAGGGAGAGGATAGCTGTGGGCAGGAAGGAGCACCCAACATTTCAGGGATGCGGGTGGCGCTGTGGTCTGAACCACTGAACCTCTTGGGCTTGCCGATCGGAAGGTCGGCGATTTGAATCCACACAGCGGGGTGAGCTCCCGTTGCTCTGTCCCAGCTCCTGCCAACCTAGCAGTTCGAAAGCACACCAGTGCAAGTAGATAAATAGGTACCACTTCGGCAGGAAGGTAAATGGCATTTCCGTGTGCTCTGGCAGTCGTAATGGTGGACCGTTGTGCCAGAAGCGGTTTAGTCATTCTGGCCACATGACCTGGAAAGCTTTCTGCTGGCTCCCTTGGCCTGAAAGCAGAAATGAGTGCCGCACCCCATAGTCCAGAGGTCCTTTGCCTTTTTACCTTACACAACACGTTGGGTACCATTTATGTAACCCTAACCCATGTTTTGGTGTTACATCTGAACCACTTTGGTGTGTTTTGCATGCCTCTTTCTTATTAGTTTTTATTAAAGTTTTTGTGTGTGTTATAAAGCAAACAGATCAAAAGGGAAAGGTACATTTTTGTCTCCACTTTCAATTCATAGTCATTTTCTCAGTTCGTTAACGTTTGGCGAGAGACACTTTTGTCATAGACATCTTTCTGAGACTCCTTCCGTCGCTCCTGCTCTGTAGGGGGAGCCGTAGAGTCACGAGAAGCTGCGTTAGGTCAAGCCAGGTCCATCCATCTCAGCATCACCAACTTTGATTGGCGGCTTCAGTCTGTGTTTTCCGACATGGGATTTCCCAGCCCTAATGGGGACTGAACCTGGAACCTTCTGCATGCAAAGCATGCAGCTGTGTCTAAACCCCTCTTCCCCAAAATGAGGCGGTAGTGGATCACTTTTGGATCCCCACCCCACCGAACATCAATCTGGTTTCCATACAGCCCTCCCTCTAAGAAGCTCAGAACAACATGGTGGTCCCTCCTCTGTACTCCAGGTAGGCTGTACTGTGAGGTAGGCTATAATGAAATATATACCATGCAATAAATTGAACACTCAGACCACACTGGCTGTTCCCTCTCACCCATGTTCTTAGTCCTGTTCTGGTAGGTGCCTCACCAGGTGTCTTCCTTATGGGGTGTCATCCTAAGTGCCCAGGTGATAAACCTCTTTCAACACCCATCTACTATTCTCACCGACAATGCCTTTGTTGAGCTCTTCCTCTGACTTCCCAGCCACCCAGGTTTCTTGAATAAGGGCTGCAGCAAGTCATGCTTAACTACTAATCTTGCCCGGTGCTCCAGTGATCTCCAAATTCCTGTAGCAGGACCCTCGTACCTACAGGACCGCCTCTCCCGTTATGCCCCACGGAGGACCTTAAGGTCCATAAATAGCAACACCCTAGAGGTCCCGGGCCCTAAGGAAGTTAGATTAGCCTCAATCAGAGCCAGGGCTTTTTCAACACTGGCTCCAGCCTGGTGGAATGCTCTGTCTCATGAGACCAGGGCCCTGCGGGATCTGATTTCTTTCCACAGGGTCTGTAAGACAGAGTTGTTCTGCCTGGCCTTTGGCTTAGAATCAATTTGACTCCCTTCCCCTCTTTCTTTCTTTTTTCCTTTCTCCTCCTGTGATGAGGCTGCATTTTAATGTTGTATTTTAATCTTGTTTTTTAAGTTACATTTCAATCAACTTGTTTTTATTATTGGTTGTTAGCTGCCCTGAGCCCGGTCTTGTCTGGGGAGGGCAGGGTATAAATAAAATTTATTATTATTATTATTATTACCAAAAAAGATTAGAGGAACATGCACCCCTCGCTCCCATTTGAAAGCAGCCATTTGATCGGCAGGAACATGGCGCAGGAACATGGGGGAGAGAATGAGAAACTCTTCTCCTGCGTCACTTTGGGGCTGAGGGACTGAGCAGTTGACCATGTGTGTCATACAGATCAGCATCAGAAGAAGGTCCCTGGTATTAAGTGGTTAGCATGAGCAGCAACTTGGCGTAGGAACAAAATCTAGCAGAGGTGACTTGGTTTCTTCTGTTTTGCCAAGCAACGGCTGGGGAAATGGTTCCTCTCAAGAATTTTGGGGATGTTCTTACCTGAGCGCTCTCTGTTGTGTCGGTAGCTGTTGCGGAGCTCCCTGGTCAACAACAGAACGCAGGCCAAAGTCGCCGAAGAACTGGGCATGCAGGAGTTCGCCATTACAAACGACAAAACCAAGCGCCCCGTGGCCTTACGGACGAAGACGCTGGCGGATCTTTTGGAATGTGAGTGCCACCATCTTCTGTTTCCTCCCAAAGCAAATCAGGGGTGACGCTAAAGGGGACAGCAGATAGCAGAAGTGAGAAAGTCCTTAGGCAAGGTTCTGTGCTATAAGAGATACTGGGTTTTTTAAAAAAACAAAGAAAACCCCAAAAAACACCAAGTGGGTTTGGTGGATTGTGGAATCCATCAAGAATGCACATGGCGTTAGTTCAAGGTGCAGCTTGGAGGGAGATTTTGTTTCTTTAAACTGTGGTTCTGTTGCATTTCTTTTGCGTTCCCCAAAAGGTATATTGAGCTGTGTGTCTGTATTGAGGTATTGGCGTGTGTTTGTTCACTTACTTACATTTAATCAATTCATCAAGTTACGGCACCTGTTATTCAATGTTGGTGCCTACATTGGCTCCCAGTACATTTCCGAGCATAATTCAAAGTGTTGGTGCTGACCTTTAAAGCCCTAAATGGCCTCAGCCCAGTATACCTGAAGGAGCGTCTCCACCCCCATCGTTCTGCCTGGACACTGAGGTCCAGCTCCGAGGGCCTTCTGGAGGTTCCCTCCCTGCGAGAAGTGAAGTTACAGGGAACCAGGCAGAGGGCCTTCTAGGTAGTGGCACCCACCCTATGGAACACCCTCCCATCAGATGTCAAGGAAATAAACAACTATCTGACTTTTAGAAGACATCTGAAGGCAGCCCTGTTTATGGGGGTTTTTAATGTTTGATGTTTGATTGTGTTTTTAATATTCTGTTGGGAGCCGCCCAGAGTGGCTGGGGAAACCCAGGCAGATGGGCGGGCTATAAATAATAATAATTATTATTATTATCATTATCATTACTATTAACTTTGGCCATAGCAAACCACATTGGGGAAGGGCTGTGCAGGAGTTTGCACCAGAGGGAAGGAGGATTGGAGAGAGGGAACATGTGATTATGCCACCTTTTCTTGATCTCTTAAGATGGGCAACCAACATGGTGCTCCCCAGATGTTGCTGGACTACAATTCCCATTAATCTTAGCCAGAATTTCCAATGGTTGGGGCGCTGGAAGTTGTAGTTCAACACCTGGAGTGCAGGCACCATGTTGGGTTATCCCCATCTTAAAGAGATCATGAGCATTAGATAGCATGCGGCAGAACAGCAAACATTCAGTAACACCTGCTTTTAGGTGCCCCTTTGCAAGTACAGAAATAAAGGGGAAATAGTTCTTTATTATTTTATTTTAAATACAGTCAATTTGCAGTTTCATAAATGGCATTGCTTCTGAAGGTACGGTAACGTAAACCCCCATAGTGAAGTTTAAATCCCCTTTCAGCTAATTTTTTTGAAAAGTTTATTTGTTTTTTTTAAGGTTCTGCTTCCAGTGCAAGTGAAGTGGCAATAAATAACAGGCCAAGGAAGTTAATCTCTATCCAGAGCATTTTAATACATTTTGTGAGTTGAGCAGGTCCCGTGTCTCTTGCCAAATCCTTTTAGTAAATGGAAGTTGTTCACAAACAATCGTGATTGATATCCGAAGCACTGGGAGTGTATACTTTGCAGAGATTTATTTCTTAGAAGTTATAGTCTGCTGGCTAAACCACAGGATTTAGAAGTCCAGACTCTGTCCCCAGCTCTTCAGAATGCTTCATTAATTTGTCCAGATTTTGACAATTCAGTGACTCAGTTTTCAGCCCTTGTCAACGAGAGGTTACAGGCAGAGCCCAGGATTTGCTCTTCAGTGACCTTGTACTAGAGAAGGGATAGGCAACCTGGTGTCCTCCACATTTTCTAGAATACAACACCAATCAGCTTCTGCCAGGATTAGCAATGGCCATGGATGATAGGTTTTGTAGTCCAGCAACATCTGGGGGGACGACCAGATTGTCTATTATTATTATTATTATTATTATTATTATTACTAGACCAGCTGTGGTGAACTGCATGAGGAAAGAAAGGAATTCTTAGAGGAGCAATTGCTTTTAAGGAGCAATTGGGATCTGTCCAGTTAAAGCATTTAGTGGGTCTGGGGTTGGGGAAGAGAGTGAATGGGGTTCTTAGGAGTAAGTCGAGGAGATGAGGTCTCCTGTTTCATAAAAAGGAGAGCATTGTTGTTCTTATTATTGCTTTCTATTGATTTATTGGTTGGTTGGTTGGTTGGTTGGTTTCCTGTGTAGGATATTCTGTTTTTTAATGTTCTATTTTTATATATCCTGTAAGCGGTCCAGAGTGCCTGGGGAAACCCAGCCAGATGGGTGGGAAATAAATAAATAAACAACAGAAACAACGAACAAAAAGGGGTTCATACCATAATTCTGCATTAACCAAGAAACATAGCTTAATATTTATTTGCTTTCCATTTTTCATGAACAAAACTCATGACATTGTTAATTCTAGTCTGGTCTCCCAAGGGATTTATGTTTTGAGAGTTTGAACACCGACCCAGAAGCAAAGGGGGGGCAGAGTGGACACATGTAAATCGATGGACAACCTTGTTCTTGGTGAGACCCTGCGACGACCATCTGCTCAACTGTACGAAGGACGCCCATAGCGTAATGCAACTTTAAAGGGTCTTAAGGAGGGAGAGGACGCGGGTGGCGCTGTGGGTTAAACCACTGAGCCTAGGACTTGCCGATCAGAAGCTCGGCGGTTCGAATCCCCGCAACGGGGTGAGCTCCCTTTGCTGGGTCCCTGCTCCTGCCAACCTAGCAGTTTGAAAGCACGTCAAAGTGCAAGTAGATAAATAGGTACCACTCCAGTGGGAAGGTAAACAGTGTTTCCATGCGCTGCTCTGGTTCGCCAGAAGCGGCTTAGTCATGCTGGCCACATGTACGCCAGAAGCTGTACGCCCTCTGCCAATAAAGCGAGATGAGCACTGCAACCCCAGAGTCAGTCACGACGGGACCTAATGGTCAGGGGTCCCTTTACCTTTTTTAGGAGGGAGAGGCTGTTGGGAATGTGACCTACTTCACATAACCAATTCCCGACTTAACAAGCCAGCATGTGGAGGGGGGTGCGTGCCGCTCTGAGCATCAGATGTGCTTATTTGTCGACCACAGACTTGTCGATGTGGCCTCGTGCCTTCATCCCACATTAGATGGAAGCTGGAGGTTGGCAGATTAGACATGCGGCAGTGCAACACTGCTATGAGATTGCTCCACGGTGGCCAGCCCACACCTCCCACTTTGGAATTAAAAGCAAGAGACACTTTCGTGGAACTATAACCCTTAGGAACCTTTTCCCCAAAAGAGGTCAGTTGACCCTCGCAGCCATTGAAGTGGCTAGAAGAATCACACCCTCTACAACATGACCTCCCTAAGCCTTTTATGTGCTTCTGGACTGGGCTGAGTTCCTTCCGCTCACCCCAAAACATGCAATTTCACAGACTGAATCCCATTCCACCCGTGATATTTGATGATACAGACAATCGGTTGTCCAGCCCTCTGTTATTTCATTTTCTTTTCCCTTTTGGAGACTCTCACCTTTTGGGTACCCTCTCTGCTTGGGGCCTTAACAGACCTCCTAACTCTTCGTTATGTTTTTCACCTTGTTCCCAAGGTGGTCAAAAACTGTGTTTGCCAAGTCACCTTTCCCCCCTTAAGACGCACTCAAGCACCTGAGCAGCCCGGGTTCTTAGCTCAGAAATATTTGCCGTGAGAGACCTTGAGAACACCAGAGATTCTCTGCAAGTGTAAACTCTTTTTACCCAGCGAATAACATTACTCGCATATTTGGTTTTTCTCCCTTCCAGCCTTTATCGCTGCTCTGTACATAGACAAGGACTTGGAATACGTCCACACCTTCATGAATGTCTGCTTTTTCCCACGACTAAAGGTAGGACTGCTTGGAGTTTTGTACGTAATGCAGCAACAAATCTGGGTTTGCCACAGAGTCCCATCTTTATGATAATTAAAACCTTTGTTCTGTTGCATGCTCCTGCCAACCTAGCAGTTTGAAAGCACGTCAAAGTGCAAGTAGATAAATAGGTACCACTCCGGCGGGAAGGTAAACGGCGTTTCCGTGCACTGCTCTGGTTCGCCAGAAGTGGCTTAGTCATGCTGGCCACATGACCCGGAAGCTGTACACTGGCTCCCTCGGCCAATAAAGCGAGATGAGCGCCGCAACCCCAGAGTCGGCCATGACTGGACCTAATGGTCAGGGGTCCCTTTACCTTTACCTACTGTTGCATGCATGTACTTTGGTATAAACTTCAAAAAACAACAACATTAACTTGGGGCAAAACTCCTGTTTTTAACCCTGTTTCCAGCCTCTTCCTGCTCCTCTAATTGGAGCCTGCTGTTATTTCTCTGCATTATAGGAATTCATTTTAAACCAGGACTGGAACGATCCAAAATCCCAGCTCCAGCAATGCTGCTTAACTCTCCGAACAGAAGGGAAGGAGCCAGACATCCCTCTCTATAAGTAAGAAGCCTTTCTCCTTATAACTTTGTGAGCCGATCTCTCATTTTCAGCTCCACACTTGGCGTTTATTTTTGTCTCCATATCCGTATGACTCGGATTAAGCACCCTCTGCCTTTTGTTTAAAGAAGGGATTAGTTTGCCGTTTCCCCTTTTCGATCTCGAACTCAGCTTCAAGCGCCACAAATGTAGTCACGAGAGCCGCTGCGTGTGGAAGATGGGATGGCTCTAAATTCAGTGGATGGGTGATCATTGGATCCTCGCCGATAAGTTCGCATTCGCCCACCCACAAAGTAGTTTCAGTGCCTCCCTTCGCACGTCAGGGAGTGGGAACTGCTGCTTTAAGCAGACTCTGTAACTCCTGCAAGTGTAACTCTCCGGAGTCATTTGGGATTGGTAGCAGAGTTGCTGCTTGTCTTCAAAAAGCATGATGTTTGATAGAGTGGGCAGACTTCAGGCTTGCAAGATCTGCTTTGTTGGGTGTTGTTTTTTCTAACTCAGTCCCTGAGATCCTCCAACTAGAAGTTTTGCAAAAGACATTTGTTGTTGTTTAGTCATGTCCAACTCTTCGTGACCCCATGGACCAGAGCACGCCAGGCACTCCTGTCTTCCACTGCCTCCCGCAGTTTGGTCAGACTCATGCTGGTAGCTTCGTGAACACTGTCCAACCATCTCGTCCTCTGTCGTCCCCTTCTCCTTGTGCCTTCCATCTTTCCCAACATCAGGGTCTTCTCTTCTCATGAGGTGGCCAAAGTATTGGGGCCTCAGCTTCAGGATCTGTCCTTCCAGTGAGCACTCAGGGCTGATTTCCTTCGGAATGGAGAGGTTTGATCTTCTTGCAGTCCATGGGACTCTCAAGAGTCTCCTCCAGCACCATAATTCAAAAGCATCAATTCCCTTATGAATACACAGTGGAAGTGAGGAAGAGGTTTAAGGATTTAGACATACACTTCATATTAAAGAATTTGGAGCCCAGGAATCTAGAGATAGCATATGTGTGTGTGAGAGAGAAGGAGATAATTATCATAGAATTGCAGAGTTGGAAGGGACCCTGCGAATCATCTAGTCCAGTGTTGGCCAAACTTGGCCCTCCAGCTGTTTTTGGACCACAACTCCCATCATCCCTAGCTAAGAGGACCAGTGGTCAGGGATGATGGGAATTGTAGTCCCAAAACAGCTTGGCCAACACTGATCTAGTCCAATCCCCTGGAATGCAGGAATATGCAGGAATCGAACCTGCAACTTTGGCATTATCAGCGCCACACTCCAGCTTAATGGAAGAAAGCACACAGGCCTTTCCAAAGATCCACTCACGGCCACCTCAATCTTTCTTCATTTTGGCAGCTTAATTTTGTGGGGTGCAATGAGCTCTTTTGTTGCTGTTTGGCCGTTGGAAACGGCAGGGATCTCCACATCTACCTTCTGCCTGCTCCTGGGGCAGAGCGCCCGCTGCAATGGGCAAGAGGAATATTCTGACGCAGGGCAAAGAGAGCCAGAGTGCAGCAGGTGTTCATCTCTCGATGGACTCAGGGAACAGCGAAGAGGCAGTGCGAACCCTCCCCTTTTCCTTCTCGTTCTCCGTTTCTGCCGTTCTTGAGCTGAAGCAGGATGAGAATGGAGACGCTCCTGTTTGGCTGGCGTGTGATGCCAGAGCGTTTGCACAGAGGCAGGGAGGACGTGCTTGCCAGGGTGGGCCACTCAGTGACGCATTGCAACGTGCATATCCCTCACAGAAGGATCCCCACCAGAGAGGACCAGGGCATCCATTGTCGGTGAGCTTTAGCCTTCACGGGCTTTAGCCTTGACTTCTTCCTACAGATGTGAATGATCTACAGTCCTTCACCAGGGGCCCAAAGCAGCCTTCCCAAAATCTGGTGTCCTCCAGACATTTTGGACCACAACCTCCATTAGCTCCAGGCAGCATGGACTGTAGTCAGAGATGTAATCATTTACAGTGGTACCTCGGGTTACAGATGCTTCAGGTTACAGACACTTCAGGTTACAGACTCCGCTAACCCAGAAATAGTACCTCAGGTTAAGAACTTTGCTTCAGGATGAGAACAGAAATTGCGCGGTTGCGGCGTGGCAGCAGCGGGAGGCCCCATTAGCTAAAGTGGTACCTCAGGTTAAGAACAGTTTCAGGTTAAGAACAGACCTCCGGAACAAATTAAGTTCTTAACCTGAGGTACCACTGCATATCTGGGGAGCCCCATCTTGGAGAAGGCTGCGGGGGGGGCGGAAGGAAGGGAGCCTTTAAGAACAGCACTAGAGTTTGCCCTAAACTGCTCTGAGCCCCTGGTGACTCCTGCCTGTGCTGGTTAAAAGAATGGATTACATTGGATAATTCAGACATCCTGGACCTAGAAGGCCACGATTTAAAATTTGGCTGGCATGTATGTCTACGGTATGGGAAGGCGACAATTTACAAAAGTTTTACAAACCATATTCTAAGGAAGAATTTGTATGGAGTTTGGGAGAAATGTACAAATCTGCTGGAAAGGATGACACCTTTGTGGCTATCTCCTATTGAGGCTATTACAATAAAGGGAAATAATAAGGATAGACAGTGGACAACTTACAGGGAATTGCTATACTTTACAGAGGGGGAACCTAAACTGGGATTAATGGAAAGTGTTACATGAAATGTTTAAAATAAACAGGGAAACTGGTTTTTTTGGACCAAAGCTCACAATTTGAAAAAGAACTCTTACAAAATAAAGAAAAGCTTTTATCTAAAATGTTATCAGAATGGGAAACAAAAGACGAGCTTGTCAAAGTCTCCATGACACGCTGGGCAATAGATATAGGACACAATATAGATTTTAATCTCTGTGGGGGAAACGATCTGAAATTTTTACATCATGTTATTCCTTGAAGGAGAACTACCTGAAAATGATTTACAGATGGTCTCTAACTTCGAGTAGACTTGCTAAGATGTATAAGACTGAATCAGATAAGTGTTGGAGATGCAATGAGACTGGTGACTCCATCTTTTGACGATCCATCCATCCCGCCCTTTAAGTTGTACCATTTTCTCCTGGACTCTGTTTCGTGGCCACAGGAAAGGGACAGAAAATTGGGATCTGGCACGGATGGAAGGATTATTGCAAACTGTTTTAAAGTGTAGCTCAGTAATGAAACTTTCACATTCGAATGGTCCAGCACCTCTCTTGCAACAGATCGTCTTGTTTCGTGGCGGGCGGAAAGAATGTATAGATCCATAGGCAATTTGGTATGGGCTGTTTGGTTGACTTGAAGCCGCCATTTGTTTATTTCCGCTGTAAAGCGTTTCCTAAATGTACCTTAACCGCTGATACTGTGTAGAACCAATACTCAGCGTGACATTGGAGATGGATCGGAGGGGAAGACGGGAAAGAGAAGCAAATTTATCGTTTGTCTGAGAACTCGTGTCTCATCTTAAAATGGCTGCAGATTTATATCAAACTCTTCGTCCAAAGGGAAAGCTGCCTGGTTAGTAGTGACAGATCCTGCAACTTTCCGTTACTGATGGGGCAATTTGCAGTAGTTGCCATTTAGAGCGACAGCATTTGTCACAGTACCTTATATTTCTATCCCGAAGATCTGAATTTGCCAAAAAGTGTAAATGCCTATAATTCTACACCAAGCGTACATAAATACTTCACTTTAAAGCAATGACGTGTTTGCAGTGCCTTGTAAAGTAATCCATAAAGTGCTGTTTGTCTGCAATCCCGTGATTAATCTTTGCAGACAGGGGGGCATTTCTGTTAAGAGGCCTTAGTAAGTCCTGCTTTCAAAAGTGTGACTTTTTTTGTGTGTTACTGTCTTTCCTGGGACTTAGGACTCTGCAAACAGTCGGACCCTCTCATGCCAGGACATACACCGTAGCTGTTTATTTTAAAGGCGAAAGAATAGGATGCGGTAAAGGACCAAGGTATGGTAAATTTTTGAATACACGTTTATTTAAACAGGTGTTTGAGAGCTACGGGAAATCCCTTGGCGATTTAGATGGTGCTCCTTAAGAAAGCGAATGCTAGAATTCCCACTACTCCCATTTAAGTCTGTATCTGGCCAAAATAAGATGTTGCAGAGAGCCTCTATAGCTCCATGGCTAGAGTGCCAGGGACAGAAGGCCTGCGTTCGAATTCTAGTTCAGCCATGGCCTTTCTGAGCAGCCTTCAGACAGATTAGTCTCTCCCAGCCGGCATTTCCATTAATGGAAGAACAGCAACACACTTTGTAGGTTTGTATTGAAGATGAATGAGAAAAGCATCTTAGGGACTGCACAGCGAGGGTGCCAGCTGCATGATAAATAATATTTAAAGAGTTTCTCCTTCTCCATTGATCACCTCCTTGTCCAGACTGCACTGATTCTAAGAATAAGATAAAAATAATTCCTAATAAAATATTAGCGGGAAAGTGTTCTATTTGCTGTAATATCGCCATCCATTTTTCTAGAGCTGTAGAGTTTGCCTGTTGGTTGGTCGGTCGGTTTTAAATTTAATATTTTCATTAAAACAATTCGCCGAAGAATTATGAAAGGGGAAGATCTTAGTAGTATTGATCTGAAGTTTTAAAAACAACTCGCTGGAACGGGTTTGTGTGTGTGCCTGTGCATGAAGGGTTTTTATGGGAACAAGTGCCCAATGATTATTTGAAGAATTAGTCTCAGCAGAGCCATCAGAGTGGTTGCTTCTCGGAAGCTGTAGTTTACCCCATAAATACATTTGCCATGATTTCTCCCCCTTTCCTTTCTTTTCTTTTCTTTTTTTAAAACAGCATTCAGCAAGCAGAGATGTGCGCAGCAATGGATGCCTTGGAAAAATGTAAGAGGCTTTCTTGGGTTATTTTGTTCTGGGGGTTGGGACAGGGGATGTGCAAGCATTACCTATGGTAGAGAGAGAGAGAGAGAGAGAGAGAGAGAGAGAGAGAGAGTGTACACATAAAACAAGCAAATGGCAGTCAGCACCAGCATCCCCATCCACCTTCCCCCTCCATTTTAGACGATTTTGAATTGAAAATTTGCTTACATAACACACACATTTGGATTAAATAAAAAATGTTCCCCTCCCCAGTGAGGCAGAGCCATTACACAAGCTTCCTGGCAAGTGGGTCTCAACAAGCCAGCCGTGGAAATATTATTATTATTATTATTAGTATTCTTTTAATGGCCGGGGCTTTTAAATCGCTCTATCATTAGACCACAGTGACAAGGTTTTCTGGGCTAGAAGCAGATACGGCTATGTGGCACCCTGTGAAATGAGAGATCGCATTTCCAGGTAGAGAATAAACCAGACTCTGTTATGACCCAACTCGGATAGCCAAGAAAGCATTGCAATCTGTCCCCCCCCCCCCCCAAAGAAAAAAAACCCAGAGTCCTTTCAGTTGGGAATAATTCAGACTGAAATTCTCAGGTGTCAAAGAAAGGTTATATATGCCACTACTGCGGCCCGTGTTTTGTTAGCACAAAAATGGAAAACGAGCTAAGTCCCAACCAAAGAAGAATGGCAACTTAAGTTGACAGAATACGCACAGCTTGCAGACTTAACATATAGAATAAGAGGACAAGAAGAGCATACGTTTAGAGAAGATTGGAAAATGTTTATTGGACATACGGGAAATAAGTGCGTACAGCTGAAAACGCTGGCAGCATTAGGATAAATTCAACAGTGTAAATAAATCTTGATGGATGTAATAATGGAATATCGTTTTTGTAAAATATGCAGGGATTTATGATATGCAAAATGAACCATGCAAAGAGAAGAAGGAAAGTCATTGATATTGTAAGGATGTAAACATGAGTACTTTAAATTATAAAACAGAAAATTTAATAAGATAGATAGAGAGATGATAGATAGCATTGCAATCCGTAAATCAGTTCTGCTTTTTTAATATGCACCCCGGAGAGTCCAGATGTTCAAATACCCTGTTCCTTTACCTGGTCAATTAGACAAGAATAAATGATAGGACATAAGAAGAGCCTTCTGGATCAGGCCAGTGGCCCCTCCATCTAGTCCAGCATCTTGTTCTCACAGTGGCCAACCAGATACGTCTAGATGTGTCCAAAAACAGGACCCAAGTGCAAAAGCAATCTGACCACTTGTGATTACCAGCAGCTGATGTGCAGAGGCAGACTGCCTTGAACAGTAAGGTAGAAGGTAAAGGACCCCTGGGCAGTTAAGTTCAGTCAAAGGCAACTATGGGGTTGCGACACCCATCTCGCTTTCAGGCCGAGGGAGCCAGCGTTTGTCCACAGACAGCTTTCCTGCTCATGTGGCCAGCATGACTAAACTTCTTCAGGCGCAACAGAACACCATGACGGAAACCAGAGCGCATGGAAACGCCATTTACCTTCCCGCCACAGTGGTACCTGTTTATCTACTTGCACTGGTGTGCTTTTGAACTGCTAGGTTGGCAGGAGCTGGGACAGAGCAATGGGAGCTCACCCCATTGTGCAGATTCGAAACTCCAGCCTTCTGATCGGCAAGCCCAAGAGGCTCAGTGGTTTAGACCATAGCGCCACCCGTGTCCCTTGGACATTAGAGACGTATCACAGCTACCGGAGCAAGTATTTTCACCCTCCATTAATTTGTCTAGTCCTCTTTTAAGGCTACCACAAGTTTGCAGCCGTCGCTTCTTGAGGGAGCAAAATCCATTGTTTCACTATGCACTTTGCGAAGATGGTGACAGCAGCCACGAAATTAAAAGACGGCTGCTTCTTGGGAGAAAAGCAATGACAAACCTAGACAGCATCTTAAAAAGCAGAGACATCACCTTGCCAACAAAGCTCCGTATAGTTAAAGCCATGGTTTTCCCAGTAGTGATGTATGGAAGTGAGAGCTGGACCATAAAGAAGGCTGATCGCCAAAGAATTGATGCTTTTGAATTATGGTGGTGGAGGAGACTCTTGAGAGTCCCATGGACTGCAAGAACATCAAACCTCTCCATTCTGAAGGAAATCAGCCCTGAGTGCTCACTGGAAGGACAGATCCTGAAGCTGAGGCTCCAGTACTTTGGCCACCTCATGAGAAGAGAAGACTCCCTGGAAAAGACCCTGATGTTGGGAAAGATGGAGGGCACAAGGAGAAGGGACGACAGAGGACGAGATGGTTGGACAGTGGTCTCGAAGCTACTAGCATGAGTGTGACTAAACTGCGGGAGGCAGTGGAAGACAGAAGTGCCTGGTGTGCTCTGGTCCATGGGGTCACGAAGAGTCGGACACCACTAAACGACTAAACAACAACTTTCTTTTGCTTGTCCTGAATTGTCTAATGTCAAGCTTCACCCGATGATGCCCAAGTTCTAGTGTTAGGAGAGAGAGAAGGAAACACTTCTCCCAAAGTACGCCACGCAAAAAACTGCACTCTGTCTTCCGTGCCTCCTTTTGCCTGCCTTTCCTCTAAACTGAAAAGCCGCAATTGCTGTAACCTTTCATCATGGAGGAGTTGCTCCAGACCCTTGATCATCTTGTTTGCCCTTTCCCAAACCTTTCCCAATATCCTTTTTGAGGTGAGGTGACCAGAACGGTACTCATTATTCCAGATGTGGTCACACCATGGAGTTGTATAATAGTGTTAAGAAACTTGGAGGGAAATGCCTTATCAGCAGTGTAAAACATCCTCCCATCAGATGTCAAGGGGATAAAGAACCATACGTATAAATTATTATTATTATTATTATTATTATTATTATTATTATTATTATTATTATTATACAACTTTTAGAAGACATCTGAAAGCAGCCCTGTATCGGGATGCTTTTAATGTTTGATGTTTTTATTATGTTTTTATGTGTGTTGGAAGCTGCCCAGTGTGGCTGGGGCAACCCAGTCAGATGGGTGGGATAATAATAATAATAATAATAATAATAATAATAATAGTAATATCATAATCATCTAGGGTATTCAGAAACCTATAATTAAACATATAGGAAGTCTGTGCAGGTCATTTTTATTTTTCAAAATGCAGTGATGGTCCTTCTTTCCCTCTCTGATATGGACATAAGTTGGAAGGTTATTTGTGGTAAGGGGACCTCAGGTCATGTAGTTTCTGAGCGCATTGCGCTTTACACTCTTGGCCTTAAACAAATGTGGTGTCAGTTGCGTAGGCTCAAGGAGAGATGTGGCAGTAAGCAAGTAAGCGCAAAACTGGCCCTCAAGTGTTTGCTTTGAGCATATTAGCTCAAGGTAAAGCGATTTAGCGTGCAGTTTCAGCCTTGAAAATTCAGCAAAGTGATGGCAGGTTTTCCATTCTGTGTTCCTTTATGTGTCTAGCCCTCTCCCCCTTTGTAAGCATAATCCCTCCAAAAAGTCACAATATTTCAGGCCTAGTTGGCAGTGAGTCGGTCAAGTGAAGTGCTGAGCTCTCTGGCCTTGGTCCAGCGAAGCACTTAAGCCCATGCTTAAATTCAGGCACACGAGTCATTCCACTGACATTCATGATCTAGGCATTGTGATTAAAATAAAGTCGGCGCTTTGCTAGATGGGAGCCAGAGCGCTCACCTTGCAGGATTGATTGCAAAACCCGCAAGCTGCTGCCAAACAGGGACTTAAATCTTTGTGCTACAACCCCAGATAACTCTTAATCTCGTTGAAATCTCTGGCAAAAGTCGCCGTACTTTTATCTATCAAGAGTTGAGCTCATCTGCTTACATCAGCCAAACAGTCGGTAGCCTTCAGTCGCTGTCTTGGAAGAATTAATATCATTTTTTTAAACAGGTGCATTTAAAATGTGCGCTTTTGAGAGAGGTCCATTTTTACGGTATGATTTCTTTCCATTATTTCCTTTTGTGTACGAATACGGAGCACCAATGTGGCATGTGAAGTCTCACCTCTCTGCCCCACATGCAAGATTTTCACCTTCTGTACTCCCCTGAGTTAATATGAGAGCCTCCGAAATATGGAAAGGAAAACGACGAAATAGCAGAAGGCGCAGTCTCTACCCCACAAGAACTTCCGTCTAAAGCCATCAGAGGTTCTTAAACCCGCCATGTGTGTCAGGGCGACTCAGATCTTACGAGGACAAGGGCTTTCAAGCGATTCTGGGGAAAACACAAGCGGGAGACTTCACCGAACTTTTGCCGTCCATAAGTGGCACTTAGTTTGGTACATCAGATCTGCAAGAAGAGTACAAAAGGACCACACTTTGCACAGGAGTGCCTTTGCGGTACCAGAGACTTAGCGGCTGGCGGCATCTTCCAATCTTTTGAGGAGAGAGACCCGGAGAAGGGGAGGGAGAGAGAATGGAATCGCTTCTGCAAGAGGAGGTTGTTTGTTTATGGAGACGGCCTTGGGTTCAGAAGTGGCTGAGCCCTTCATTCAAGCCTCCTCCTCAGCCTCTTGCATCAGCTGTGTTTCCTATAATGTCCCCGAAAGCCTCATCTTCCCAAGGACACCAGCTGTTTCTGCGTCAGCACTAGCAAGTCAATCACAAAGAGCAATTTCTCATCTGGCACCACATCCGACGGAGGCGACGCTTTCGCCGGCGACCTTCCACCTGGCATCGCCACTATGGATGATGTGTTTGTCTACCTTATTCTGCACCGCTCTTGCCGAGCAGTATATATTAACTCCTGTTGGCTTCTCAATTGTATATATTGGTTTTTAAGAGCTGAACAGCTTTTTCCCCCCGTCCCTCCCTGATGCCCATTATGGTGGTAATGGGGGAGATTATCTTGATTAGCACCAGATGGAGCCCTTCTTGTCCTTGATGAAAAATGATATCTTCCCAAAGTACGGAGACTTTTCCAGCATAGTTCACTGATGTGTTACAAATTTTCCATAAGGATACTCCATTCTGCCCCCCCTCCCCCCCCCCGGCTAAAATGTTTCATGTTAGAGGCTCGCAAATTGCTCAATAAGTACATTTGGGTAGGATCTTCAAATGGAGGAATAAATAGCCAGATTCAAATTGTTGATATATACATAAATATACAGACACACATACACAACCATTGCTATTGGGTAACATGATTTCCCACTCACCCATTGTTTGACTTGGAAAGATCCTGGAGGCAGCTTTCATTATAATAATAATAAATTTTATTTATACCCCGCCTTCCCCAGCCAAGACTGAGCTCATGGCTGCTAACACCAGGTATCAAAACAATTGATTAAAATACAACTTAAAAAACAAGATTAAAATACAGCACTAAAATAATCAAGTTGGCTCTGCTTTTGTCTCCAGGGTGTAGCATTGCTCTGAAGTAGCATCACCTAGGTTGAAGCTACACATATATACAAAAGCTGTGAAAATGTTTAAAAAAAAATTAAAATCTATATATGGAATTTGCCATTAGCTCACCAGCGCCATCTAGGGTCACATGTGTATAATTGCAGCTGTACGGTAAAGGTAAAGGACCCCTGGATGGTTAAGTCCAGTCAAAGGTGGCTATGGGGTTGCGGCGCTCATCTCGCTTCGAGGCTGAGGGGGCCGGCATTTGTCCATAGACAGCTTTCTGGGTCATGTGGCCAGTATGACTTAACCGCTTCTGGTGCAACGGGACACCATGATGGAATCCAGAGCGCACGGAAATGCTGTTTACCTTCCCACCACAGCGGTATCTATTTATCTACTTGCACTGGTGTGCTTTTCAACTGCTAGGTTGGCCAGAGCTGGGACAGAACAACAATTCGTGGGAGTTCGAATCACCAACCTTCTGATCAACAAGCCCAAGAGGCTCTGTGGTTTAGACCACAGCGCTGCCCGCTGAGTCCCTAGGCAAAGTCCTGTGTTTGTTAAGTCACTGGCTCCCAGCCATTTTGACACAGCCAGCACACATCTTTTAATTTTTTTTATATATGGATGTTTTATGATGGCCTTTACAGTCGTAATGGGATGCGGGTGGCGCTGTGGGTTAAACCACAGAGCCCAGGACTTGCTGATCAGAAGGTCGGTGGTTCAAATCCCCGCGACGGGGTGAGCTCCCGTTGCTCGGTCCCTGCTCCTGCCAACCTAGCAGTTCGAAAGCATGTCAAAGTGCAAGTAGATAAATAGGTACCACTCCGGCGGGAAGGCAAACAGCGTTTCCGTTTGCTGCTCTGGTTCACTGGAAGCGGTTTAGTCATGCTTGCCACATGACCCGGAAACTGTCTGCGGACAAATGCTGGCTCCCTCGGCCTATAGAGCAAGATAATAATAATAATAATAATCTATTATTTGTACCCCGCCCATCTGGCTGGGTTTCTCCAGCCACTCTGGGCGGCTTCCAACAAAGATGAAAAATACACTAAAATGTCACATATTAAAAACTTCCCTGAACAGGGCTGCCTTCAGATGTCTTCTGAATGTCAGGTAGTTGTTTATCGCTTTGACATCTGATGGGAGGGCGTTCCACAGGGCGGGCGCCACTACCGAGAAGGCCCTCTGCCTGGTTCCCTGTAACTTGGCCTCTTGCAGTGAGGGAACCGCCAGAAGGTCCTCGGAGCTGGGCGGAGATGAGCGCCGCAACCCCAGATTCGGTCACGACTGGACCTAATGGTCAGGGGTCCCTTTACTTTTACCTTTTTTTTATACAGTCGTAACTTGGTTTTCAAACAGCTTAGTTCTCGAATGTTTTGGCGCCTGAACACCGCAAACCCAGGAGTGTTCCGGTTTGCAAACTATTTTTGGAAGCCGAACATTCAGCGGGGACTCTGCGGCTTCCAATTGGCTGCAGCCAATCAGAAGCCACGCTTTGGTTTTTGAACGTTTTGGAAGTCGAACGGACTTCTGGAACGGATTCCATTCGACTTCCAAGGTATTTGTAATGCTTAATAAAGGTTTGGCAAAGTACAATTTGGGGGACGTTTTGGCTGGGGACAATGCTCTTTTCATTCATGAAACTCTCTGGGAAGCCTTGGGTGAAGTCTCCTATTTCCGCACCCTGACAGAAATTTTGACCGTGAGTGTGATAGGTAAATGTATTACATGACTGTAGCTGGAAATGTTCCTTATCCTGCCTGGTGTAATAGAATAATGAACACTCGGAATGCCTGGCCTTTATTTTAACGCATGAAACATTTCTTCTTGCCTCAGATAACTTTCCTCAGATGGCCCATCAGAAACGATTCATTGAGCGGAAGTACAGACAAGAGCTTAAAGAAATGAGATGGGAACGAGAGCATCAGGAAAGAGAGCTGGAGGAAGCGGACGACATCCGGAAATAAGTACAGGCCATGGAAGCAAACGGTGGATTTGCCTGCTTAATAACTTTGATGTGGGCCTGTGGAGACATAGCCTAGTTTTGCGTAAAGGATGAACGAAGTCTGCTCATTAAATCATGTTTCATGTTAATTGTTACTTTTTACATGAAAAAAGAAGAATGTGTTTTATTCCATTTTTAGCTAGTAAAGTTTTATTCACGAGGCTTGACGAAACAATTTCTTTTAACATTCTTTCTGAAGAATTGTGCTTTTTTATTTTCCATCTTGAGTTTGCGGAATAATAAAGTGTTTTATTTCAAAACGGGTAACCGTCTCCGAAAAAGGGAAAAGCTTTGTGTTCGTCGGAGTCTTTAATCATGGGAAATAATAAGGCAGAAATGAGATGCTGCTTCCACCATCTCGCCTTGATCTCTGTCTGGGTTGTGCTACCACTGGAAAGACGTGGGTTAATCTGTGCTGGGGTTGGATCCAGGGAGATGAGATGATCTAGCTCAGGAATGTTTCCTCAGTACAGCACCTGACAGCAGGATAAATGAGGAAAATCTAAGCATCATTCACAAGAGATGAACCAAAACGTTGGGTTCCATAAACAGCGTCATCCGTAAGCGAAATCTAAAAAAGAAGAGTTTTTTATAATGTGCACAGTGTGCAGATTGTGTATCCTCTGTCCTGTATTTTCTTTAAGGTATTTCCACAATCAGTACATAAGTACATATATACATACATACTGTCGTACCTTGAAAGTTGAAGGGATTCTGTTCCGGAAGTCCGTTTGACTTCCAAAACATTCAGAAACCAAAGCGCGGCTTCTGATTGGCTGCAGGAGGCTCCTCAGCCAATCGGAAGCCCCATCAAATGTTCAGGTTCCAAAAATAGTTCCCAAACCGGAACACTTCACTTCCGGGTTTGCGGGAGCCAAAACGTTCAAGTTCCAAGGCATTTGGGACCCAAGGTACGACTGTAATTTTATTTGTATGTAGTTCAAACCAGAGTGGCCCAACACTCAGTCCAAGGGCTGCATGTGGTCCTCAATGCCTTTTCCGGTGGCCCTTGGCAACATCTCCCCCCCAAGCCCTCACACTGCCTTCCCAAAGCCAGGTAATCACTGGGTTTTGGGAAGGAGGTGTGAGGGGATAGGGTTACCAGACGTCCCCGGTTCCTGAGGAGTGTCCCCGGATTTGCAAATCTGTCCCCGGACTAATTCCGTCCCTGGAATGCCCCCAGATTTGCAAATCTGTCCCCGGGAAACGTGGCAGCGGCAGCCTCAGCAGCCCAGAGCCAGACTGTTAGCGCAGTTGGCTCTGGCTGGCTTCAGGAGCTGCTCACTGCTGTGGTGCCTGCCATTTTTCCTGCGCCAAAGCAGCGAGCAGCTCTTGAAGCCAGCCAGAGCCAACTGCACTACCAGGCTGGCCCCTCCTGGGCAACGGCCACTTGCCTGTGTCTCCCAAGCCTCCCCTGATCTGCCAAAACAAAGAGGGAAGGAGATCGGGGAAGGCCCGGGAGTCATGAGCGGGCAGCCCGCCGTTGCCCAGTTTTTAAAAACTGCATTTATGTTTCACAGGGTGCGAAAGAAGGGCTTTGCACCTTTATACAATATGCATGTGTGCTTGGGCCCAGGGTCTTTTGCCTCACCATCCCCACTACTGACTACCTGTTGCTACTCAGCTTCAAAAAAATAAATAAAAAAGTGTCCCCAGATTTGTCAGGGAACTGTCATCAGCTCAGAGGCGAGAGGTGGAAGGGCAGCTGGATTACAGAGAGCCTCCAAAGATCGTGGGAAGCAGCACTTCCTCAGCGGAGGAGGGAAGCCCCGCCTCTAGTGGGGAAGAGATGCGGGGCTCGGAGGATGCAAGAAAGAGCCAAGACACCGTGCATGAGCAAAGCGGGGGGGGGAGGTCCCCCTTTACCCAAGCCTTCCCTGCGCATTAGGTTTTTGCGCAGAGAGGGGAGGCGTCAGATGGGGGTCAAGAGACTACTCTGCTGGGGAAAGTTTAAGGACTGCCCACTCTCAGATTTTGCTAGTGACTGAGCAAGACATGGAATTGAGGCATTCTGCACTGTAAATGTTTTTGCACCAATAAGAAAGCCTTTGAAAAGACCAGTGGGGATCTTGCCTGTTCGCTCTCGAGCAACCACGCCGATAGGCATATCAAGATTCAATGAAAAAAATCTGGTAACCGTACCAGTTAGCACTTTCCCAGGTTGAGGAAGGAGGTGGAAGGACTCTAGGACCCTGCCTGAGCCTTGCACCTTCTTCCCAAAGCCTGGCGTCTTGCTGATCTGGCTTATCCGGGGGAATTCAAAGTTTGGTCTTGCTTCTCCTCCCCACACACTGTAAGGCAAGGTGTGGCCCGCGGGTTCCATATTGAAGTGCTCTTGCTGACGACTTGGTGTGAAAAGTTGGGCTCCCCTGGTTCAAACCATGCTCAAGGCGACTGGCAACATTAAAAAATGCACAACAAAAGTAGTAATGAACTGCAAATACAACATCAAATAAGACACAGCCAAATGGAATAATTTCCACATAAATCATCCAATTGAAAATGAAGACATCACAGCATTGTCTTACGCTGAATGTAACTGAGAGACATTTACAATGTTCTTTCATATATTGTATAAATTTACTCCAGTCTTTTTTGAACAGTTTGTCGTGCTGGTTTTGGATCTTCCCTGTCAGCTTTGCCAATTCTGCGTATTCCATCATTTTGGTCTGGCATTCTTCCAGTGTTGGAAGTTCCTGCTGCTTCCATTTCTGGGCCAAAACTATCTGAAAATGCTTATAGGTTTGAGTTAAAATATTTTGTAATGTTAATATTGGAAGCTGATTTACAATTAATGAGGTAAATTTTATTAAGATAAAAAGAATGTAAATAGGTGGTTATAGAAATGCTAAGATGTAAGTGAAAATTTATGAAAGCCAGAGAGTGGGATGGGGGGAAATCGAAGCTCAGTTTGAGCAATGTTTTTGGAGATGAGATTATGTAATGGATTGTGATTTTGGCAAAATGTAAACTTAATAAAAATTATTATTAAAAAATAAAATAAAAGCTACAGTAACTGGCAAAAAAAAGAAAGAAAGAATGTAACTGAGAGACACTGATCTGGAAAAGGACAAGAGACATTGCACGTTCTTTTGGATTTTAAGAAAATATTTAATAAAAATTACTTCCAAAAAAACCAAACCAACCAGTAAGAATCCCCTCCTTCAACAGCACCCCACCCAGTCTGTTCAGCGGCCTCAGCTTTTGTGGCTGGAGTCAGTCCCAGGCTAGGTATAAAACAAGACCTGTAAGGCAGGGAGTAGGTCTTCCAGGACTTATCCCAGATGATGTATGTCAATGTTTTGGAACTTTCCGGTCATGTTGCGCTCCCATGTTTGCAACTTACGTCAAAACTGGTAGCTATGGCGCCAAACTCTTTAAGTTGACTGGGCGGATAAGTTTCTTGGGGAGCCTAAAACACATCCTTCGATAGCAAACCCTGCTTTTTTTTTTAACCCCATGGTCAGTGTGGTTATTGGCTAGAAAGAAACCAACTTGCTCATGGGGGCACAAACAATTCAACCATGTTTTTTGCCCGGCTGCCTGTATTATTCTTTTTATTATTTATTGAATTTATATACTGCCATATACCCGGGGGTCTCAGGGCAGTTCACAGAATAAAATCACGATATAAAACCGCAAAATACATAATAAAAATAAAAACGACAACCCAATAGCACCCCCCAAAAAACCCCACATTTTTAAAGGGCATAGGTTGTAAATCAAATCAACTGAAGGCCTTGTTAAAAAGGAACATTTTTGCCTGGCGCCTAAAGGTGTATAATGAAGGCACCAGGTGAACTTCCCTGGAGAGAGCATTCCACACACTCGGAACCACTGCAGAGAAGGCCCATTCTCGTGTTGCCACCCTCCGGACCTCTGTACACTGAATTTATATTGGCTCGTTTGTCTTTGGACCATGAAACGTAGCAAAAATCCTGCTGCTCAGTTGGCTGCACCGTTTGAAACTATTGGTGTTTCGCAACTTTCTGACTTGTTGCAGGACCTTAGACCTAGCAGAGTATACGCAGAGTTCATGAAAGCAATTGGCAACCGGCTGCAGACAGGATGGACAAAGCAGGAACCAGTAACTTGTAGTTAAGGTGTTTATTATATACAGTGGACTATTTACAGGAACAGAACAGAACACGGATCTTCGACTAGCTCTCTCTTACACGACTCACAACTCTCAACCTCCAACGCCTCCAACTACCACATTCCAGTGAGTAGGCCAGAAATCATTATTCCCATGAGAGAGCTTGACCAATCATGGAGCTGTCTCCATGCCTCTGTATCACCAGGCAGATTATACTCCTTTACATTGCCTTGGCTGTTGGCCAACTCTGATTGACTCTGTGTGAAGCTGCACATATTCAGAATCCCAACAGAAACTCCCTTGCTCATCTGGGGACACTGAGAAGCATATAATGGAAAGGCCGACCTGGCTCTTTCAAGCTTCTGCTCTGTGAAACTGAACACAGCCCTGCGGTGCCCCGGTCTTTTCCGGGAAGAAATGGTGCACCACAGCTCTATGGCAGCAGCAAGCCTTGACCTCTTCTACCAGTTGAGCGTACGGGAGAGGGCGAAGCATCAGTTAATACTGGAGATCAAGGACAGGAGGGGAGCATCAGCTGCGGTGACGTTCTGCCGAATGCACTTCTCTACTGCTGTATCAAGTACGGCGAAATCCACTTGCTCAGGACGCGCTCTGAACTTTTAACTGAACTTAAAATGGTGCTTGAGAACCAGATGTGGTGCTCCCATGAGAGAGCTTGACCAATCATGGAGCTGTCTCCATGCCTCTGTATCACCAGGCAGATTATACTCCTTTACATTGCCTTGGCTGTTGGCCAACTCTGATTGACTCTGTGTGAAGCTGCACATATTCAGAATCCCAACAGAAACTCCCTTGCTCATCTGGGGACACTGAGAAGCATATAATGGAAAGGCCGACCTGGCTCTTTCAAGCTTCTGCTCTGTGAAACTGAACACAGCACTGCGGTGCCCCGGTCTTTTCCGGGAAGAAATGGTGCACCACAGCTCTATGGCAGCAGCAAGCCTTGACCTCTTCTACCAGTTGAGCGTACGGGAGAGGGTGAAGCATCAGTTAATACTGGAGATCAAGGACAGGAGGGGAGCATCAGCTACGGTGACGTTCTGCCAAATGCACTTCTCTACTGCTGTATCAAGTACGGCGAAATCCACTTGCTCAGGACGCGCTCTGAACTTTTAACTGAACTTAAAATGGTGCTTAAGAACCAGATGTGGTGCT